GTATATTTCGAAGACAAATTGGTGAACAGGCGCTGCGGGAGAACTTGGTCAAATACAAAGAAGGGCATTTCTCACTCAATATTCTTCAGATGACAAAGAGGACACTACTAACATGAGTAAGACATACTTCATACTCGTTCACTCGTATCGTCTTTCTGAATTCCTTGACCACTAACTACTTCTGAGTGACCATTACGTTGTGAGTTGAATAGGCCCTATAAGGGGACTATCAAAGACCAGGAAGTTCTGGAGAGCTGTTTTTGCTACAAGTTCTGGATTCCTCGGCAGTACTCATCTATGATTTCGTCGCGTACAGGACCGATCATCATCAGGTTATCGGATAAGCACGTTAACATTTGGTAACTGCGATGAATTTCATAGTCGTAGCGTGCATAAGGAAGCCTCCAAGCTGCGCATTTGTCTTAAGCTGTTGCCGAGGTACTTTTGTGTGCCTAATATAAATTACACCGTAGTACCACAGATTGTATCCGGCCAAATTGTTCTTTGATATATTTTGAATATGATCTGTGACTGTAGGATTCAAGGAGGCTTAACAAACAATATAGAAAAGCACAGTGATAACCCAGTCCTCCAACGTCATTTACTAAGTTAAACCCCCAGATAATTAGACTTCGGTATTTTTAGGGACCTTTTATTTTGATAAATCACACAAAGTTATACAGTAATATTAACTGATGACGTTTCGAGCAAAACTGTTGCTCATAGTCATATCAAAAGTTGTGTGAGTAACTTGATATGATTATGAGCAATAGTTTGTGCACGAATCGTCATCATTTAATATTACTGTATAACACTGCGTGATTTATCAAAATCAAATCTTATCCATAATGAATATCCAAGAGTTAAACCGACTACGATGCATACCTGTAACTCAGGAACCGGTGCAGCACAAGACCCAGGAGTGACCGGTCACTTCAGTTTCACATTGCCAAAAGACTCCTGGCGAACCATTAAAGCCCGTACCGATTCATGTTGGAGAGAAAACCAACCATGCGCCTTAGTAGGTACAAATGGCCAATACCTCACTAGTCTGGAAATGGCTGAAACATTCAGTTCAGCCCTCGCCAAACAGTTAAACAGCAATATGGGTATTACTGGTGCAGACTAAATTGGCGGCACTACCACTTCACCGGAGGAAAACCCAGCAATAGTACTGAGAAAGCTACAGTGACACATCCGAAAAGTCCTCAGATTGTGACGAAATCAGCAGGGGAGTGGAAATGAGACATCCCTTCTCCGATTTTCAAGGGTGGGGACAGGCAAAATGACGCGCTACTCCTAGTGGTATCAAACACTGGAAAGGATATTTGATGTTCACCTCATGGAGCACCTCGACAGGATTAATGGACTCCATGAAGACCAACATGGTTTCAGGAAAGACAGATCCCGTGTAACAAACCTACTACCAGCTTTGGACGATTGGACATCACGGTGGGATATGAATGTTACAGTTCATGTGGTCTCCCTAGACTTTGAGAAGGCATTTGACACAGTTCACTATGACCTTGTCCTACACAAAATAAGTCAGGCAGGTATAAGTAAACCACTTCTGTCATGGTTAATGGACTACCTAGCTGAAAGGAAATTTTTCACTTAGGTCAGTAGAGTCCGATCATCTTGGCATGTCTCCTCGTCAGGAGTGTCACAGGGTTCTATCCCAGGGCCAATGATGTTTTTGATTTTTATCGATGACCTGTCATGCTTTCTAAGCTGCCTGACTCTTCTCCACCACAACAACGCAAAGATATGGGGAGCAATAAAGTGTTCGGAAGACTCAGATAAGCTGCAGGCAGATCTAAAGCTTCTGGAAGACTGATCGGTGGCTAATGGTATGACATTCAACCTGGAAAGTGGCGAAATTGCGCAACTGTTGGCTGCAGAATGCAAGTTACACTCTGTGCGACGAAAGCTTATCCTGCACAACGTCGAGCGTGACTTAGGTCTGGTTCTAACGAAAAAAATGGACACAAGCGTAAATTACACGGGGGTGTAGCGAGGACATATGCGATCATATACTTTACACATACACAGTTAGGTGCACTCACTCCTGAGCTCTTTCTAAGGTTGGACAAAACATACGTCAGATCACACCTTGAAGTGCATAATATCACTGCAACCCCACTACTTAGAAGAGGCCCAAACCTCTTGGATAGAACCAAAGGACTGACGACAAAAGGAGTGGTGGGTCTCCAAAATAAGTCGTATGATGAAAGGCCAAAGATAACAGGCCTGTTCACATTTAGCTACCGTCTGCTTAGGGGGGACTTAATTGCTGCATACAAGATAACAAAATAACCAGAATCACCCAAACAAAGGTGTTTTGCCATTGAGTGGGTATGGGCTTCCTCGCGGAAATCCCAGAAGGATAGCTCACCAGAGGACAAAGACTCGAGTGCGTTCCCACTTCTCCACACTGTGAGTTTGCCATCCCTGGTACTTCTTACCGACTTTTGTACCTGTGGACACCTTTAAACGAAGGCTGGACAATCATGGAGTGACACAAGGACTGAGTTTCCTTAAAATCCCATACACTACACATTCCCTCCCGTCTTATTCTCCCGACAACTCCAAATACTACACTTACACTTCCTAATATTGATATTATACATATATATATATATCAACTTCAAATTTAGTCGGCTGTCTGTTTTTACGTTTTCTTTATTTCTTTTTCTGTCTTTTAGTCTGAATAGTCTACACTAATTAAATCTGTTATTATTATTATCTGTTTTCTTATGACGACGATACCAGAGGAAAAACTGGTGAAAGGATCAACTCCATTCACAGAAGTAACAAAGTCTTAACACACCACATACTACAAACCACATATAATTAATCCCAGCACCACTCTTTTTGGAGTCAACCAAAGACACGACAGTCGAGTGGCAGGACGGACTACGCAGAAGTTTATCGAAGATCAGGAACCTTTACCTGAGAATCAAGAAGCGAGCACGGAGAAAACAAATTGGTTTACACTAGCTCGTAAAATCGATATTGGATACTGGATACCCTAGTCGTTTGCGAATGATATATACTTCGTCCTCAAAGGTGTCTTGAATATATCGATTTTCGGCGGAATACTGCCAAGTTAAAACTTAGACACTTAAGAGGGACGACCACACCAGTGACCCTGGAAACATCAGTAGCACTGAAAGGTGAACTTGACCTCCTAACCACAATCTTTCCTTAGTCTAACCCTGATATGTCTTGAACCTAATCATAACCCTAATCTATCTCTAACGTCACCTCAATTTAGTCTGAAACAACCCTGATACCTCCCTAACTTCATTAATCTAACCTTAATCTGCCCATGGGCTAGGCATGACTTTAATCCTTCCCAAATGCAGCCTGGAACTTAACAGATACCTTGTTTAATATCACAACACCTCGTCAAGCATATTCATTTTATGTGGTGTTATTAACCTGGTTTAACTTACTTGCTGACTGAGCATCCCAAAGTCATTGGTATGTTTACACATCCACGGTGCCTAGAGTTTAATTTCAAGCGGGATACTTCAAAGTTGTTGTGAAAAAAAACCTGTGAACTGCAACAACTAATTCTCAGCACTGCAAATGGTGCGATAACTTTGTCATATCTAGCCATACACTGATCGTCCTGATGATACACATGTAATTATTCCTTTTTTGTATATCAATAACAGCAACATAAACGGCGTTTTTCAACACAGAAAGTTAACATTTCTCATGCAACTGGTTATTTCGATTATTTATAACGTGGATTCCTAATATTCTGCTAAAGTGATACAATTTCGAATCAAACACACAAGTTTGACTAATGGAACTCACAAACCATGTTATGTATGCAAAACTTGTAGACTGATTCTGAAACTCATATAGGAATACCAGAAGAGCTTATCACCTCAAATTGAAATTAGTACGTGGTATTATTCATTCCCAGTGAGTTCAAATTTTTGTGAATTTCATTAGCAAAGACAACTGTTTTACTCTACTTACCATAACTTAATATACTACTTTTGAACGCTCACTTTTATAATAATATACATAGTTTAAACACATTTTCCGAATAAATCTTCGCGAATACTTCCTTGGGAGATTGTTCTGATGTTCTACCACTAGTCTACCGACACATTGCTTTACTGCGTGTGCCCTTGCTGCTGCGGATGTGGAGTACTAGGTCACTTATTGACATCAGTTGATACTACAAGGACAACTTAAACTGAGAGTATTAATCTGGTAAATCTAAAAAAATCAGTATAAGAATGCAATCTTCTGGTATAAGTATCTATAATGCATCGAAATGAAATCTTGTCAAGCTTATTCATGTTGTCAGTTGATTCATTAACACCAACAAATTTCTCACCACACTTCTATATGATAGTTATTTGATTGACTGAAACATTTTTGCATATACTTGACAGTAGAATGATATACACAGAAGGTTCCTTCAAAGACATACGGTAAGGTTACAGGTGATTAGACGTTTAAAAGGGTCAGTACAATCGCGAAGAAATGGAAATAGAAAACAATACGGATAAACTGTTGCCTATATCTGCCCAACGATCATATGTTTTTTGTTTGTGAAGGTCTCAAAGGTGCCACTTATTAAGTGTGGGAACCCCTTTGAAAGTATTCCCGGCATTTACATATATGTATGCACGTTAACGACATGTCTTTAATTCATCTCTTGGTAAAACTGCACAAGGAAATTGATGTGTCACTTTGGTATACAAAATCATTCAAATATTCTGATGATTTAAATGATACAAAAGACTTAGAGTATTCTGACGTTTGACTTCATTCAACAATGAAATCTGATAACCGCATCGATAATATTCCCAAAGTTAACAATTGAACAAATATATCATAAAATCGAAAAAATAAACGGAAAACTTAGATTTGTCAAAGTCGACATTTGTTTGGGACTTACTCAGTTAAAGTGTATCCATACAGAAGTCTACAGAATACTGAAGTAATATAGAAGTTACATTTTAGTTCTTCGAAGTAATATAAATATATTTTTTGATTACATGAATAACATAAAAGTGTACAAATATTTTGAAGCTGTTGAAGTCACATTGACTCAATTCTTTACACCTGATGTTATAATTATTGTTATTATCATTATTATTATTGGTGTCAGTGATAGCTTTGGTATTACTTCGGTATGCTTACTATTATTCTTTAGCATATGGTGCAGTTATCGCTGTGGTACGTTTCCACAAACCTGGATTGTAAGGATTATCATATAAACCTTTTGGTGCATCAGCTCTACGTATCTTTTCCTTTAATTTCTCTTCTGCAGTTAAGAATTTTCGTGTATTTGTTGTAAAATGTTCAGGTCGACGCATATCATCGGTCAACACACGACATATTAATTTACATTCAGGACAATCTCCATAATATCCATAAACTGGTCTACTGCCTTTTTTGACCATTTTTCGACAGACTAAAATGTATCCAAACGAGATTTCATGCAACCAGAGGATTGCAATGATAAGTAAAATAAATCGAGTATTTGTCATTATCAGTATAGGATAGACAGATTGAAAAATGAGAATAAAAATGAATTATAGTATATATTTCAGACTGGAGTACACTAATAAATTCGCATTTCTTTTGTTGATTACATGAATGCACTATTGATTAAAAGTGCATATCCTGTTCAAATATAGTAGATTAGATTATTTGTAAGTATAACTGTTTTGATGTATCTGAAGTGTATGAATAAAAAAGTAATTAAAATTGGAAAATAATAATAATTTATTTATTTATTGAACTCTACAATCATTGTCCAAACTTACAGCACATCGAATGCAACTGTCAGTTGACAATAGCTAATCTATGATTGGTAGGTGGAAGTGTGTATGATAACAGAACTCCAGCTCTAGTAATTACAAGTTTGGAAGATGTGTTTGAAACTCCCAGTTCGGTGGAGGGAATAAAGTGAATGTGATGTGAATAACTCGATTTATACAACCATGTAAATTTAAAAAGAAAGAAAAAATAAGGTAGGCATAAGTTTGAAGAATAATATAAATGACTATAAGTAATGCTTACAATGTTATGAATGTTTTATGTGTAAGTTTACACCCGGTAGAATCAACAGCCTGACAATACATTGACTAATCACAAGTGATTGAACAGCTTGTCATTACAAGTAAACAGAAATTATCCTGAAATGTTTGCTTATAATATCCAGTTTTAGCATGAACAGAATGAACACGCAAAAGACAAAAATAATAAACACCTCTGTCAGGTTTTATTTTGTCATTGACGGCTAGCAGTGGATTAATCCAGGAGATACACGCCTCGTCTTATTCTGCCCAATAAAATCAATAAACAAGAAATTCATAATAATGGCTTAAAGCCATTGAAAATGAGACGGCTCTCGTGGTCTAATAGTCTGATGGATGACACTTTAAAGTCTTGGGCAGTGGTTGATGAGCATAAATCTTAGTGAAGATACCGCCACTCAAGGAAGATGTATGTGCATCTAGCTGACGGTTGTATTTACGATGAAAGGCGCGTTATAAATTCCACTGCTAAACGACATCAACCAAATATCATCACTTTAATCTCAAGGCATCGTTGAAGTGCTTGTAAAAAGGCGGACGTATCAATAATTAACTAGGATCCCGCTTCAGTCAGATCAATCTAAGCTAAATTGAAAGCAATAATTTCAGCAAATAGCCTCAATCATATATCTATATAGATCTTTGTTTTATTTGATTTCTCACAGCATTCAACTTTAAAAATCCTAACCAAACAAATGATATCCAAAAAACTATACTTTTCACTATCTTATATTGAGGAACTCAGAACAAACTAAGCTACTATTTATAAAACTATCGGTCATAAAACAGAGCTCATGTTTTTCATTGACTATATTGATGAAGAAATGGAGGAATTAGAGAGTACTTAGTTGCAAAATGAGTATACCTCTAAAAACACCGATAAACTGAAGCGGGACATAGTCACTAAGAAAAGGCTTTACTTAAGAATGAGGTTCAAAGGCGGTATACCTACTGACCTGTAGATCTGGCGGGAGATTGTTACACACCTCAAAATTATGTATCATTATCTCAAACAGACTTATAGCTACACAGTGCACTAAAGTCTATTTACCACCTACAACCGAACCAATGTTTGTATTCAAGTTTCACTGCTCCCATGAAGCTATTTATATATTCTCTGCATTAAGAGAGATTCATCCTTATACACTGTTGAATATGTACTAGTCTGATTCGAAGAGGGAGCTTATCAACTATGCTACCTTATCTCATTCAGTAGATGGTTAACATCAGATCGAAACAGAAGAAGCCTTCACGGTCAAATATCACGTGTTTTACAGTCAACATTAACGCACACAATTATCTTTTATCTGTGGCAGAAGTAACAGACATCAATAGAAATAGGACTATGCTATGTACCAAAAAATGTATATTCTACACTGATTACTATGAAATTAATCACTTCATATCATCATGTCTTATTGTGTACCTCTATACCTTCATTGTCTTTTCTCTAACTTTATTACTCTTATTATATCACACCATTATTATTATTATTATTAATGTTAGCTACCTTTTGAATATTCATCCTATTTGTTTCTTTAGTGTGTCAGTTGTTCAGTGGTATAATGTTCGCCAACCATGCAAGTGATCTGGGGTTCCATTCCCGGCCTAAGTACTCCTAAACTCTATTCCGCCGGTAGTAAACCCGGTGAAAAAGGAAGGCTGGGCGTGAGGCTAGCAACCCCACCTTGTAAAAAATAAACACCAGTGCTAATGAGATTTCAGTGTTCTAGTTTGAAGCCCTATGTTTCACTCTGAACTCAAAGGAGTAAATGTTTTAAAAATTTTTTCCTGCATTCACATTTTTCTCAATTCCCATGATTATAAATCACCCCTTGGAAGCTCTTTGGTAGGCTATAAATTCAAAAACACGTCAATTAATACTTTTATGTCAAATCTCTGTTGCCTATACATTTAACTCATAGTTAAAGCCAACTGGCAACCATTCTATCTGTTAATTCAACTATATTTTACAGTCTCCAGCAGATAATTTATCCAGTCTAACGTTAAGCTTTCGGCCATCTCAGCGTGTACTTATCAATTTACTTGTTCATGTGGAGCAAAGTATATCGGCCATACGCAACACCAAGTATTATTATTATTGTATCCTTTAATTCCTACAGGAACATAGGGCTTCAGCCGTGCGTCTCCATTGCGTCCTGTTCTCTGCTAGAGTCTTCACCTGGCTCCAAGTCTGCCCACACGTTTTCATCTCCTCTTCACATGACCTCCTCCAAGTCACCCTTGCACTGAGGACCAACTCGCCGCTTCCCTTTCGGGTTCCACTCGAGGGCTTGTCAAGTGATGTCACCAAGTACGCAAACATATTCTGGAACATTGTCTAGCTTGGTTAGCCAGAGGAGAAAAGAAGAATAGCAGCAGCTGCATCCTCGAACACTTTGTCATCTCCGGACACCGAGCACCCCCAAATGAATGCTTCTCAGTACTACACAGAGTCCCTTAATATCGTACAAAGGGACTTCACATACGCCGTCTGTACATAGCTGAAGCATTAGCTATTCAGCATCTGAAACTGGACCTCTGCATTCAAAAGGGCCACATACATTCCTTCTCCCTACCGCGGTCAGAGTAACGTTCTCATTATAATTTTACTTCCTTCTATTATTTAAGTTTGTTATTGTTATCATTATTATTCCCATATCTTATTTTATTATCAGTCTACTACCGTTTATTAACAACATTGCGTTTTCAGATAGATTTTATAAAAACACTTTATCGTCTTTCCACTGGTTCTTATCCACTCTAAACAAATACAATGATTAGTGATTTTCTTGCACTGATTACGTCATGCCAACTTCTGCCCCCTTTTCTAATTTCCAATTAGTCACTCCTTCTAGACTGCACCTTACATCACGTAGCACGTTTTCGAGGACAAATTTCAACCAGATTTGATTCTGTCCACCATATTACTGTTTCTATACCAACCTGAAAAGGATGTTGAAGGTAGTTAGTAGGACTAGTGGTGTAAAACTCAGTCAGCTCGTCACTACATTAGTAGAAAGGCATCTGAATACATGCGAAAAATGGTCTAAAACCATACTCTCCGACCCCCAACACCCCCTCTATTCCCGACTCTCTCCTTGTATCTCATCAAGTAGAACCAGAAATCAGTACGAAATAATTTATGCTCGTACAACCAAGTACAGGAACTCAACGATACCATATTTGGCTCGTGTTCTAAGTGACAGAGACAATGTTAAGCGCGAAACCTATGACTTGCTTTGTTGTTAATGACATAATTTTAGGCTCTTTTATTTCTCTCTTATTTTGTATTCTATAGAGAACTCCTTCTTAAACATACTTAACTACCTAAATTATTAACATTTGGCTTACTTTTGTACTTTACCGTATTCCTTCTTTTGTGTATCTACTGGTTCCGACTATATTAGCACTATGAGTATTGCAAAATTGTCCTGTCATTAACCATCATATAATTATTAGTTTTTGTGGTTGTTTTTTTATTTTTTTCGGCAATATTAACTGACAATCTTGGTTGTGAACGCCATTATGACCATCTTAAAATTTTGTATCATGCAGGATTACTGACACTACCACCACAAACACTGCATTAGACCTGACAATAAAAAACCCTGAAATGTTATTTTATGATTGTTTAGCGTTGTTTCAACCAAATTAACTGATCATCTTGGTGATAAACATTCTTAAATATCATTTCATAACTTCTTGTATGACGATAGCTTTACTGTCACCATGCATAAACATATCATTGCTTCCACTACCCAATACTGAGATATTTTTTATTTATTTTCCTTTCTACTTCTTGGTATTTTTTCGCATTTTTTTAATTATTTTTGTTTTTTGTTGTTGTCTTTATATTTATTTTTTGAAATACTCCTTTTAAATGTTTGATAAAATTAGATGCAAATCTTGTAGATATGTGCTGAAAATTCTACACTATCCCACTAGTACTGTTTCTGGAATAAAGCAAATTTTTATTATTATTATTTCTGATATAAGATATTGAAGACACTTGACAGCTGAAATCTTTTTTTCTTCTGAACATTAGAATGAAATTTTTAAAAAATTCTTTTGATTAAAAATGTACAATATATTTGTATTTTAAGAAATGTATGTATATTTGCTTTGACGATTTTCGCACCAAAAAAGTCAATTTCTGTGATCCGAATGTTTCAAGTCTATAAAGTAGACCGCGCTGAATTTTCATTTTGAACTATAATTTGAAAATAGTAAATTTAAAACCCTTTTCCACCACTGAACAGAGCTGAAATTTTTTCTATCGCAGTATCAAAGAGTATTGTGATAGTAGATTTGCTGCATGCAACACTATGCACTGACTAAGCAGAATATGAAGGAACTATTTGTAATGGAAATCAGAGCTTTAACGGATATAATTCTCATTTTCGATCACAAATTGAGCTCAGTTAGAAAACCACTGAAAACCATGGAGTTCTAGACAGCTACTTCGTCCTTGTTTGAGACTGTTCAGCCGTACGCACCTATGACCTACAAGGGATATTAGCCAGGACCTCCAGTTCACAAAGTGAGCCCATACACCATTCAGCAACTTCCTCCTGTTTGATATCCTAGTGGGAAGTTCTGATCAGCAGAGAATACCAAGTTGAGAGTGAGGACAGATACCCACCGATGAAACTGGCCGGCTGTTCCGCTAAAATCACGAATTCACAGAAGTTAAAACTGATGGACTACCGGATTCTGTCTCAGTAGCTAAACTGTATGCAAGTTTGCTTTGTAGCCTGAAGGTCCTGTGTTTATTTATTGGTGGGGTAATGGAAGCGTACTACTGAAAGGTCCTAAACAAAGACGAAAGAGCTAGTCGGTACTGTCTGATTTTCTCTTACCTAAGTTATTTCGTGATCGAAATTGAAATCAGTCAATTCCCTACAAACAAACACTTGAAAAAAGTTGTATACACAGTTTTAATCACCTTATTAAAAGGGTATGCGCCTTACTTATCAGTTATGAATTACATCTAAAGCCGAAACTTGCAGCAGCTGTGGGAGGCGAAACGGAACTAGTTAAATTTTATTCAATTTGTTTAATTTATTTTATAGTCAAACAGGATTACATACAACATAAGTTTTTAAAAGTAATCTATTATTTGGCTGTATAAAAAAGTAACTCTGAGCCCTTAGTTTCTTGCAACTTCTCGTTGTGGAGGTAATAGAGTTTTCCAGGTATTGACAACAATCATTGTCACTTTTCTCTTCTACACTTTTGACTCAGTTTCTCTTTATTTTACTCTATCCTACTTCAAAATAATGCGTAACTGTATGTATGATGTTCAGTAACTGAGATAAACTCAAATTTTGGTCTCCCATTGCCAATGTTATTTGTCTACTCCAACGTCATAATCTTTACATGGTGTCTATTAAACGAAGACTTCTGACGCGTGTTTTGGCTTCTGTTTCAGATATTTCGTGGTAGAAGTTAGCTGCTTTGCTAGCAAAACGTTTTACAGAGTCCACTCTAATTTTCTTAGGGTTACGTAACCTAGTTATCGAGTGTGAATTGGAACATGTTGACCTGCAGAGTATACTAGTATCTGCGTGCTTAGTACATACCAGATTGCGATTGGTTTTGGTGTTTGAAGATCACAATAGTGCAGTATTCTTTCTTCAAAGTGTCTGAATAAATAGTTATACTTGAAAATATTGAGGTTCTTAGTAAGCGATGACTTCCTTCCGCTTCATTACGACATGCAAAACAGCAGAAAATATTATTTCAAGGATTTTATTGTGAAGTTAAAATGTAAAAAGAGACATAGATAATACAAACAAAAAAAACAAAGTTATTTGTAAAAAGAGATCAGATATAGACTAAAAATATTTTAAACTTTTAACAGTGTTTGCGAACGATACAAAGGTCCAATTGTCGAAGGTATACTAGTGAAAGTTGGAGGCGGTAACTTTCCAAGGACATACTGTTTTGGATAAACTTCTATGTAGTTGTTAGTTCGAATAACACAAAATACAACCAAAGAAAACAGGAATAAAGGTAGACCGACGATAGCTACCAGAATCCCTGCTATCCAAACATCTTCACGTACTCTTGCTATTCCAACAGCAATCATCAAACAACTTAATATGCATAGAATCATTCCAGCAGCCAACATTGGGATATCTATTTTAGTTTTTCTGTATAAATCTATTTCGCACATTCTACAAACCTTTTCTTAATAATGTTAACTGGTCCTAGTGGAATATAAAAACAGTTCTGGTTAAGAGATTACAGAGGATATGGATAAAATGTTAGAAAAAGGAAAGATGGAACTAGATTTTCACACACAGTAAATTCACCAAGCGTCCAGTAGTATATTCATTTAATTATTATCCGTTTGTGATCACAACTGATTATCTACAAAAGAGAGATAAAAAAGTTAATATAATTCCCAAAATTGAAAAGTTTCATAATCTAAGGAATCTTAAGTTGATTCGTATATACTGATGCATATAGTAGCAAAAATTGAGATAGTATACATGAATGTCTTCCAGAGGGAATTCGAGACGATAATACATCGATTATTAAAACCACACGTAGAGTGACGCGTAAAATCCGAAATCACAGGATTTTTCTAAAATACGGTACTATACTGAACATTAAAATATGAAATATGATATACAAACCTTAACTGTGAGGTGTATGTGGCTGAATGCCGTCAAAACGCACGATCAATGTGGGTCAATAAGTAAAAATAGTAGAGCTGTGTCAAAGGCAATTAAAGTGTCATTCAAAAAGCGCGTGAATGCCAGACACAGTAAAGGGTACACGAATGAAGCATATACAGCACATAATGTTCGATTATAAGAAAATTATTAGTATCCATCTAATAGATTAGCAATACATCGAGTGAAATAAACTTCAATAGTATATAAAGACATGACTAAGAATTAACAAATACAGCGACACTACTTACTGTAGAAAAGTAGTATAAATTTAAACACAAAAGAAGGACTGACAAAAGGGAAATAGGAAAGGAATTAACAGCATAATTATGCTGTACAGCATCCCTAAATAGTAACAAAACCGCTCATTCATGAAATTGAATATATAATAGCTATATGAAACCAGTGGTCAGTTTTTGTCCTCTACTACAAATTAAGTTTAATCATAATAATTCCTGGTTGGGAAACAAGCAAATATTGACTATTGAGAACACCGAGAAACTATCAACTATTTGGTAAAGGTTTGGTTCACAAGTGAAAGAGAAGAAAATGAAATAAGCAGATGTACTCTAGAGTTCTTTATGTGCTGCCATTTCTCACGCTATGGAGAGATGTTTATAGTTAACAAAGGTTCTACTTAATTCCTGATAATATGGACTGATATTCACAGATACAAAACAAGAACATTTCCGGAAGGAAAATATGTGAGTATCCTTCTGACAGACAAAATGCATTAAGGTTTACAATCAGGTCATTCTTATTTAAAACGTCCTGTATGAAAAGAAACACACGTTCTAGATTCCACTAGCTAAAAAACAAAACAAGCTGGAGGCAGAGATATCATCGAAGCATCCTTTCATGCACACACGAACTGATCATGCCAACTCCTTCTTCGAAGAAGGAAAGTCAGCACTATTCAATTTTTGAAAGTTTCTTGAAAAACTGATGACATTCCATTGAAAATACATAACCTTTTGATAGATAGGGAATGTTTAGATATTTGTCATAGAAAAACAGAATTAAGTCATGTGCAGAAATGCTTGTCTGAAATTCAGCCATAGACCATTTAAAATATCTTACTGTTCGCTAGTAGCGTCTTCTTCAGCAAGAGATGGCGTAGAATACATTTCTCAATGTAACTTGTAAAAAGCAGTACTAATATACACCTAGATATTTCCACTTATGTTGATACGCTTCACTTATAGTACTAGACTGATAATGCTGTTCCACTTATAAATAAAATATCGCCAATTCAAGATTTATCATGCCAAGCTGGGAAAGAGTTTGAGGCTATGCATCAGATGAATAAAAGTTTACGGACAAATGCCCACAATGGTTCAAGAATTCTATAAATTAACAATCTAAGTAGGTACTTAAAGCAATTAATAGTTCCAACAAACTGCCACTGTCCTCAGATAGCACAATGACCAGTCCACGTCAGTGGGAATGTCATGCTGATGTCAGTTGCTGAGGTCATATAATCCACACTTTCTAAGTAGGGTTATGAAATGTTTAGACAAGCATATGCCTTATTGACGTACAAGACCCTTGTTCGTACCAGAAACCTGGTAATAAGCGAAGTCGCTTTATTTTCAAAAGCAGTTTTTATCTTAATTTAGTGTAAACAACAGAAACCTCCTTCGTTCATTAGAGAGTAATAAAAAATAATGAGTGTGAGCGTTTCATATGCCTCAATTATTACTTCTTGAATATTCTCAATATTTATTCGGAATAGAAACAATTTAGGCAAACAATTGTTTACAATAAATTCTTCTTCAGGCTGTAAAATTATAAACCCATTAATTTAAGCTTACAATGACCAGTAAAGGCAAAGCAGAATTATATCAGAAAGTGTATTGTGGAACAAGGTGTAATAATAGTCAGTTAGTTTTGTCCATCACTTAGAATATGCACTGTCAATATGAATATGAGACAAAATGAGATAAAACAATTCAGTGATGTGTGTATGAAAACTGTACTTTTGCTGACTATATATAATGGTCTTTACTGGCTATTAGCAGTTCTGTTATGGATCTTCTCATGCATACATTTGGAAGTACATCACTCCACACTAATAAAGTTCAAGTATAGTAGATTAATCAAGGTTGTTAATAAGTTTGACCGATAATTTCAGAGAAGACAGAAAAAAGTAAAGCACTTAATTAACAATCCATGGGTGCCAGTTAAGGACGTCTTTTTACTATCTACCGGCAACTCTACACGCCACAGGGAAGTAGAATCCAATAGTAGCACCGTAAAATTGCAGGATTTGTCTATTAATTCGCTTATTTTAAGCCACTTCTCAGCCTACAGTGAGGTGAATTACAAGTCAAATAGTCAATTCATGATATAATGAACACTTAGTTGTACTTTGCTTCGCAGATATCCTGTGTTATAAATGAAGACAAGAGGGACATTTTTGCGTCCTCAAATAAAACCCTAATCAGAGGTCAGTTTCCCATGCATGCTTTTTATTGATGCTGAAATAAGACACATTGAGCATGGAAGACAGGTCAACCGGATGTCCTAATATGATTCCTAAAATAAATATCCCAATTATACAGGGTCGTTGTTCCATAACTCGGACAACCACACCGAAGCTGCAAGAGGTGCAGAATGTTTGCGAATTCTACTTCGCGAGTTGCAGACTACTTAGGCTGTAAAAGCAGAATGTACGAAGTGCAGGATATCTGTCGATGCATAAGAGCTTTCTAATTTTACCTGTGATGACTAATGAGTTTGTTTCCACCAGTAGAATTAGAAGAAAATGACTGTGAACATCAAGTTTTTGAAGAAACATTAGAGTGGTGGTTTCATTGTGCTGCAGTTGCCTATTCCTAGGTTTTCTCAATATCCTATAGGATATTACAACAATTCTAAACTTATTCTAGCCTATGCGTTGATAATGCCTTTTTATGGTAAATGAATATTTTGTCTACCCACTATGCACTGAGATAACGCTGGTCGTGCTTTAAAAAAGCACCGGGTTCTTAATTAATGCGACAAAAGCGTAAAAATTAAATTAGCATCTGAAATAATGCTAGTCAACGCTGAGTATGGCCTGAGAGGGCTGGAAAAAAGCTGGTAAGCAATCCCAGTAGGTTCTGATCTACTCCTGAAAATGCCTGGAAAAAGAACAGGGTGCTAAATTATTACCAGTCATGCTGAAAATCAGCAGTGAGTTCTAGTTTGAGCGCTTAAAAAAATCATTTCAGAATAGATTCAGAATTTACTCAATATGGAATGTTATGGTTATTTCAGAATTAGCGAGTTTTAGTTCAGCACTATAGTAAGCTTGGCTGCCTAAAAGCATCCTTTAGCAGGCCTAACTGTTATAGTATATCTCCACTACCCGGGAATTCCCGGATACTGAACTTCTGGCTTAAGCCACATATTTACTTCTAGATGAAACGAAAAACCAATTCAGCATACAGTGTTTCAGGCGACGTTGGTTCTCGGTTAAGTATTTTTTCCACGAACATGGGTAAGATGGGATAAATCAGCATTTAAAGTGAAAAGACTAATCTTTTCAATGACTACAATTGTAGTCATTTAATGAATTCAGAACAAGTTAACTTGTTCGTGAATGTAGAAAAAAAGTGGATTTAGGTGAATACGTATTCACTGACACTTTTCGCCACTAAAGTAATGATACATGTAGCCAATTACGATAATACAGTGTTACGTATGCATGTATGTGGGAGCATAAAAGCACTGATGACTGTGAAACGACCAATGCATTAGTCATGACTATAACAACAAAACTGTTTATCTAGATCCAGTCAAATCCTAAGCTCAACCTAATCCGCTAAAGTTAAAGGATTGCTACACTTTGTACTGACATTTCTGAGTACATTTCCTTTGTGTCAAAGGTAGTGAGGCATAGAATGTAACAGGATCTTACTAACCAATTTTAACTTACCACTATTTACAACACACACTTAAACAAAATTTCAAACCTATTTAATCTTTAATCATTTGACATCAATTCGTTTAGTTATTAGCAAGATTTGTTGTTGTCTAAGTCTGCAAAATTTCTGTTGACGCAAGGTTTTATTGAGATAAAGTCAAATGTTTCTTTAGAATAACATTTGAGAAGCCTGAACAAGTGTGACTATAACAAGATATAAGTTTTAGATATAAAGCTGGTTAGTGGAATATAGCAATTTATCTTTCTGACCTTCTCAAAGGAACTAATTCTTCATTATCTCGAGGACGTTTTAATTCGCAAACGATATCAAGCTTTGATAAAAATAGGTACCAATATTGTACAAAGTGATGTTTCGGAATAGAGCAAATTATTACTAATTTATAAGTTCAGACCTTAATGTATGAATTTTCACATTAAAATTAAGGAATCTGGATTTGCCCGGAAGTTTGGATTCAAACTCGAAACCCATGTTATAAACGTTAAGCGAATATTCTAGGAGTGGTCGCTATGAGAAGCAGTAGGAAAATTACGGCACTATTTAGCAGCATGAATATCTAAGAGGCAAGAGGTCTAATTTATTTTAGGGTTTCGGTGGCAACTGACTTCTCATTATTGGCTAGAAACAGCACAGACTACTGTTATGTGGTGTTCTGTCCTGTGCATATCGATGTCTCACTATACAACCGTTTGACTAATATTAATTGAGTAGTTAGCTGCTAATATCACACTCAAATCTCAAAAATGCTTTAGTCAGGAAGGACATCTGAGAAATCATAGGAATACACGATCACCGGAGATTGTGATAGCCACAATTCAGCTCCTGTAAACTCCAGCTGTCTGTAATATGTTCTGTTATTGCAGTTGTATGAGAAGAAATTAAGGAGTTGGTTGTTGAGTGTGATTTATCCGAAATCCAAGTGGATATCTTCAAAACCCAATGTGTTAAAACCTGTAAGAAGCTTCCAACAAATACATACAAGATGGCAGATCTTGTGCTATGCCACAACATCCCGCCTATTTCAATCCTTCCACCCAAAATAAAAAATTATATGATCACCATGAGGAGGGCTTTGCATTGTCATCTAAGTGAGTAGTAAAGTAATTGCCTAGCAGAATTTACATGAGTGAGAACAATTGAATCGTAAAACTTCCATTATTCGCCAATAGTGGTGAGGTAGAAACGCAATATTTGTCAACAATAAGCATCAAGGTAAGTTGTGAATAACTGCGGGATAAACGTGAAAGCCAAGGTTTGAATGAACGGTTGAGGAGCGTCAATCCATCATGGCCGACTAAAGTGGAGGAAAGTGGCCCTCAGGTGCCTAACCCTAACAGTGACTTTGAGCATGCAGGATAATTTCAGTTATGGAAGACTGCAACTTGTGAAATCCACCACGGAACTCCTTATTTTCACACTGGACTATGTTATGCATTTTGAAGACCCCACAGTTATTATTTTAGTGTATTAAGGGTAAATCAGACCAAGATAGAGTCCTCACAAGCCGATATCTTGTGAGACTGACTTACAAATATGAGAAAGTGGCCTTAGAAAAGGCACTAAAACACCATACTCTGTGGTCACAAGGGTTCGGCCAGAGAAGGAAAAACCCAGGGACATCAACCCCTTCCCACATACCGATCCTAAAGACTCGTGCAGGTCTCGTCTTTGCTGATACTGTGGTGAGTGCTACTTATAATCCGATATAAGTAGCATATCAGAAACGAATTCAGAAAAGCAACAATATGTTTGGGACACTGGAAAGAGCAATCAAAGAAGAGAACCATGAGAAGAATGTTGCCATATGATGCAGAATCCAAGAAGCTATCGAATGTGACGATATTCGACCAATTCGGCAAGGATGTGGTAAATGACGTGCAAATGGCAGGTTGAGAATATGATATACCAAATTTAGCTATATACCATACGTTTCACCAAATAAACATTCCTTTCAGCCTCCTCGCTCGTTTCTTCTCTACATTTGGTGTCGCTGCCTCTGCCGGAAATGAAGGTGCCGTGGCCGCAGGTGTTCGAGGGGGAGATGTGCGGACGTTCCTCAGGGATTTCGAAGCTGTCACGGAGCTGGTTGGAGTGCAGGAGCAGAAGGCGAAGCTGGTTGTCTTGGGAACGCTGCTGAGGGGCCGCGCGAAGGCTGCGTACGACAACGCTCGGGAGCTGGAAGGTGAGGTGGCGTGGGACGAGGTCGTCGAGAGGCTCGTGTGCGAGTTCGACAGACCTGTGGACAGAGAAGAGGCGCTGCAGAAGTTTCGGACACTGAAACTTGGCCAGGATGGGGATCCGTTGTTTCTTGCAGTAACGCTCACAAATCACCTGCGACGCGCGTTACCCACCCTAGACGAAGATTCACGGGAGCAGTTGCTTGCATCTCAGTCCCTCGAATGCGTTCCGACGGATAACGCTCATCAGTCGCACCTAGTTAACGCAGCTCAACCAATGGATGTCTATGAAATGGTTAAGGTGACAAGGCAGATAATGACTTCAAATGTTGCTCCAGTGATGACGGGGTGCCAAGATTCCACGAAGATTGAAGAGTTGAAACAACAGGTGGCGGCTTTGTAGATAAGGAAAAGAACAAACAACAGATGCTTTGCTTGCGGAGGAACCGGTCACTGGCAGAGAAACTGCCCGAAACGAAGGTAGAAAAACTTTAAATGGTACAGTCTTCCTTCTTTTTCTCGCTCGCGTTTGGAGGTGGTCGGATTAGTCGAAAGAGTTTCAGTGTACGGCAGTTTACGGGTGAACCAAAAGAAACTATTTTGTTTGATCGACACAGGGGCCGCAGTTTCGTTGATAGATAGAGAACAGTGTAAGGAAATAAGGCCGTGCACATTAGCAGTTCAGACGGTAGGAGGACATCCGTTGCACATTCTTGGCGTTTCAGACTGCGTTGTAGAGACTGGAGCAGGAAAAATACGATATCCGTTTATTGTAACTTCTGATATCAGACGAACGATTTTGGGAGCAGACTTTCGCAGAGAAGTAGGAGCTGTAATCGATATGAAGAATAGAAAAGTGGTCACAAAACACGGAGAGTTAAAGATGCTACTGCAGCAAAAACATAGACTCAAACTTAACGCTGCCGGCGTCCTAACTTGGAAAGACAGTGATGGTAGCTGGGTTACAGTGATACCAAAAAGCCTACGTCGTGGGGTCATTCAAGAATGCCACCAAGTAGCCCACACAGGAGTTGCACGAACATACGACCTAGTGAGCCAAAGTGCGTACTGGCCAAACATGAGAGGCGATATTGCGAACTACGTACTCGCTTGCCCACAGTGTCAATTGATGGAGGGTGATCGGTGCATTCGACCACAGCTACAAACTATACCCGTAACGGTGGTTGGTGACTTATGGTCCGTGGACATAATGAGTCCTTTCCCTCAAACAGCCAGTGGAAATCAATACATTTTAATGATGACGGAACACGCCACGCGGTGGGTAAATGCTGTAGCGATTCCAGATCAGCGCGCCAAGACCGTAACCGAGGCGGTTATTCGACATATTGTGGCGGATCATGGTGTACCAAAAATGATATTGACAGATCAAGGCCCCTGTTTTGAAAGTGAGGAGTTCAAGACTCGTCTGGAGGCACTGGGTATCAAGAGAATTAGAACGACTCCGTATCATCCGCAGACAAATGGCTTAACCGAAAGGAATAATCGTACACTCAAGGAATGGCTGGCGGCGAAAAGAGGCAACTGGGAAACTGACTTACCGTTGGTATTACTGGCACATCGTGCCACAGTACAAGGGACAACAAAAAAATCGCTTTTCCAGCTGATGTATGGGAGGAAACCATGCTTAAGATCTTGCGTTAGTATACTCCATACTATTCGCGAACGTCGATACCGTCAGCCTCCAAAACATCAAGCCTAAATATATCCCTAGTCGTAACCCTAACCTAGATCCTGACCCCAAAACTAACCTCAACCTTAATCCTAACCCTAATGGTAACCCTTATCCAAGTCGTAATCCTAACCCTAACCCCAATACTTACCTTTACCCCAATCCTATCCCTAACGAGTTATTAACACATTGTCCAAAAAGTACTTAAAAACATTATTTGACTGAGATATGCTGCTTAGCAGATGAATAACGTTGATATTTCAGCTATGATAGTGACAGGTTCCGTTAGCCAACGACTGGCATGCGTTCATGGTCATCGGAGAGTTCGCACTCCTGGGACCCTACTGCTGAACTTCGCCTTAATTTCAATATACTGGATAGTGAAAAAATAAAAGAATATACAAACAACGCAAAATGCAGTGTCCCATCAAAGGCTGTAGTACAGTTGCATTACAGACACTTATGGACAATATGAACTGCTGAAACTTGATGCCAGATGTTGACGAGCGTTACCTAATTAGAAACCTTAAACCTAGGTTGCATGGTTATAACCATGCTTTGAGTCGTCCACAGAGCCACATCAGAGAATAGTAAATTTGGGAAAGTATAGAACCACGCAAACATAAATTCCAGTGGCACATTTAGGCATTTAGAAGTGGAAATTGAAAACGAGTAATGGATCTTATTTCTTTTCCTATAATTAGCTTCCTGAGTACAACAGCATAGCTCCACCTATTTAAAATTTGAGCACCGATCACCATGATGGCGACGAACTGAGGCTTTTTCTAAGCTTCAATTACGGTAACCGTTATTATGAAACTATACAAAGAGTCATATACAGACTGGCACCATATGTTCTTTGCTAAGATAAACATAACAATATAATCACGAGGTTTCTTACTTTGCTAATTTCATCGGGGTAATAATTAACTGCCTGTAATAATCCTTGATATTCTTCATCCCCTTGAATGACGGTGTGGTGTGTTCCAACATATTTTTGATGTAGTTTAATGTAGATAGGGAGCTAATTGTTATAAATTTTGTACTTGTGTTGAGTTGTCTGTAGCTCCTTAGTTTTTATCTTTTAAACAAATATGACTCCATTTATTTCAAAATCAAAATAGCTTTCAGTAGTCCATACTTACTTTCATTACTAGACACATTTCTGCTCTATCTTGAGAGAAGCGGAGTGTATCGAACTTGAATCTTTTTGAAATGAAGCATATTAATTTTTTTTGTTACAACCTTCGTAATAATTCTGTATTACATCAGCAGTTCAGCAGTAGATCTCTCGCCAACCACGAACGTGGTCTGGGGTTCGCTCCTCGGCTACTGCACTCCTAAACCTCACTAAGCCGGTAATAAGGCTCGTAGAAAGGGGATGTTGAGCGTGAGGCTAACAATCCCACCCTATGAAAAACTCCAGTGCTACTGAAACTTCAAAGCTCTACCCTGAAGCCTTATGTTCCACTCGGAACGTAAAAGAATAAAATAATTATGTAATGGACTGATTATGTCAAAGTTGTGAAAAGTATCATCATTAAGACTCATTCATCCTCCCTTTCACTTTCAAGAAGACAAACTTAATGCCCTCGTAGAGACAGCTAAATGTATTGTTGAATTGTATGCTGCAGTGAATCCATCCTGACTATGACTCAAAACAAGGTTGATGTGCTAAATTGGTCTCATCATTGATAATGCCCCAAGTGCAAAGGAAAGGTAGGATAGTAAGATGTAATGTATTGTGATATATTCTTTTATTTGAAAACTATTAAATAAAAATAAAAATATTTTATCAAAATGACCTCATTTCTGTGTTCATGATTTCATTTCAATACTACTTATGAAGTCTGTCCTGTTAACACACTCAATTCGAAACCAATAATTCTTTCCAGATTTTACAATCTCCTTTCTTTTTAGAAATCCACTGATTACAATGAAATATGTGAATCTGATTGGTCAGCTGATTTGTAATTAATATTTTATTCAAATACCAATCGGGACTAACACCAGTATTGTCATGTTCAATTATAACACGCTGAATAAATTCTGTGAAATAAAACAATAAATAGTTAACACAATGAATCACATTTGTGAGCAATGCAAGGGTTGTTAAATTACACAACACAAAAGTTAAATAAGTAATTCAAATATAAACCAATCATGGTGTTTGTCTATAGGATAATAAGATGGTGAATATAAATTGTGCAATTAGTCATAATAATAATAATGATAATAATAATGGTTGTCTTGCTAAGTAGGCGAGAAGATGGGTCACTTGAGAGAAGCGTGTATAGAAAAAGCACATTCACAGGGCAGTACACACACTTCCTTAGTTACGTGCCCATTAAATATAAAAGAAATGTTGTTCAATATTTTACGAGCAGAACAAGAAAGATATGTACAGATGACCTCTTACAAAAGGAATTTGAATATATTCACGACTCTTTGACGGAGATGGGCTATCCGAGTAAATTCGTAAAGAAACATATGAAAACATCAGAGAGAAAACCTGAGACTATGACTGCACGTGAAAAACCTCTATTTGTTAAGTTACAATTTAATGGTGACTTATCAAGTGAGATTTTATTCCAGAGACTTTCCAGGAGTATACGAAGAACGTTTTACGCAGCATACCTATGTTTGTCATTCTCTAGCCGACGAATGATTGGGACGCAAACGAAGGATAAGCTAGAGAGTTTTGCCACATCTATCTGCATTTATCAGTTCAACTGCACCTGCGGTGACAGTTATTTTGGGCGTACTACAAGACAGCTTAGCCAACGTGTTAGTGAACATCTCTCATCGTGGTTTGGCAAAGGACAGACAAAAACAATCTGTAGCTCAATTTAATTGATAGTGGTCATGTAGTGGAGAAAACGAGAGCTTTCAAGGTAATTCATCGTATCCCATCAAATCGTTCCAATAGACTTCGTATTCTTGTACAGCACACAGCTGAGGCGATAGGCATTCGAACTATAAAACTTAAACTAGGCATTCAAAAGAAGTTCGTACAGCCTTTATCCCTCCCTTGTCCAATTAAGACATAACCAATTGATAACTTCTACACTATCCCTTACTTATATTTTCAACCCCTCTCTTATTATCCCTTAATCTTATCACATCTTCATTGAAAACGTTTTTCACTTACTTCCCTTACAATCTAACATTACTTAATGAGTTCATTTGTTTCTACTAGCCTTTATCGACTACTTCCACCTGAACATTTATTTGTTAAATAAGTAATTATCGAAAGAAACTTGTCTGTGTCTGATACTAAGACGCCTGCGCTTTTTCAGTGACATACTTGAAAGAATCATCAGTCTTCAAGTTGCATAACAATCATTTTTATCAAAAAGGATGTAGTTTAAGTACACTACAGCTAAATAAATTACTGAGATTTAGCATTTGTCGTCTAGTTCAGTTAATCTCACAACGGAAACGAAGGGTAGTTAATAATCTAATTTTTTGGAGCTAAGTGATAGGTCTCCGAAAGGATGAAGTTCGAAGAGAATGAACACAGGATAAAGAATTTAAAAGTACTGAATGTTCTTTTACTAATAAAAATTCGAATTGTTTCATTCTACCTGAGGATCGATAGGATCTGTACATAAGATCCCAATAAGTAAGGTGCTTAAAAGACTTTTCTAAAGTGGAAATCAAAGGGTAGTAAGAAAAATTGTTAAAAAGACAGTTCTTGAACATTAAACTCAAGGAGCATACTGCAGAAAAAATTATTCAATATCTGACTTTCTAAAACACTTACAAAAGCCCTATATATTGAATTCAGTTTAGTGCACTACGAAAAATAAGGAATTCAAGAAGGTCTGGAGAGGATCATGATATGATTATAAGCAATAGTTTATGCTTGAAACGTCATCAGTTAATATTACTGTACAACACTGTGTGATTTATCAAAATAAAATCTTATCCATAATGGAGAGGAAACTGCCTTTTCCAATCTACTTTACACTTATTTAGCTATTTACCTTCAAGGGTGAAGTTAAGTCCGTCGGCTGCCTGAACGGCGGTCTTTCTGAACATTTTTTGAATCAATATTTTGTTTTATTATACTCGAGAGGATATAAATCAACCAGCTGCTCAATTTTTGAAAATTTATCCAACGGTAGTGTCACTACCTGATGTAGTTTGTTTAAAATCAAATCAAATAGATTTAAGGCAGTGTGTTTGTCTTCAGTGCATGATAGAGTCGATAGAGATACAAAAATGAATGACTTCGTTATAAGCACGAAATTAACATCTTTATTTATCATGTTTTGGTCTTAATCTCACCCCTACCCACTACCTCCATGTGTTTATTAATAGGTCTATGCATCTATCAGTTTGAATGCTCATGTGCAGCTACTTACATTGGATATACAATTAAACAAATCAAAGGCCTCCAAGGAAACCACAAAGAAAATCGACCTACCATACTTAAAGGACATCTCAGAAATCACTACAAGGCTCTTCAAACCCTTAGGAATTGTTACCACTTCTGAGTAATTATATCAATTATGTCACCCCCTATTACTCAATAATAGACCACTATATATTTTTGTAAGTATAAATACGATTGTATAGCCTCTGAAGATGATTTTGTCGATAAAGAAAATTTTCTTCGCTGAATTTGTCTTTTCTCTCTCCTTAGGAATTGATTTAGCACACAAACCAGCAAAATCATGCCACTCAGCTGGGTCTGTGTCAGTCAAAAGACTCAACAACGATAGAAGATAAAACCAACACCATCTACAAAATAAAGTGTAACAACTACGAAAAACACTACATTGGCCAAAGTGGACATCCCCTTCGTTTTCGTATCCATGAACATAAACTAACCGTCAAAAGACATGACATTCATATCGCCTCACTACACACAGACAACCACGGACATCAATTCGACTGGGACAACCAACGTTCAGATGTTAGACAGAGGAAACACCAAGAATGCTAGAGAATGTTTACAGCCTGGTATTCCAGTGAATCGGCAATCAATAGACACACTGACACAGACAAAATTTACCAATCAATAAGGAAGTCTCACACACAAAGGGTCAAACTTCAGGTCAAGGAAACAATCTGTTCCAATACAAGTAGCCTAAAGGGTGTATAAGCACACGAAAACAACCAATCACGTTCAATGTCACCAGGAGAGATGACTAATAAACTCGTGGAGAAATCGAAAAGCTCACTTCAAGAAATTGAAGTATGCGCTGAAGATGTTGCCTAGTAGGGCAATGAAAGCTTCGCAAATTAACTTTCCAGCTCAGAGAACACAACTACATCAAAAACGTGTTCATCTTCGGATTTCTGAACATTCTCACTCATGTTTGACCACGGGAAAAACGTAATCTGTGTGTGGATCTTCTCGGACACAACTTGTATATAAAGAGAATAAAGTTAGTGATAATGGAACACCTAAAGTTATCTGTCGCATTACGGCTAATATAAATTTTGATTTACAATTTTGTCTTGCATATAAAGCTGAGGCTATTGGAATCCACTCAAAGAAGCCAGATCAGTGCAAGTTCAAAAGCAATTTGCGCAGCCACTTTCCTTATCTTGTCCATCATTACATAAGCATAAAAAAATTGTCCACTTTTTCCCCTAAACCATTTACAAGTTATCACTGTTCTAACTATTTTATTATTCTGATTACTTCATCTTTAGTTGTTTTTTGAATATTTAATTTGAACACTCATTTACTTCCTTATTACTCTTTCTATTTTTCCAAAATGATGCATTGTGAGCAAATATTTCTACACTTTAACTGTTGTATTAAAATACTTGTTGTCATTGTCACTAACAGATTTACAGAATAAAAACTGATGGCGGTAATTATGCATCTATTTATAAGCCACATGACATAGTAATAAGTATTAACCTATATCTAGTTGTATGTTAGTCAAGATTTTCGAGTTCCCATGAATATATTGTTAATGTCTTCCTTAAACAAGGAGGATTTAATCGGAAGAGACAACTTTTTTACATCCTCACTTAAAAGTTTATCAAAATATTTTTAATTATTGTATTCCATACTTCCATCGAAAACCACTGACAGTGAAGCTAAACTTAAGACACCCAACGGGCATGAACTCACCAATGACCTTGGTCAGAGCAGGATAGTGAAATCGGGCAAATAATAGTATATCCATGAAAAGAGTGTTCAATAACGTGTCATGATGTTAAGCAGGATATTTGATCAGTTTTAAGTTAGTTTAGGGAAAGATTAAAGTTAGGTGTAGACTGAGAACAGGTTAGGGTTAGGTTAACCTAATTAGGAAGATATTAAGATAGGTTAGTGTGGTGTGAACATTTTCATAAACGTTTAGCATTTATATTATACACTATTCACATCTTTCATTTTTGTTTAAACCAGATCCTATACTGGAATTATAAAACGAATAAAGCCTTTATTGCGGGCCCTCAGTATTCTCACTTGATCGGTGAATGTTTGATTAACTCATAAACACTACAGTTAGGAGTAGATTAAGGTTAGGCTAGGCACAGACTAGGATTACGGTTAGGTTGAGGAAACATTAATTAAGGGTTGAGTCAGGAGACCAAATTCGCTTTCAGAGTTATCGCTCTTTCCAAGGTCATTAGTGTGTGCTCGCGCCTCTTGGAAGTTTAAAGTTTAACTTGACCCAAATGATAATTCCATTAGCTATTTTACAACTGTTATCTCTACTAATGTTTTATGGGAAAAAAAACTATCGGCTCGTAAGTGATACTATTTTATGTAATCATCAAATAGATATGCTAAAATATTTTTCATACAGCAAAACTAACCTAAATCTATAGACTCTACGAAAAATTCCTCCAAATGTTTTCTATCAAATAAACTTCTGTTATCTCTCCTCAGTGCAATTCTTCCAGAGTTGAGGGCTGGTTTATGACTAAACATAGTTATGAAGATATTAGCGTCCGTAATTGAACATCCTTTTGTCCCTGTATAGACTGATATTTTATACATGACACTTCGTTTATCTGAAATGGTATACAACAAAATTCTAATCAGATATGTCTGCTGAGAAATACTGAATAAGTACTGACAATTATTCAATAAAAACTCCTATAAACGTTCAGTTTGAGTGCTAAATCTTCACAGCCTTTCATAGGATATCAGAAAAAAAAGCAGATTTTGTTTTAATTTGAGGTGAATGCAGTAAATATGTTGCTGTATCAAAATGTTTAATTTGTCGTAGAAACTAGATAACTATTATTATTATTATTGTTCCCTTGGGTTCCTAGTGGAACATAGGGCTTCAACTGCACGTCTCCACTTGCTTCTGTCTTCTGCTAGTCTTTTCACTTGCGTCCATGTTATTCCATACTGTTTGATCTCCTCCTCACACGATCTCCTCCATGTCACCCTTGGACGTCCCACTCGCCGCTTCCCTTTCGGATTCCACTCGAGCTATGGCCTGACGCGCGATGTCACTCAACGGCATCCTCAGCGAGTGTCCAATCCATCTCCACTTCCTCCTGCATATTTGTTGGGCGATTGGTTCCTGTTTCGTTTGTTCCCATAGCTTCTTGTTTGTGATTCTTTCTGGCCATCTAATCTTCAGTATGGAGCGAAGACAGTTGTTGATAAAGGTCTGCAACCTGTTGAAAATATTCTTGGTGACCCGCCAAGTTTCTGATCCGTATAGCAAAACTGACTTGACGTTTGTATTGAAAATCCGAATTTTGTTGTTGATGCTGAGTGACGAAGATTTCCAGATTGGTTTCAGGTTGATGAATGTGTTTCTCGCCTTCCCGATTCTCGCTCGATTTGACATCCTCGTCCGTCCCTCCTGTGGTTGAGACAATGCTCCCCAGATAAGTGAAAGAAGTAACCTCTTTCAAATCCCTCCCGTTGATGGTGATTGGCACTGGATGTTGCTGCTGTTGTTGGTTGGTTATTTTCATAACCTCCCTCTTGTCTATGTTCACCTGGAGTCCTGTCTTTGCTGCTTCTTCGACCAGTTTGTCGGTTTTTGCTTGTAAGTCTTCGATTTTGTGTGACATCAAACACAAATCATCCGCGAAATCCAGGTCTTCTTGGTTCTTCACGTCGGTCGGTGCAGGATATCCCTGTCTTCTCGTCTCCCACTGTCTGATGCATAATCCAGTCCACCACAATTAGGAATATCATTGGTGATAATAAGCACCCTTGTCTGACTCCTGTGTTTACTCGAAACGCTTCGCTGAGTTTTCCGTTGTGGATCACTTGACATGTGCCGTTGTCGTACAGTTGTTGAATAAGGTTGATGAATATTTGCGGTACGCCGTAGTACTCGAGTAGTTTCCAAATTACTTCGCGGTCAACGCTGTCGAAGGCCTTCTCAAAGTCTATGAAGTTGAGGTAGAGATTTGATTGCCATTCCATGCTTTGTTCGATGATAATGCGTAGAGTTGCAATTTGGTCAGAACATGATTTGCCTTTCCTGAATCCAGCTTGTTCTGGTCGGAGTTCTGTATCCAGCGCGTCCTTGATTCTCTCCAGGATGATGCGACTCAGGATTTTACTTGGCGTCGACAGGAGCATGATTCCTCGCCAGTTCTTGCAGAGTCCCAGGTCGCCCTTCTTTGGTAGTTTCACCAGGTAACCTTTCCTCCAGTCAGTAGGCACCTTTCCCTCTTTCCAGATCTTTTGCAATAATGGAGTCAGCATATCTGCCGTCGTTTCTGGGTCCGCTTTCAGTGCTTCCGGGGGTATTCCATCTGGTCCAGCTGCTTTTCCAGCTTTCAGAAGCTTGATTGCATTCATGACTTCAGTTTTCGTTGGAGGATTGGTGTCAACTTGCAGTTGTGTACGTGCTGTTGTTGGTATTACTGGACGGGTTGTAGGTGGTGGTCGGTTCAAGAGTCCTTTGAAGTGGTCCGCCCATTGTTTAATCTGTCTTTCTTCTTTGGTAATTGGGTTCCCTTGGCTGTCTTTTATAGGTTTCACTTGTGTTGATCTCTTCCCGGATAGAGACTTGGTTATCTGATATAGTGTCCTCAGGTCCCTTTTGCCTGCTGCCTTCTCAGCTTCAGTAACCAGGTTGTCGTAGAATTGTATTTTGTCCTTCCTGGCACTCTTCTTCACTTCTTTGTCCAGTGCTGTGGAAGTTGAGTTCAGCGTCTCTTTCTCTTGTCCATCTTTGCATTGAATCATTTTCTCTTTCACTTTTCTCCTCTCCTCTATTAGTTTCCAAGTGTCTGTTGAGAGCCATTCCTTGACTTGTTTCTTCTTTCTTCCTAAAACCGTTGAGCACGTTTCGTTGAAAATTACCTTCAGAGAGTTCCAATGGTCTTCCACGGATGATTCCTCGGTGGTGCCACGTAGTGTTTCCTGCTTAGCTCTGACAGTTGCAGTGAAAATGTCCTGTGTGATTGTGTCCTTCAGTTTGTGAGTGTTGAACTTGCATTGTGGCCTATCCCCAGGTATCCTCGAGGCTTTCAGCTTCACCTTGAAAGTCTCTTGTACCAGATAGTGGTCTGAGCCCACATCTGCTCCTCTCCTCGATCTTGTGTCCAGTAGGCTCCGTCTCCACTTCCTTGAGATTGAAATGAAGTCTATCTGGTTTTTGGTGTGTCCATCTGGTGAAATCCATGTTGCCTTGTGTATATCCCTGTGTTTGAACACACTGCCACCAATCACCAAATCATTGAAGGCGCAGAAGTCTGAGAAGAGTTCGCCATTTTCGTTCATTTCACCGAGGGCCTCACGACCCATGGTGAGTTCTCTTCCTGTATTGTCTCCTCCCAGTTTCGCATTCATGTCGCCCATCAGGATTTTGATATCGCTCTTTGGGACGTTGTCCATTACTGTTTGTAGTTGACTGTAGAAATCCTCCTTCTTCTCATGTTCTGAGGCGTTTGTAGGCGCGTAGCACTGAATGATTGTAACCTTTTTTCCTTTTGAGTTGAACCTGGCTGTCATTATCCTGGAGGAGATTGGTTCCCACTGCATGAGAGCTTTAGCCGCTGTTGGTGACATCATGATGGCTACTCCCTCGGTGTGCTCGTGATTGTCCTCTGGGTGACCGGAGTAGATTATTGTCTCTCCAGTTGATAGTTGGCTCCTTCCACATCCGTTCCATCTGCTCTCGCAGATTCCCAACACTTCTATTTTATATCTCCTCATTTCTGCGGCTACCTGAGCAGCCTTCCCAGCTTCGTACATTGTACGAACATTCCACGTCCCCATCCTTATTTTCGCTTTCATCGAAAGAAGGCACATCGGCTGACTGGCTTCCCGAAGGCTTTCACCAGCCCGCGTCATTTCACTTCTCCGATTCCAGCGAAAAATAAGGTCACTATTTGTAATTTTAGAATTTTGAATATATTTGTGCGTTGAAGTTTTAGTAGCAATTTGGTTAAGTTTTGGGGGTGGAGTTGCTAGCACCACGCCCCAACCCTCCCTCTTTATCCGGGCTTGGGACCGGCTAGAATACTAGTGACCTAGTAATCTAGGCGAGGTTTAGATAACTATAGATCGTGATTATCATGTCTTTACTTGTAACGACAGAAGACAAGGGTCAGGCAACAGATCACTTATTGAGAAAATCAAGAGATATTTATATATTTTTTTCTATAGTTGTGTTTATCGATATAAGAATAAAACTTCGGCACCCATAATGGAATTATAGTTTGGTTTGTAAGGGTTAGTTATGTTTTTACGGATTGATATCAGTTAGAGAACCATTGAAAACCAGCACAGAGTACTAGACAGCTGTTTCGTCTTACTTTGGGAATCATCGACAGTACGCACTCACCACCAGGATTCGAACCCAGGACCTTCCGGTTACAAGGTAAGCCACTGGGACCCGACTAAAATGGCCAGTTAATGAATTCTAACATCTACCAATTCGTGATTTAGCGCGACCCCAACCAATGTCGTTAGTGGGACATCCATCCTCACACGCGACATCTAGTTGAATTACTATTCGTTATTATTAGCAGAGAAACAGCGTCTTCTGATTGGTTGTTTTCTCTCTGAAAGTTATCCTGTCATCTCTTTGTAGCCATTTCTTTTAAGGTCAGGCCAAATATCTGTGAATCGTACCCGCCCACGCAAAGTCTGCTGTGATTGGTTGTTGAGTTCCTCACGGTTTGTCTTTGTCCTTGTTTTTTTCTCATGACCAAGATTCGTGACGTAAACATTGACGTAAATTGCTGTCCACCAATTTTGGCTAGCAAACAGCTCTCACCACATACTGACTAGTTCTAATCCACCGAAATGAATAGTGTATGAGTTGAGAATTTTAACCAACAGGAAGAATTAGTGTTTCACTGCATACTTCTGAACATAAAACTTTCTAAAAGTTATATATTTTGGCATATTAAAAGTTGCATCAGTCATTTCAATATTTAAACGATCACAGATTCATATAGTTTGAATCTTCATCCTTCTGAATGGATTTTTAAAAATTTTTTTATTCCTTTACGTTCCCAGTGGAACATACGGATTCAAGTTAGAGGCTTGAAGTTTCTCTAGTAATAGTGATTATTGCTAGCCCCATGCCCAAACTTCCCTCTTTACCAGCCTTAATACTGGCTTAGTGAGGTAAAGGAGTGCGTCGATCAGGGGTCGAACCCCAGACCACCTGCGTGGTCGGTGAGCACTCTACCGATGTGTCACCGACTCACTTCTGAATGAATGATGTACACAAACTTGCCACTCAAGAGTTAATAGAGTACACTCGAATTCTGTATCTGCTGACTGAAATCTACCAAGTAACTTCATAGTATGACTACCAAAATTGTTCCTGTCGTATTAGGTTAACCGGTTACTTTTCTTTTTGTTTCACTTACGATCGTTATATTTAAGAGTATTCATATAGTAATAATGCTGACGCCTGAAACTCTTTTTGAACGAAACTGATGAAATAAGGTGACTTTTATTTAGTGGATGATGAGCAGCAATGCAATCCAGGGTGCTTATCTCATATCATTTGGATATCTTCAGCCGGGTGCACCTTCAATCACCAGTATTCCTTCTGAGATTCGAACCCAGTTTCCTTCGTTTCAGAAGCCCAAACTCTGTTCACTACTAGTCACCATCCACCAAATATAAGCAGTGTTAATTTTCATACATCCTTGAAGAGTCCATACCAGGAGCCAATATGTCAACAGAAACCGAATATTTTGGTTCAGTCAATCAATGGGAGAAGCAGAAATTGACTTATGGTGAACAGTCTTCACTTTGTTAGCTTTTTATACAAGTTAAACATGGTATTCTGTCTTACTCAATGCTGTAATTTATGCAGCTAGTGAAGGATTCACAATAGAAAGCTATTTAAAAAGTAGCTATCCTAACAGATGACTGTATTGCACAGTGTTGCGTAGTCACTGAGCGACCACGCTTACTTTATGTAAATCAATTCGAAGTTTGAAAAAGCCGGAAATACCCACTGAGTCATGAAAAACATGCGAGACAGTTCAGCAAACACAATCGTTTTTGTCGATGAAGTCATCATCAAGAGCTCTACAAGAGCACTCAAAGATGGTTCCTGAAGATTAACGCATTTGTGAAAATAATCGGGCATGGTTAGAGAGAGGACAATGCAAGACAATCAACAGTTCAGTTTTTGAGCACCTGGCAACCTCAGACCACGTGACTCCATCACTGTTGTCTTATGAAGACCAAATGGTACAAAGGGTGTCAGGTTTCCACCCTTGTGGATGGCAGAGGTGCTGGCTATCTGTCAATATAATCCCGTACTCTGTGTGCATAATAGGTATGCTCAGTCTCTTATTCTACCTTGATCTTAGACTCTTTCCTATTCGTTCGCTTCTAATTTTAGTGATTAATTTCACTATTACCCTTCTTACATTTTCCTTTTGTGCATTTCACTAAGTTCTATCTCATCTTCTTCACATTCGCCAAATAGACACTCAAATACTTTGCTTCTCATTGAATAAGAACTTTCATCTTATCAAATTTCAAACTCTTACTTCCATTGTATTGTTGATTATTAAGTAATATTTTATCTTTACAAAATACGTCTGATTAATTGCATGAATTATGTCACTCCCCTAATGCTCAGTTATAGATCCCCATAAATATTTGGTAAATGCAAGTATGACAGTGCATCCCTTCACGATGACTTCGTTGATCAAAAGGTTTCCACTGAATTGTCTTTTAGTTTCTTCATAATTCAAAGCTGTATTCAGAAATTCTATCGGTGACATCACATTTTCCGTGTTTCATTTCACTAATCATAATTAAGATTCGAACCCTTTTTCAAGGTATGCAGTTAGAAAACAAATCAGAATGTAACTGTTTGCAGTGGTTTAACATACTAACATAAATTTAAGAGGACTTGCACTAAAGATCTAAGAAAAACCTTTATCACAACAGGAAATAATCCGGATTTCTACAATCAAACTTTGTGGTGGTGTGATACAGACAATGGGTTCCAATGGAATATTATTCTCATATTCAATACTGCATTAGCAACGGAATAGTATTATTAGTACTGTTTCCTTTAGTTCCTAGAGGAACATAGGGCTTCAGCCGCACGCCTCCATTGAATTCGGTTCTCTGCCAGTGTTTTCATCTGGTTCCCAGTCTGCCCACATGCTTTCATCTCCTCTTCACATGACCTCTTCCTTGTCACCCTCGCTGTGACGACCAACTCGCCGCTTCCCGTTTGGATTCCCCTTGAGGGATTGTCGTGTGATGTCACTTTATGGTTTTATTAGAGTATAGCCAATCCACCTCCACTTCTTCCTGAAAATTTTTGCACAATAGGTTCCTGGTTGGTTCGCTACCAGAGATCCCTGTTACTGATCTTTCTGGCTATCTGATCTTGAGTGGTATTGAGCGAAGACAGCTGTTGATGAAAGTCTGTAATTGGTTCGTAGTGCTCTTCATGCTGCGCCAGGCCTCTGATCCATAAAGTAGCACTGACTTCACATTGGAGCAAAAGAATACTATATGAGTATTTCAACATTCTATTTCATGTCGTTTAATGTAAACCAAAATCACACACTTAGTGATTGGTTAAAGAATATAAACTGTATAGATATAAATAGCTGTTTGATCAGTCGAAAATATGCCTTGGCTTCCATGTCTTGCCTTCGGCTGTTACAACTCTAGAATCCTACAGAAATGCACTATTTTCAAATACAGTCGGCATTTTATGCCTAAAATGTAACATTAGGGTAATATTTTACATTTCAATATATTCTTCTGTTCATTAAATGTTAATACTTGAGGAGTTTTAAAGAGATAGACATAGCTTTATATCAAGCGCAAGTTTTCTGTGATGCTGTGTGTCATTAACTTATGACTAATTCTAAATTTTTGTGTAAAACATGTATATAACAACTTACTTTTAAATTCATTGAATGCTTGTTTCCGAGGTTCTTCAACAATTTTACTATAGTTGACTAGAATATCCTTCTTGAAATCTGAAGTTTGAATAACGCTTAACCACTGATTAATCATAAATATATACATGCGTTTGCTTATTGGATCTTTTATGCTTATTCGTTCACAATACCACTTGAGTGATTGCATTTCTTTTAAATTAGTCTGTTTGCTATCAGGTATTCCGTGTATACCTAGTCGAACAGTTTCAATTTCACCTAATGGGAAACTTGATAATCTTTAAATACAAAATAAAAGAACAGAACAAGATAAACGTGTTAAGATAAGGATAAGAAAATACCTGTGCTGATCTATAAATATTCTTACGCTCACTCATTTGAAGTCCTGATGCAAGCGGTTGGTCTATTTAACACCTAATTAACGTATACAGGTAAATGTAATGACTAAATTCATGATTGTAATTCCTCTAGTTGTTCCAACTCACCTGTCAGTGACTAATTGTAACTTTGTTATTCTTGTATGCTTCAATGAGCTTCTGATTACATTGCAAGCTTATATCCTAGATGTCCGAATTTAGTCCATTTGACAATTTTTAAAAATGAGCACTACAGTCCTTGTTCTTTTTCCGTAATTCAACACACAAGTTTTAGTTACAGGATTTCATCATGAGCTGACATTGGTTAGAGAACCATTGGAAAACCAGCTGGGAGTACTGGACAACCAGCTGTTTCGTCCTAGTTTGGAACTCTTCAACAGTACGCACCCACCTCAGGGGCTCGAACCCACGATCTTCTGCTATCAAGGCTAGAGAGCTCGTAGACCATTAAGCCACCGGGACCCGATCCAATGGCCCATGACTTCTAACTTCTGTAACCAATCAGTTAAATCCCTACAAACCAATATGGATGAGATGCTCACTGGAGACTTGCCCTATTCAGGCAGGTAGTTACCTGGGGTTCTATTGGGAAGTCGTGACCAGTAGGGTGCAGCAGGTCTGGTGTGAGGACAAATACTCGCCGAAGACATTGGTTAGCGGTTGCGCTATGTGGTCAATTGGCAGAAGTTGGAATTCATGGGCTGGCCATTGGATAAGGTGGGTCCTAGTGGCTTTATGGTCTACGAGCTCACTGGACTTGTAACAAGAAGGTTGTGAGTTCGAACCCCTGTGGTGGGTGAGTACTGATGAAGAGTCCCAAACTAGGACGAAACAGCTGGTTGTCCAGTACTCCCAGCTGGTTTTCCAATGGTTCTCTAACCAATGTCAGCTCATGATGAAATCCTGTAACCGATCAATCAAATTCCTACAAACCAACACTTGAACACAAGTTTTAATTAGTGCTTTAGGCGGAAATTACTTCTTAACTCAATAAATAAAAAAATTCAGTAATAAAATATACTTAACTGCACAATTAATGTGAGACGTTTCACTCACTGAGGACTGCAGATACATCCATCCAATAACTCCCAAATGGGACGAAATGCTTTTCCTGGATTCCACTGCTAGTCACCATTCACCAGAGAACATGGTGTTGCGAATTTTTACTAGAGAAAAGTAGTTTACTCGTTGTTCATCAGTCCTGTAACAGTCATCATCGACCGGGTAACTACAAGACTTCATGTGTCTGGGATTTATATTTTTTTGATTTCACCACAGGAAAACTTTGATTGGTACTTGATTGTTGGAAAAAATATTTTATTAACACTCCGAAGAATTATTTTCTGCAGTGGACAGTTATGCTTTACACTTTAATATCTCTGATTTGAAAAGTGAATAACCAATCTTTAAGTGAAGGAGGTTTGTTTCAATGATCTCAAGTTAAGTATGCAGAATGTTCACTAAATCCAATTATCTTATATTCATGGACGTATTAGGCGAACCATGAACCTACTTCTCAATAAATATGCCGAAGAAAATGGGAATGGATTGGGCGCACGCTAAGGGGACCCTTGAGTGACATCATGCGCCAGACAGTCCCTCGAAGGGAACCCCACTGAGAAGTGACGATTTTGGCGTACGAGGAGATTGTGAGAGAAGATGAAAGCTTATGGGCAATAGTGGAGACAGATAGAAAGGAATTCAGAGAACAGAACGAAATGGAGACGTGCTGTTTAGGGAGTATGTTCCATTTCGAACACAAGGGAACAGTAATAATAAATCGGTTAAACAAAGAAGACAATGATATATCTTGAACAAAAATGCAGTCACACTTGAGAAACTGCATTTTGGAAACCAACTGGAAGTTTTCCATTAGCTATTAGTATTAATAAATTCAAAATAATGTTTTAATGATTCCCAGTTCTATGTAACGTTTTCAATTTTATTTACATTTGTCTCCTCAGTTGCATAAGCTAACAGGTATAATAAATAAAAACAGGAATTAATGTCATCCAGTTTCTATATCACCAATGTTTTGCTTGATAATGAATGATGAATGGTTCATCACTACACTTTAGTATGATTATTTTCCAAAATATCAGTCGCATTCCTTGTAGATCGGATGACGATTTCTGTCCCACTTCAATTGTATGACTTCACGTAGAAAAATAGTCAACTAAAAGTAATAATTAATGTCACTACGTTCTATTCATAATCACTAAAAAACAATCAAAGAATCTTACTGGAATTGATTAATTTGTCCGGTTTGAAGTATTGGCTTTTCTGCTTTGTTTATAAGCTCCAGTCTTGGACTACGACCATTTTTACCTTCTATAACTACCCAAGCATTGCAAGTTGTGCCTGAATCTTTCAATTTCCCAGTTTGTATTTCTACATCGTAGACTAAAATAAAATAAAGTCATTGTAAGGAACAGAGTTTAAATAACGCTTGTGAACTTTAATTCATTTTGGACTTTCCCGCCGACGGATTAGACCGAAACGCTCAGCCTCTGTTAACGTGTCCTCTTCTCGTGCGAACGCTTTGAAAATGTCTGAAGATTTAGCTTGGAGTAGTTTGGTGAGTAGGGACTAGCAGTGGAATCCAGAATGAAATGCACATCCTAGATTCTACTGCTAGTCACTATCCACCAAATTAACGCTTGTAAACGCCTGAAAACTCCCGAATTCCACTGTCACGACTTCTCTGTATTCATCCACCTAACACTCATACTCTAAGATACATAACACAGTCATTTATAAGTCAATGAAAAATACCTGTGACAACACTTAGCTGGTGATCTCCAGCTAATTATTGACTAAATGACTTCTTCTGGTTATTCGTATCAAACGACAAACTAAGTAGGAACAAGTAAAATGGACAGGTCAATTAATAAAATTGAATACAGAGATCTTCCGACAAAACAAATCAGTAGATACCTCACATTTAAGTACAGATTCATTGAAAACAATTCATGTTAATTTTATTATCACACACCAATAGATGTTTCCTGGTGGATGGTGGTCGGCTCTCATTCGGACTGAAAGCACTCACCTTCATAAAGTTTTCAATTTTATTTGCAAACAAACCTCAAAACAAACGGAATTCAATCTTTTTCACTAACCAATTATATGAAGGGAATTATCTTAACATGTACAGAAAATATCAGATTCAAATTTCAAGGAAAAGCATACAAACACTGAGAAATCTCATTATACCCCTATCAGCAGGCGTATTTATGTTCAAATTAACGGAAGAAATGGAAGGTATGTTGGGAAAATATACTCTGTATGCATATTATCTGATACACAGATGAAAGTTTCTTTGGTGAAACGTCTGCTTTCACTGGCCCCTAAAATTCGTGCCAGCTACACACTAATCAAAGAACTACAAGACATATGTTCAACTCTTCACGTTAATGAGTATCTTCGAAACATCAATATATTTCACAACAAACTAGTGTGATGAAGATACTACTGACAACTTAAAGGCTTCAGTCACCTATGAAGTGCAGATTCTATAGTGTCTTTATTTCCCTAACCACTGGAAAACGTCCCCTTGTTATGGCCACAAAAATGAAAAGAAGCTCTGTGAGCTCTACTCTACAGGTTCTTTTGCAGTTGCCAGGACATATTTATCTGTGGAACTATAAGTATGTTCCAGTGTCGTTTGAAAGAACATGTTGTTAAGTGGTTACTAATTCACATAGAACATCCAATTGCACTTAATCGATAATTAAATGGAGACTAATCGACAGAAATAACGAGAAATCGCTTGTCCCGTTCCCTGTAGACAACCCTCTTCTCAGCCGAACTTCGATTTGCTTTCTCCAAAAAAACCAATAGTTTGTATGGACACGAAAGATAAGCCCCTACTGCTGGCCTCATCACTGTGTACCTATTCGTTAACCTGTTCCTATGAAGCTAGATATGTGGGCCATACTCAGCGTTTGCTGCAGAATGTAGACATCAAGCAAATTCTCAAACCAACTTCGGATTCGTCTATAAAGCACACGGAAATCTTGCCAAAGGAGTAGGAATCAAACTTCTCCAAACCACAGAAGCGAAAGCAATTCACATGCTAAATCCTGAACTCTGCATATAGAGGTTTGTTCAGTTGCTAAACTTGCAACGGAGCTTATTTGTCTCACCCCCCCCCCCCCCGGTTATGTATATTTTCTTAATTTGTTTAATTTTAATGGTGTTCCACCTTCCCACTATTACACTTCAAATGCTTATGATACTGATCCCAACTTGACTGTCTTTCAATTTTAGCTGAGCTCTACCTAATACTGACAATTGTATTATGTCACTCAATTTCTTTATTTTAGTATGTTTCTGTTTCTACCTCATTAACGCTTTCTGCATTACGTAATTGTTATGCATGACAGATCTTTGAGAACTTCCCTTTTATTGCTACAAAAATGTGGCATGCAATTATGCATGACACTGTAAAGCTTTGAGGTGATATCTCTGAAAAGAGTAACTCTTCCCTGAAGCCCATTTTTTCCTAAGTAAATAAGCCAATTCAAAAATACAAAGGAAGTTAAATCGACCACAAATTAAGAAAGCAATTTTTAAAAATTACAAAGCCAGAACTGTGCAGGGAGATGGCACAAATCTATTTACCAAAAGTATGACAAATTTTTAAAGTTTGAGTGAACTTAAAAGTAAATTAAGAAAAAGTGTACCACTATGTACTTTATCCGCAAGTAAAAGTGCGTTTTCTTTTTGAAAAATAACAAAATAATTATCAACAACCACATATGATATGCTTATACTACTCAAAATAAATTATGGTTGAAAAATCTTGACAGCAACACAATCTACACAATGTTTTCTATTGACTGTCTTCTTTTCAAAGATAAAGTGAGAGATTATCAAAAATAACTTAGATTGCTACATAACAGTTTATAATGATTAATTGATAAGGCGATTTACTGAACACTTCACTTTTGTTCAATAATATAAACGCTAAATATTTTTATTTCCATAGGGAATATGACATGATTTAGTAACATACTGTCTGACAACACCCATAATTCACACTTGTAATCATTGCTTTGCATAATCAAAACACCTTTTTGTTTAAACTAAAAGCTATTCTACGAAGTTTATACACTTAAATTCTTGTTCCATGAAAAGTCATTTCAGGATAGGAATGAGGGTAAATGGGATCTCATAGTTTCTTATATGAATGAGGTCCAAGTACTATAGGAAACGGTTGTTAAGTTTTACAAAGATCACGCTGTACTCCCTCTAAATGTCTGTAAAATATACTTTGAATAAAGGATAAATAAGGCTTTGGAACCCGAGAAGTAAGCAACCCAGTCAAGTAACAATGACAGTAGCAACAACATTACAGAATTCCCAGCGTATTTTACTGCATAATACTTTCCCTTCCTCTAGGATCTTCAATTAAATTAGCAATCTAGAGTATATCATGTGACGAAATACTTTTCGTTCTGAAGCACAGGCTAACCGCTTATGATAATTTCTCTTCCACTCCGAGAAATGTTCACTGGTAGGTAGAATGCCATTTAAAAATGTGTGTGTGAGTGCCTTTCGCCACCCATTGATATAGTTGGATGATTAAAAAAACTAAGTAATAGGGAAACTTTGATTTACTGTGTTAGATGAGTACTTAGGTAGCACAGTGATCCAAGTAGGCTGTCAAAAGGCATTGGGAAAAATAAAGTGTATCTCAAGCATGACACAGTATTACTGCTCCTATGACTAAGGAAGCCTAGTTTCACCTATTAATATTAAAAAGTAGTACATTAGTTTCGATAAAGAAAGGAAGACGAAATTTGCAGTATAAAATGATATCGTCATTCTATTTCACAGGTTCTCATCAGCTGCAGACTACCTGAAATTACAATGGTTATATAGATGATAATAACATACTTTAATGTTTAAGTGGTAGTAGAGAAGAAATACTATAACACTGACGCATCCAAAATGTAAGCATTACATTAATTAGTCATCTAATTCAGTGATCTCAATTCACTGAGCAAATCTCAATCTTATAAACTGTAACCGCTTATGTTTTTTGAGTTGCTATGTGAACCTACAAGCTAACGCTGTTCTGTTTATCAATTTTTATGTTTTCCGTTTTAAACCTCCCCCCTCTTTTCTACTTTGAAAGCGTATAAATTGATGATGAAAACTTAAACTAAAAATTGTAATGCTTACATTTTGGATGCGTCAATGTTATAGAATTTCTTCTCTACTACCACTTAAACATTACAGTATGTTATTATCATCTATTATATAACCATTGTAATTTCAGGTAGTCTGCAGCTGATGAGAACCTGTGAAATAGAATAATATCATTTTATAGTGCAAATTTCGTCTTCCTTTATTGATCCAAATTTATCAAGGAAATCAAATGTATGTAGCACACTAGTAATTTTGAATACTACGGTTTCTACATTCGGTAGTTTTTGATAATAAAATAAATTTCATGGTACTCAAATTCATCAAAAAAAGAAAAGAATTTACCTATTTGTCCTCTGTCGTTTAAAGTGACCATACTTGTAGAATTAGCCAATAACATTTTAGTTTCAATGAATTCCTGATCGTTAATTTTTTCGCCTTTGGAATCGGATAAATAGACTTCAGAACATGAAATATCTCGCAACAACTGTTTATTACCATCACCTGTTGATAGCCATTGGTTACAGGTGAATTTCCAGTGACATGTTAAACTGTTCTCGCCTTTTTCAATAACTTCTCTTACTTCAAGCCATTCACAATACCAATTCGGTGATGTTCCTCTATTATCATGCCATATTCGACAGCGTGCTAAATTGCCAAGTTTTAGAATAGATGGTATTTTGAAATGATCGGTCTAAAATAAACAAAAATGTTGTTTCATCATGTATTCATTGATCGCTGGGAGCAATAAAAATGAACAGCATTCCCTAGGGTCGCTGACAGAAAATCGTGTTAATTTAAATGTGTCTCTGTCAGCATTGATTGAGGATGGTAACTATTTGATCATATGAAATTTTACAAGATATAAAGTTTGTGGTGCCAGAAGGGTATTGAGATGCCTTTCACCAGTTGAACAGACTGAAGTTTAATCCACTTTACAGTATGTGTGAACGGTATGACCGACAAATACACGTGTGTAGTCAGCAATGTTTCCCAAGTTCTCATGTTTTGGTTCAAGTAGGTAAAAGACACCTAAGTTAGGAATGTAGTGTTTCGAAATAAAACGAGGTATTCATTTTGATTATATCAAGTTTGATGGTTATTATTATTGTTCCCTTGGGTTCCTAGTGGAACATAGGGCTTCAACTGCACGTCTCCACTTGTTTCTGTCTTCTGCTGTACTTTTCACCTGCATCCATGTTAGTCCATACTGTTTCAGTTCCTCTTCACACGATCTTCTCCATGTCACCCTTGGACGTCCCACTCGTCGCTTCCCTTTCGGGTTCCACTCGAGCATTGGCCTGACGCGCGATGTCACCCAGCGGCCTCCTCAGCGAGTGTCCAATCCATCTCCACTTTCTCCTGCATATTTGTTGAGCGATTGGTTCTTGTTTTGTTTGTTCCCATAGTTTCTTGTTGGTGATTCTTTCCGGCGGCCATCTGATCTTCAGTAAAGAGCGAAGACAGTTGTTGATAAAGGTCTGCAACAGGCTGTTGGAAATATTCTTTGTGACCCGCCAAGTTTCTGATCCGTCCGTATAGAAGAACTGACTGACTTGACGTTTGTATTGAAAATCCGAATTTTGTTGTTGATGCTGAGTGATGAAGATTTCCAGATTGGTTTCAGGTTGATGAATGTGTTTCTCGCCTTTCCGATTCTCGATTTGACATCCTCGTCCGTTCCTCCTGTAGTTGAGACAATGCTCCCTAGATAAGTGAATGAAGTAACCTCTTTCAAATCCCTCCCGTTGATGGTGATTGGCGCTGGATGTTGCTGCTGCTGTTGTTGTTGTTGGTTGGTTGGTTATTTTCATAGATGGTTATGATATATGCGAATAATAACGGGCTACCATCAACCGTGACTTGCAAATAAGTAACTTGTGTGACACAATATAATTGATCGGAATGAGTAGAATTCAACTTAAATTGCATGACAGCCAAGTTAACAACAGTGGTAATAAGGGGTAGAAATTTAATAGTGGGGTTGAGGTAAGAAATAATACAATTAAAAAACGAAAATTACACATCCGTTGTTAAGATAGATCAGGTCCATTGTAGATTTAGGAGCGATTATAAGGCATATTCCTTTTTTGAAGTGGCGCCACCTGCTTTATCCATTGGGTATTAGGGCATTTCAATCAATATAAATAGGCCAAAATATTCCAGCGTGAATGCATGAAAATTCAATAATATACGTTTAACCTTTGAAAGTACTACCTCCTTCAATCCACTACATTGTTCAGATATCAGTATCAAGCAACATTTTATAATAAAAGTGCAGTAAATGTAACTTAGATCAAGAACATAATGTCGCCGGTAATATGTACACCAGAAACAATTTTTAATGAAGAATTTCATTTAAAAATTATATTAAAAAAATATAACTTGTCATTAAACCACCATAGCACCGGACTTCGATGCTAAAATTAGCGGGCACATGTAATAAAGCCACTGTAGATTTAGTGACCAAACAAACTTCTTATCAATACAGAGTTCAGGATTTAACATGTGAATTGCTCTCGCTTCTGTGGTTTGAAGAAGTCTGATTCGTCCTCTTTTAGCTACATTCCCGCATATTCTGCAGATAACTCTGAAGTTGGTTTGTGGGTTAGCATGATGTCCAGATTCGACCAGGTGTTCCAGGATGGAGCTGTAAGGGGATCTTTTTTCTCCTTTATAGAATTATAAGTGTAAGTGTTCGATGAAACGTTTGGATAGCAAAACTCGACCACAGACAAAATACCTAACTCCACACGAGTAGATGAACTGATAGATACACATTGATGTGACCAGCAGTGGTAGCTTATCCTTCACATTCATGCGAATCATTGGATTTGCGGAGAAAGTTAGTCGAAGTTCAGCTGCGTAGAAGGTTTTCTTCAATGAGCATGGCAGATGGCTTCTCAGTACTTCTGTCAATTAGTCTCTCTGGTGAATTGTAGATTCAGATAGAGAAGTCTTTTAGGGGCAGAAATTATGGGCTGTTATAGTGATTTTAGTTTCATGTATATGGTTGGATACAACTGGCATAAATGATAATTCTGCCAATCGTATTCGACATGGGAAAGTAATGAGTAACTTATTTGAGGAACAAATAACAAAACTGCTTTGTAATCACTTCTGACGCGGATAATTATTTTCGATTTTATTGCCTTGTATTCCTAGTGGAACAGAGAGCATCAGGCTTTGAGATTTTAAGTTTCAGTAGCATCCGTACTTTGTTAAGGGTTGGGGTGATAGTCTAACGCCCAGCCTACCCTATTTACCTGGTTTACTACCGGTTTGTCAGGAATTTAGAATGCGTCGGTCAGTGATAGAACCCAGGACCACATACATGCTTGACAAGCATTCTAGCACTGAACCACTGACGATGTGACCCGAACAGCCCACGCAAATAAAGGCGGAAAGCGGACTGGTTCGAGGCAATAAGAACAATTGGTCTTTATCATGCAGAAATACATTATATACAAGTACTATGTACCTCAGAAAGTTAGGGCAATACATAACTAATGTAGTTAGTTGCATAAATTCGGACTGTAAGGTTGTCCAACTGCATTATAATAAATATATATTCTGCCTCAGCCCAACAGTTTAAATTTATCCAACAGGGTTTTAGCTGGTTTTGATCTGTTTTACCGGGTTCTAATATAAGGCGAAATCAGGGGCATATAACACGGAATTTGTGGTCTGGACTTCAGTATATAGGTGGTAACATTTCTGTCCCTTTCTATATTTGTCAATGGAAGTTTGTTGGTGGAAAGGTGGATGTGTGTAAATATTTCAACGCAAATGAGAATTAAGGCTAACTCCTGTCATCGGATCTACAGTATTAGTGTCTTTACTATCATACAGTTCACCAAACAAATATTAATTGTCAAAAAATTTGTGTTAAATCGCCAAATTGCAGATAAATTAGCTTATTACCAACGGAAACTAGTGTGTGCATAAACACTTCATGGAATTATTTCTGATATGTGACATATGTGTTTAATAGAAAATATTGAACCAAAGCTATTAGAGGAGTCGGTGGCACAGCAATAGGATGCTCACCAACCAAGCAGGTGGTTCGGAGTTCAATCCCCGGCCATCGACGCACTCCTTTAAATCGCTAAGCCAGTAATAAGCCTAGTAAAGATGGAGGGTTGGACATGAGGCTAGCAACTCATCCCGTAAAAATAAACACCACTGCTACCGAAACTTCAAGCCTCTAGCTTGAAGCCCTATGTTCCCCTGGGAACGTAAAGGAATAAAAAAGCTGTAAGACTTCAATAAGCATCTTGTTCATATTAGACATAATACCATAAAAATAGGTTGATATACTTACTGCATTATTTTGAAATGGTTTCTGATTGGTAACAGTCTGTTTCAACGCCAGCTCTCCAGAATCACCATACTCACCAAATAGTTGTATAAAAATATTGGCATCTGTAGAACTGTCAGACATATTTCCAGTCTTGACGAAAATATCCAAACTTGTTGCTTTTAGTTGGTTAAAATTAAACATAAAGTTTAACGTTACCTTTATTTTGTAGCTATATACTCAAAACAAAAGTTGGTCACTGACAATATAAATATTTATAGCTCACTTTTCCGTAGGTGAAGAGTATGACATGACATATAGATCGAGTACTCTGTCCTTAATTCCTGAAGAATAGCAAAGCTATAGAACTAGCTAAACAGTGGTGACTTCCAGGAAACATTATAGTTTCCACATTAGCGTATTAGCTTTCGAAGTTATTTACTCTATGATTTAAAAAATTAATTGTTATTGAGTGTGTCGCCATGTTTTCGACTTGGAAAGTTGTAAAAGTCATAGATTCTCATCAAAACTTTGAGGAATAAATTAGCTAAGTTTTGAAAGAATGAAAAGATTTAAATTTATTTCTCTTTTTGGCTTACTAGATTTGTTGTTCAATAATACAAATATTACTTAATGAATGACATTCCGAATACAATCTTTTATTGACATTTGTTGTCATCTCTTAAATTATAAGTTTTCATTTTTTATTCCTTCACGTTCCCAGTGGAACATAGGGCTTCAAGCTAGAGGCTTGAAGTCTCTGTAGCAGTGTTTATTTTTATAGGGTGGGGTCGCTAGCCTCATGCCCAACCTTTCCTCTTTACCAGCTTTATTTCTGGCTTAGCGAGGTAAAGGAGTGCGTCGGCCGTGAATCGAACACTGGACCAAGAGCATGACCGGCGAGTGTCCTAATCGCTGTGCCATCGACGCACATATGGAGACTTTGCTGAACACATTTAACAAACCGTGTGATACGAAATCACATGTAGTTGAAACCCCTAAACTCTACCTATATGATATGACCGTAAATACAACCAGATAGTCTCTTGGGCTAAAGAACTTCCTAACTGGTAGATTTGTGAGCATACCGGTCTAACCTTTATTCACAACAAGAACCACCAGAACATGATACCAGTAACGTGTGAAGCAAAGAAGAAAGGAATAAAACAGACCGCTGAGTATAGAGCTTTAACTATCTCGGATGAACAGCAAAAAAACTTAACATATATATGACAACGAAACAGTGAGGGATCTCTGGGAGCGGACCAACTCAGCAGAAACCAATTGTGCAACAAATATGCAGGAAGAAATGGAGGTGGATTGGCCACACTCTGAGAAAACAAACCATCAAGTGAGTGACATCACACGCCAGGCCATCGCTCGAGTGGAACCCGAATGGGAAGTGGCGAGTTGGTCGTCAGTGGGAGGGTGACATGGAGGAGGTGATGTGAAGAGGAGATGAAAGCATGTGGTCAGACTTAGAGCCAGGTGAAAACGTTGGTGGAGAACCGAACGCAATGCAGACATGAGGCTGAAGAACTATGTTCCTCTAGGAACTAAAGGAAACAGCTATATATATATATATATATATATATATATATATATGTAAAGGCTTAAATGACTTTGATTTAAGTGCTCTTTATTTCGTCTCAACCAACAGGGCCCAGAAGTCATAAATGAAAAAATGCAAATATCTATACAGTAAAAATAAATGTAATATTCATGGAAATAACGTATATATTACACCTTGTATAAAAATATTTAGGCTTGTGATCTTGAATCAACAATAAACCCCATCAGTGTCAAAAAACTCTAAGTCTCAGTTCTATATGCATTGGAGGCTAGAAACTGATGGAACTTTATTATTCCATACTAAAGTTGAGGCTATTTGAAAATATATTTCTATTATCTATCTAGTCTTATTCCCATTTTAAACAGAAAGGTATCGCAAATGTGACAGAAAAACGACTGATGCCTACTGTGTAACAAATTCAAATTCATCTCCAATCCACCATAACCTAATGACTTTACAATACTGTGATAGGTAGACGAATCCTTAGGAGTTATTTATGATACTTGTCAGTTGTTTTCCATTCCTTTGCATTCCGAGTGGAACATACGGCTTCAAGCTTGAGCTGCGAAGTTTCACTTGCAGAGGTGTTATTTTTTTATGTGGCGACGTTTGCTAGCCTTACTTCCAATCTCCTCTCTTTAGTGGGCTTACTACCGGGCTAAGCGACGTTTAAGAGTTCGTCAACCGGCAGTCGAACCCGGACCACGTGTGTGGGGTTAGCGAGCATTCTACCATTAAACCACCAACACCAAAAACCTTTATATGTAGCCATATTAGGCGACAAATGATAATCCGTAAATATCTAAACTACAAATCTTGAAATAATAGAGGAGATTTGTAGCCTAGGTAGATGATTTCGCAATTAAATCAACCAGTTCAGAGAATACAATTAACTACAAATCTGTAAAATACCTTTCAACTGAACAGTATTACCAACCGTTGCAGGTATATCAGCCCACAGTGTTTTCCTTTTCCCATAGGTCAAACTGAACCAATCATTATAATCAAAACGGTACAGTTGACTTGAATTGCTGCACGTTATTTCCACATAGCTCAAATTCCAGTGTTTATGTTTACCCTGAAAAATAATAAAGGTGACAGTTAGCCTGAGCTTTACATATCGGTCATTCATTACTCTGATACCTAAAAGGCTTTTGGAGATGAAGGAGCTCCAAGCTATCTATCGACGACAGACAGAGTTCTACAGGGCAAGACTGAGTCTTGACGTACTAAGAAGTGCGATTATTGTTATTATTATGATTATTTAGGATTGATATAGTGTTGATATATTCATATAAACAAATGAACAAGATGTTTTCTTCTTTCACGGAATATATGTCTGAGGAAATGGACTCTTAAGAAGATGGAGTAACACCAAGATACTAGACACCAACATCTTGGTAGGAATAATGGTTTGGACGTCAACTTGGCCTTTAATATATCCAAATAATCATGGGGTACATCAGTAAAAACACCTAATCAAAATAAAAGTTATAGTCGAATTGACCTGTAGACTTCTGAATATGTACTGTTGAAAATGAATTTAGAAGTAGATGGTGATAGCATATTAATTCCAACGTAGACAAAAATTTCTCCGTTTAGTCGTCTAATTCAAGTGTACCACTGAAGAGACCCAAAGTAGAACGAAACAGCTGTCCGGTGCTTCCTGTTCTTCCATGATATCTAACTGGTTCCACATCCCTGCAGAAACGCATAATTTAAATAAATAAATGTCTGCATACCAGAAATGGAGGTATCCAGCTAAACATCTTAATTTAATTATGAAACTTGTTATAAAACGACCAGCTAATCGGTATTCCGATTTCCGGTTATTTCAAAAATATCAGTTGTCCTATAAAATGAGTTGTTTACCAAGTGAACTTCTCAAAATCCTTTGCATATAATAATTGTGAGCAATGTTTGTTGTGTTATAGTTTTCATTTTATCTATTTGTAGAGGCATTCCTTCTGGTCACTGACTAGAATCCCGTGCCCTAGCTAGAACCAGCTTTAGTTACATTAAGTATTTACTGACTAAGCTCACGCGTAATACACTACTCTAAATTTTTATGCCTTTTTAATCTAGTACTTGTTGACTTTAATTAAACGAAGTTAGTTCAATATGATGACTGGTTGCGGTAACCTGTTAAGGAATGTGATGCTAGACAGTCTGACTAAACAATTATAACATTATGAGCAATTCACTGCATCAGGCTGTTGCACAAACACGTCGTAATTACACATCTTCCTAAGACTAAATAGTATGAACTAAGTTGAAATATTTTTTATCCAGTGTTTGGAAGTAGAATTTCTTCGGCACTAACCGGTACCCTCATCAAAACACCTCAAACGACAAAGTGGATATATTTCACTTTTTAGATAGTTTGAAAGATCGTCATATGCTAGAAGATTTGTAAACACAGTGTAGGATCTTCGTCATCAGTAGTTTCATGTAAAATTTGCCTTAGACTATAAACCTATCTTGAAGACAGGTATCGAGACTTTATGTGTCTTAAATACGATTACTTCAGCGATTACTTCTGAGTAAAATATATGCATATATGTATTTGAATTCGTAGACAAAATCAAAGATATTAATATCAAGGACAAAACATGATATCTCTGAACATAACATCTTTATTCACAAATGTACCTCTAGTAGAAACAGTTAACTGCATATATGAACAAGCGTATAACCAGTCGATAAATATTGGCATACGTACTGAAATCCTAAAAGAATTGTTATTAAGGTGTACCATGAATTTAAATTCCAAATTTGACAGCACACTTTACAGAAAAGTGGACGGAGTGGCGACGGGCTCCCCATTTTGGCTGATTTCTTTCTAAGTAAGCTAGAAAATGGACCTCTGAACAACCTTATCAGTAAGTTCTCATTTTATTGCCGGTATATGGATGACACCTTCATTCTTTGTGATAATGATTCGGACAGGAGTACAATAATAACTGAATTCAATGAAGTACATTCTGCTATGAAATTCACGTGCGAAGAGGAATCCCAAAACAGAATTGCCTTCCTGGATGTCCTCCTTACGAGAAAACCAGATGGTAGCATAAAAAGAAATTTGCATAGAAAAAGTACTTGGACAAGACAATACACACATTTTCACAGCTTTGTTCCTCTCAAGTACAAACGAAATTTAGTAAAGACCCTCAGCCACAGAGTTAAAGCTATATGCTCAGAAGAAGTAATTGAAGATGAATTAAGTATCGTATATGATACCTTGATTGAAAATAGCTATCTCGACAAATTTATCAAGAAACATATGACAAAGAACGCGGAAAAGGACTACTCACTATCTGTAAACAAGAAGCCTTTATACATACGACTGCAATTCAAGGGCGATATACCAAGCGAAATAATTACGAAGAAATTAAGAAAATCAGTTCAAAGAACTTTTAATGCTGGCAAACTACATATCTTATTCCCTACACGATCAATCATGATTCCTCGATTGAAAGATGAAGTACCTAGACTAGCCACTTCCCACTGTATCTATCAATTCAACTGAGCTTGTGGAACGAGTTATATCGGCCGTTGCTCTAAGAACTTGATTTTCCGCGCTCGAGAACATCTCCCAGTATGGCTAAGTAAAGGTTTAGTAAAACAGTTCGATACTAGACCATCTGGTTCAAACCGGCCACAAAGCCAGCATTGAAGAATCCTTCTCCATCATCTACCGGGTGCCAAATAAATTGCCAAAAACATTGAAGTATCGCATGCTCCAAACAGTAGAGGCTATCGCAATTCGCGTGAAACAACCAGTGCTTTGTGGGCAAAAGAAGCAAGTCCAGCCACTACTGCTGCCCTGGTTTCCAGTAGAGACTAAAAATTCATGAATTTGTATTATTATCTTTCCTAATTTTTCTGACATTCAGTTTATTGTTATGTTGATGCTATTGAGCTGTAATCTACTGATATTATTGATTCCAGGTTATTTAAACAACATTAATGTTGTCCATAACAGTAATTCATTCACTACTATTATGTACATATAACTGTAGAGTCTGATGATGAAGTTATCGAAAAGAGTATTCTTTGTTCAGTAACCATTCTTTTGAAAATATATCAATTTATTGACTTAACATTACCTGATTGTCATGTCCTATGCGTAACTTTAATATATTTCCAACATCCTCCATTTCTATGCTAATATTATCAATTACTCCTCGATTGAATCGATTACTAGTCTTTTCTAATATATAACTGTTGGATGTTCCATTTGTTCCGAAAATTTGAATTGTAACTGAACAATCTGTACCAGCTTTTTCTATATCAGCTGTAGATATTTTCAAGTTGTATGTCAGTTCTGTAGATTAGAGAATAAAGTACTTAAAAATCAACAAAGTGAGCATATTGCAACACAAATTCAAAGCAACTTAATATGGCAAATAAATTGACAAATACAAGATTTTATTAAGTGTTTGTCAGACAGAGCTTAAAAGAACACCAGGCAACAACATTAGTAAATATAACAAAGAAGGTAAAATCAAAGTAAAATAAACCTTAATCTCATACTTTAACATTCGTTCACTTCGAAACTTTCACCTTTACAACATAAATAGCATTTCAGTTGTTAGATATCGTCAACAACAAACTTCAGTTATAGATCACTGAAAACCAGGGAGCACTGGACAGCTGTTCCGTCCTAGTTTGAAACTGCTCCACAGTACACACTCACAATACCACAAAGGACCTTCAGGTTTCACATCTTGAAATCAGTCCAAATCCCCACAAATCTCATAATCTCAAATATCAGTCTCCAGCTCAGCGACAGCTACTGGATGGATGTCCTGAAGATATACGGAAAAGTCTTGGCCGGTAGCATCCAGAATGTCATGGTGAACTGTATGCATACCGGAGACAACAGTTGAGGGTAGTGCTACATCACAAGCTGACAAAAGTAAGAATTCACAAGTGTAGTTGTAACGACAGAAGACAAAGGCCAGGAAACAGATCGTTTCTTAAGAAAATCAACAGATAATCATGGGTTTTTATGCACATTATTATTAGCGTTATTATTAGCAGAAGAAGCAGCGTCTTCTGATTGTTTGTTTCCTTACTGAAGGTTAATCTGTACTGCTTGTGGCCGTTTCTTAGAAAGTTAAGCCGTATATCTGCGAATCGTATTTGCACACGTCAGGCCTGCTGTGATTGGTTGGAGAGTTCCCCAAGGTTGGTGTTTTTTCTCATGACCCCTATTCGGGACGTAAACAGTGTTGTAAACGTCAATTGTTGTCTACAATTTTGGCTTGCAGACAGCTCTCACCTCATGGTGAATTCTGGCCCAAGTGACTGAAAAGTGAACGAGATTGATCTCGTAACCTGAAGGCTCTTCGCTTAACTCCTGGTGAGGTAGTGAGTATGCACTGTTGAATAGTTTCAAACTAGAGTAAAACAGCTGTCCAGTGCTCTCTGGTTTCCAATCATCTCTCCAGATGAACGAACGACTGAAACCAATCCAAATCCCCACAAATCCCTTAATGTGATTTTAAGTGGTATTGCCTACGAATGGACAATCTGGCTTTAGATATTCATCTGTATTTCAAGTAATTAAGATACTAGATTATGAATGTTTATATATGAGGATAGATGGGTTCCTCTATATGTGAAAAATTAACGTTTTACTTAAAGTATTCATCGAAATTATTTATGACTGGAATTCAGATAAGTGTGCTATGAACATCATGTGGATAACTTTGACTGACACACCCCTGAAACCTAAGTAGATGTGTGGTGAGAGCTGTCTGCTAGCCAAAATTGGTAGACAACAATTTACGTCAATGTTTACGTCCCGAATCTTGGTCATGAGAAAAAGAAAAACAAAGACTTTGCGTGGACGGATACAGTTCGCAGATATATGGTCTGACCATCAAAGAAACAGCCACAGAGAGATGACAGATTAACTTCCAGTGAGATTACGACCAATCAGAAGACGTTGTTTCTCTGCTAGTAATAACGAATAATAATGTACATAAAAATATATAGAAATCTGTTGATTTTCTCAATAAGGGATTTGTTGCGTGACCCTTGTCTTCTATCATTACGGATGCAGTTTCGAATCATTAGTACGATATTTGAAAGCAGAATATTTCAAAAGGGGAACATAAATCCCAAATGCTTGTTGCTTGAATCCACTCAAATAAATTAGTAATTCAACAGATGTTCATTGCTAAAAACCATAATTTTCCATTAGTTAAGTTCCATTCTCTGCTAATAAACTGACAAATCGAAAGTCGAAATATTCAGTAGGTGACAGTTAAATCACCCATCTAACTGACAGAGTTTCAACTCAATCTAACGTTCACAGGCATCTAAATTCCGAAAATATTATTCAATAAATTCTAATGAGAATCTATTATTATTATATCCTTTAATTCCTAGAGGAACATAGGGCTTCAGCCGTGCGTCTCCATTGCGTTCGGTTCTATGCTAGAGTCTTCACCTGGCTCCAAGTCTGCCCACACGTTTTCATCTCCTCTTCACATGACCTCCTCCAAGTCACCCACCCTTGCACTGACGACCAACTCGCCGCTTCCCTTTCGGTTTCCACTCAAGGGCTTGTCTAGTGATGTCACTTGCTGGTTTCCTCAGAGTATGGCCAATCCATCTCCATTTCTTTCTGCATATTTGTTTCACAATCGGTTCCTGGTCGGTTCGCTCCCAGAGATCCCTGTTGCTGAACTTTTCTGGCCGGCCATCTGATCTTGAGTGGTATTGAGCGAAGACAACTGTTAATGAAGGTCTGTAGTTTGTTTGAGATGCTCTTTATGACGTGCAGTGCAAGTCTCTGATCCGTATAGTAAGTAGCACTGACTTCACATTGGAGTTTAAAATCCGGATCTTATTTTTGATGCTGAGAGTTGTTGACCTCCACACTGACTTGAGAGTAGTGAAAGCTTGTCTTGCTTTTCCGATTCTTGCTTTGATATCCTCGTCAGTTCCGCCTGTAGTTGAAACGATGCTTCTCATGTGGGTAGGTAAAGGAGGTTGTTTCTTTCAGGTTCCTAATGAGAATCTATACAGAATAAAATTATTATTATTAAGAAATACACTACAGATACTTTCAGTAAGATTGTTGTGAGAGCTGTCTGCAAGACAAAATTGTAGACAACAATTCACGTTTACAATACTGTTTACGTCCCGAATCGGGGTCATGAGAGAAAACAACAACATAGTTTGACCTTGAGGAACTCACCAACCAATCACACCAGACTTAACGTGTGCGAATACCATTCACAGATATATCACCTAACTATCTAAGAAACGGCAACAAAGAGATGACAGAATAACCTTCAACAAGAAAACAACCAATCAGAAGACGTTGCTTCTATGCTAACAATAAAGCTAATAATAATGAACATAAAAGTCTATAAACATCTGTTGATTTTCTCAATAAACGATCTTTTGCCTAGCCCTTGTCTTCTGTCGTTAAAAGATTATAATAGCTGAATTGTTGGATAATGCCTATCCAGGCGTTAATGAAAACAAAACAAAACGTTCAACAAAGAGGCTCTTTTCTTTGAATTCATTTTCTTTAGCTGTACAATCACATTTATATACAACTTTTTACAAAAGAGAATAGTAGCAAAAGTGATGAGTTGTCAAAATCATACTTGTTCATATTATTCAATGGATAAAAGGAGCAGAATAAGTGTATCAGATCAAGATGCACATAGAAACGAAGCAGACTGTGATGTTGCTCAAGAGTTCAAAAGAAATACAAGAGTTATAGAGAGTTAAAAACAAAGACATAAAATTCAAGTCAGTAGAAATCAACAAGGTTGTTACCATGGTTGTATACAGTTGAATAATTTACTTTCGTGTGCATGGCTCCAATTTCTCTGCCTGAATAGATAGAGCTTCAGCAATACAGAGGAGACGAAAGCATGTTGTCTTTGGCAAGTTGTTCTTCACTTAGCAGATTACTTTGAAGGAGGCGTTTTTTGGGATAGAATAATTAGTGTTGACAAGGTGTTCAGCTATAGCACTCCTTATAGAGCCAATACTGCCTTTCTACAACCAAATGGGATAGGGTTTTTGAACCCCTTTAGACAGCATACTCGTCTAACATATCTCCACAGTAACAGGTGAACTGATTTATAGGCACAGAAGTGGTCAGATGCGAGGTCGTGTCCTTCAGTCTTCAGCAGACTGACAGATGACTGTAGAATACTGCTGCTAACGCTGCTAAGAAGAATACTCTCAAAGATGATGAAATCTTCCTGTTAAGAATACCTCAATTCCAACCTCCATTGAAATCCATGTCTATGGACAGTTTGTGTCTTGATGTAAGTAATGCTTTGCTTGCCTGAATTTTTGACTCAATATTTTGTGAATCTTGTTGGGTATTTATTTTGAATAAAGATTTCCTTCAGAAGGTCTAGTTCTGCTTCAAAAGCATCAGGGTCGCAGATGCGAGTGGTATACGAATTAATTAAATTTCTTTTTCATTCAACAGGCACCCAACTGTAGAAACTCCTCAGCTGACCGTTCTATGTGTGTTTCCTTTAATAACTGACCTTGTGAAATATATGGTAGTGTAATGAAGTCCTGATAATTAAATATTAACGCGTAAAGACTCCTAAGCAGATCTCGACCACTAGGATGACATTCTATTGTGTTTATAAAAACTTTATTTGGCTGAGGTAGTTAATTTAAATGATAGTTCTGAATTTATAACGTAATTTCATTGTTAAAAACACGCGACGAATATAGTAGAAGGTTTCTCATAGAAAAAGTTGACAGAACAAATCGAACCAAGCATAAAAACTGACCTTTTACTTCCTTTACAAAAAATGAAACTCTCAGTTAACTGTGTTGGTGATGACAGCGCGTACAGTAATTGCTCAAGTGTAAACATCTGAGTAACGAAAATCAATGTCAATTTGAGATCAGCTTTTGCTGAATAACCACTATCAAACAGACTCCCAAATAAAGGAAACTATTTAATTAATCTATTCTCCTAACAACCACAATGTGTGATACAAGCAGTATGTACTGCAGAAGTAATTCGACATGAAAGATTGAATGACTTTACCTCTTTAAAATTACTTGGCGATTCATCTGGTCTTGTCCATGTCGTTGATAATAATAATAATAAACCTTTGTACGCATTTTAAATTTTATTTTATGTACTTTAACCTTTCTTCTTGTCATATGAATAAGTCGTAAGTAAGTCGAAAATAATTTCAAGTACTTGTCCCAAAAACCTCGCCTAGATTACTAGCTCGCTAGTTTTCTAGCCGGTCACAAGCCCGAATAAAGAGGGAGGGTTGGGGCGTGGTGTTAGCTACTCCACCCCCAAAACTTAACCAAATTGCTACAGAAACTTCAACGCACAAATATATATGGGGACGTGGAATGTTCGTACAATGTGCGAAACCGGGAAGGCTGCCCAGGTAGCCGCAGAAATGCGAATATATAAAATAGAAGTGTTAGGAATCTGCGAGAGCAGATGGAACGGATGTGGAAGATGTCAACTATCAACTGGGGAGACAGTAATCTATTCCGGTCACCCAGAGGACAACCACGAGCACACCGAGGGAGTGGCCATCATGATCTCACCCAACAAATATGCAGGAGAAAGTGGAGATGGATTGGACACTCGCTGAGGAGGCCGCTGGGTGACATCGCGTGTCAGGCCAGTGCTCGAGTGGAACCCGAAAAGGAAGCGACGAATGGGACGTCCAAGGATGACATGGAGGAGATCGTGTGAAGAGGAGCTGAAACAGTATGGATTAACATGAATGCAGGTGAAAAGTACAGCAGAAGACAGAAGCAAGTGACGGCGTGCAGTTGAAGCCCTATGTTCCACTAGGAACCCAAGGGAACAATAATTATAATACTTGTCCCAAAAATCTACAGCGGGAACAATTATAGAATTTCAAGAAACTACATTGCATAGTGAAGCGATAACTCTTAGGATTTACAAATTTGTTTCCAGGGACAGATCAAAGTTTGCTAATTATTTTCATAGGAAACATTTTATTCTAATACAAATACATTTATTACCAGGTCAAATGTATTCAAACCAGGTTAGTGATTGTGATTCACCTTGAATTCAGTCTGTTTAAGCTTAAAGGTACTAGTAAAAGTACCAACTAGCCGCTTAAACTTACTTCTAGGGAATTGATAAACATTTTGATCTGATATTTTAAAACTTTGTGTTCTTCTCTTATCGCTACGTGTCACTGATAACCATTCATTGCATTCAAACTGATACATTTTACCAAGTGTCGGCAATGAAACATATAAGGACTGTAAGTACCAACCCATAGTAGGACTCTCTGGAGCATCATTTCCAACCTATAAGCAAACAGGAAAAACAGTGGCAGTTAGAACAACACTACAAATGGAGCAAATTTATGAAATTTCATATTATTGATTAATAAATCCCATTTAGAAAAAAAAAACACTAAGGGAAGAAATATATTTTCTTTTCAAATAGTTCCTCATCAACCGCTCCACACTAATACATATATATGCATCAAAATATACCTACCAATCATGTGGTGATGCTAACCGATAAAATCTATCAGTTTTAAGGTATAGAAAGAGGGAAAAATAATTTAAATAGTTAATTAGTAAACGTTATCTGCAGATTATAAGTCAACAACACATGCAAATTTTGAAGTGTAGGAGAGGTAGAAGTAGTTACAGAATTTAAGATCAGTTAATTTGTAGGGATTATCAATAAGTTATTAGATAATCGACAATTTGCAAAATTATTATCATTAAGAAGTCTAGAGGAATGAATCACGTAAGAGTACCAAGATACAAAAAGGTTAGCTGAATTAGTTAGAAAAGCAATCATAATAAAAATAGTAGTTACAAAGATAGGGAAATATCGTTTAGAAGACTGTATATATTATGTGGATGGCCAGGGCAAAGAAAGGGGCTGCATGAATTTGCTTCGAACATACACATTTGGCTTGTTCAGATGAATTCTCACTGCCTCACTGACTTATATATATATAAGTCGCTCTGTTATTGTTGACTTGGTGTTCGTTATTGAACTACACACCGCTTTATTTGGTCCTTTGCCTAACCAAGATGAGAGGTATTTAATTGTTGGATGGTGACTAGCAGTGGAATCCAGGATGCGCATTTCATTCAGAAATTCGCCCGTGAACTTGCTTAGCGGTAGTCCCAATTTAAATAGCTCTACAGAAGCGGTTAAACTGGTGAATACACAAAGAAGGGGCGAGATTAGGCAGTTTATCTTTGTTTTGTGAACTAAATATTGGTTGGCAGGTGAACAAACAACATAACTTAAAAATCCTTTTGAAAGCCCTTCTCGAAAGTTGTGATACAATTTCACTACTAAAATTCCACGTAAATTTCAGTCTTAAGAATACTGATTTCCTTGGAACTGTAGAAGCCGGGACTCTGTGCTGGCTATTCAAAAATTTAATCGGATATCCATTCCTATTAACAAATTATGAATTTTACCGAGTTTTTCTTTGAATTTCCCGCACCAATAACAACTCTTGCTTGGTGAATCGAACATCTGACTAGATTTCCTTTATATTGTACACGAACGAAACTAAGGAAGTGACTACATTGACAATTTAAGATATTGAACAAAGAATATTCTTTTCGATAATTTCATCATCAAGTTCTACAGTTATATACCCATTATAATGAAAGACTGATTGCTATTGGCAACATCGTCGTGCTCGCGAACACCTACCAGTGTGGCTAAGTAAAGGTGTAGTGAAAACCATCAGCAGTTCGATATTAGACCACCTGGTCCAATCCGGCCACAAAGCCAACATTGAAGAATCCTTCTCTATCACCTACCGGGTACCAAACGGCAGAGGCTATTGCAATTCGCCCAAGACAGCCGGTGTTCTTTGTACAGAACGAACAAGTCCAACCACTATTACTACTCTGGCCTGCTGTGGAGTCTACAAATTCATAAATACCTTATTACATAGGCCTTTTTGATATGGCCATCCATTCTATACATGTGAATTCCCCTAGTACTGGACAGCTGTCTCATCCTAGTTTGGGAGTCATCGGCACTACGCAACCACTACCAGGGTTCGAACCCAGGACCTTCCGGTTACAAGGCAAGCTCATATACAATTCAGCCACTGGGAGCCGCCTTACCCAATGGCCAGCCCATGAATTCCAACATATGCCAATTCACTACATAACACGGCAGCTAACCAATGTCTTCGGCGAGTATTTGTCCTCACACCCGACCTGCTGCACCCTACTGGTTACGACTTCCCACTAGAACCCCAGGTAACTACCTACCTGAATAGGGCAAGTCACCAGTGAGCATCTCATCGATATTCAAGTGTTGGTTTGTAGGGATTTGATTGATTGGTTACAGAAGTCAGAAGTCATGGGCCATTGGATCGGGTCCCAGTGGCTTAATGGTCTACGAGCTCTCTGGCCTTGTTAGCAGAAGATCGTGGGTTCGATCCCCTGAGGTGGCTGCGTACTGTTGAAGAGTCCCAAACTAGTCTGACGAAACAGCTGCCCAGTACTATCAGTTAGTTTTCCAATAGTTCTCTAACCAATGTAAGCTCATGATGAAATCCTGTAATCAATCAATTAAATCCCTACAAACCAACACTTGAATAAGACAATCTTCGGTCAGTGTTACCACTGTGGTGTCGCGATACACACAATGGGTTCCAATGGAATACTGTTCTCACATTCAATACTGCATTAGCAACAGAATACTATACGTGTATTTGAGCATTCTATTTCATGTCGTTTAATGTAAACCAAAATCACATGCTCAGTGATTAGTTAAAGAATATAAACTGTATATGTATAAGTAGTTGTTTGATCAGTTGAAAATATATCTTGTCTTCCGTGTCTTGCCTTCTACTGTTAGTAAATGCAGAGACTAAATATCCACACTAGAGAAACCAATAAATACGTGATTCTGATCTTTCTTATAACATTGATTCGGTTATTGATTACAACTGAAATCATATTTGAATGGGTCAGAGTGCTACTTAAGTTTTATCTAACGGGCTATTAAGATATATGAGAAACCTCTTCAGAAATGTGTAATGTTCATTAGTTATTAAAACTGTAGAATTTCTCATTCTTTGCTTATTTTTGATTAGATATACCTCCGGACAACTTCTAGAAGAGACGAAACGCGCTTCCAGCATTCTACTGCTACCCACTACTTATCAAAGCAGCATAAGGTTTAATTCAAAAACATTCTCAAAATGTTCTTACTAGAAGCTTATAAGCTATAAGAGACTTATAATATACTTATTGGAATTATTTAATGTCTGTGAGCTGGAAAAAAATAAAATTTATGTTATTTAAAAACAGGCGTTATGAAATAAAATTCAAGATAATAATTGTTTATCTCACTTGTATCTCAGCTAAATCATTAATTTTAGCACCCATTAGTCGAAAGTGTCGTGTTGTTCCTCGCTTTAGTGCTACTTTGTTATAACTGTCACATAAAATGAACTTTTCAGAGTTTGACGGATTTTTACTGATACAACAGATCCAAACTGGGCCAGGTGTACCAGCCTTTTTGTCAGATCCAGTGATCACAGTAATCAAATACGGTATAGCTATTGGTTTGAAAAAGACAAATAAATATAGTACTTTTCATCAAGATATAAGCGAAAACTGTGTGTGTTACCAGTAGAGCATATTTAGTAAAAACAAAACTGTTGGTAGTATTTCCATTTACAGACATATCTCTTCTATTGTAGATATTGCATTAACTTATATTTCCCAATCAGGACTTTCAATGGAATATTGTATTACTTTCTTAGGAACTATTTCTGCAGAAATTCCCAATGTTTACCGGCACTTCATCCAAATAATTTTAGTGACTCAGGTGAACATACCCTAATTCCTAGGTTTCAGGATTTAAATGATATATTATCTGAGCAGAAGGACAGATAAAATCTCGTAGTCCTGCTCATTGGAACTCCACTAGCCAAGAATGAAAATGAACGTCCATAAATCACACACTTCGAGACCAGATCTCCCCGTGATTTCAGAAAATAAACAGAAGCAATCAGACTACAGATTGTAATCTTCTTACCAAAACAGGTGAAGGAAAGATTACGAGTATAAAAGCTGTATAGCATATAATAATGATTGGTATACACACAAAAGCCACTCGAAGAAATCATGAAATCTGGCAGTGGAACGCGTATTTCGTGCATACTTGATTTCATTATATGTATTCAGTCCAATCATGTAGGTTACCGAAATCTGGCCTAGGTAAATCATTCAGCCTTCTAAGCTTAGTTTATCTAGTTTCACTTGTGCTGTTCTTGGCCTTAAAATGCCTAAGTAGGTATTAAGTTTTCAGATCATTTTCAAATTATTGGTTACACTTGTTAGTTAACATTAGTGATTCTTAACTATTTATGTCATTTATCGTCACAGTAAAAAGAGGTGAAGATCAGAATATTGTTGCATTGACTTATACTTTAAACTCTATTAAATAAGTGCAGATGCATTCATAAAGTAGATAAATTGAAAAAGACGAAGAATTAACCTTCCAACTGTCATTAAAATGCTAAAATAATCTGAAAATATTTGTTATTAGGTGAACACCGTAATCATAAGGAAAAAGGTGGAGACACAAATCAACACTAACAAAGAGACCAATGTTGAAAAACACTGGAACAGCCTGAAAGCGGTGTGGAGTCAAACCTGCATGGAAGTTCTAGGCAGAAAGAAGAGACAGGACAAACAGTGGCTCACTACGAACACATGGAGACTAATAGAAGAGAGTAGGATGGTGAAACAAAAGATCATTCAGTCCATCGGCGAGCTACAAAAACAAAAGTTGAATGCAAGCTACAATACACTGAACAAAAGAGTAAAGAAAAGTACCAGATATTATGAAGCTATGGCAAGTGAAGCAGAACAAGTTGCAGGTAAAGGAGACATCGCAACACTCTACCAAGCAACTAGGTTCCTATGGAGGACATGTTCACCACAAATTAAGCGAGTGAGTGATAACAATGGGAAGTCAATCACCGAAGAGGTGGAGCAAAAGAAACACTGGGCTGAACACTTCAAAAGACTTCGAAATCGACCGCCACCTACAACGCGCCCAATAATACCAACAACGGAAGCAGAACTATCAGTGGACATCAACCCTCCGATGAGAACAGAAATCCTGAAGGCAATCAAGATGCTAAACACTGGAAAAGCAGCAGGACCAGACAGAATCCCAGCAGAAGCATTGAAAATGGACCCCGAGACATCAGTGGACTTGATGACACCACTACTGGAGAAGGTGTGGAAAGAGGGCAAGGTACCTGAGGATTGGAAGAAAGGCTACTTATTCAAACTGCCAAAGAAAGGAAACTTAAGTCAATGCAAGAACTGGCGCGGCATTATGCTCCTGTCCATCCCAAGCAAAATACTAAGCCGCATCATCCTGGAGAGAATCAAACAAGCCCTGGATGAAAAACTTCGACCGGAACAAGCTGGATTCAGGAAAAACAAGTCATGCATTGATCAAATCGCCACACTACGGATCATCATTGAACAGAGCTTGGAATGGCAGTCAGCTCTCTATCTCAACTTCATCGACTTTGAAAAGGCCTTCGACAGCTTCGATCGACAGGTGATTTGGAAACTTCTTCGCTACCACCAAGGGGTGCCGCCAACAATTATACATCTCATCCAACAGTTGTACGATAATGCTGCATGCCAAGTAATCCACAATGGGAAACTCACGGAATCCTTCGAAGTGAAGACGGGAGTAGGACAAATCTGGCTGGCTGCCTACTATCTCCAATGATTTTCCTGATTGCGGCTGGTAGAGTGGATAATGTGACAGACAGCGGCAAGAAACGAAGAGACAGGCATAAAATGGACCCACACAAAAAACTTGGAGGATCTGGATTTCGCTGATGATATATGTCTGATTTCCCACAAACTGGAAGATATGCAAGCGAAAAGCAACAAGTTGGCAGAAGAAGCATCCAGAGAAGATAGGACTTCAGGTGAACATTGAGAAAACAGAGGTGATGAAGATTCCTGGACAACAACAATAACAGACAACGATCAGCATAAATGGAAGGAACCTGAAAGAAACAACCTCTTTTACCTACCTGGGAAGCATCGTTTCAACTACAGGTGGAACTGATGAGGATATCAAAGCAAGGATCGGAAAAGCAAGACAAGCTTTCACTACTCTCAAGTCTGTGTGGAGGTCAACAGCACTCAGCATCAAAAATAAGATCCGGATTTTCAACTCCAATGTGAAATCAGTCAGTGATACTATACGGATCAGAGACTTGGCGCCGCACAGCGTCACGAAGGGCACTTTGAACAAACTACAGACCTTCATCAACAGCTGTCTTCGCTCAATACTACTTAAGATCAGATGGCCGGCTAGAAAAGATCAGAAACAGTGACGAATCTCTGAGAGCGAATCAACTCAGCAGGAACCAGTTGTGCAACAAATGTGCAGGAAGAAATGGAGGTGGATTGGCCACACTCTGAGAAAACAAACCATCAAGTGAGTGACATCACACGCCAGGCCATCACTCGAGTGTAATCCGAATGGTAAGTGGTGAGGTGGTCATCAGTGCGAGGGTGACATGGAGGAGGTGATGTGAAGATGAGATGAAAGCAATTGGGCAGAAGTGTAGCCAGGTGAAAACGTTGGCTGAGAACCGAACGCTATGGAGACGTGCGGCTGTAGCCCTATGTTTTTCTAGGAACTAAAGGAAACAATAATAATAGTAGATGAACAGTGTTATAAACCACAAAACACTTTTTGATATAATTCTTATTTGATTCCATCATAAAATATTTTAACTTCATAAAAAGCATACAGTGATATTGTGTTATTTACTGGTGATGTTTCAAGCACAATTAGTGTGACGTGTGTTGCTAATGTGACTTATCAGTAGTATATAAAGAGACATTCATCAGTATAAAAATATCAAATTGTGGAGAGACAGATTTGACATCAAATCGGGCAAACAAACCAGGGTTTCAGCTAAAAATAGGAGACACGAAAAGAAGACAAAGAAAGACAATATGTAGGGCAGAAGTAGTACAGCCAGGGAGATCTTTGCAAATGACGACTTTCAGATAAGGTAGAATAAAGAGACCAAATTCCAAATAAACATGCCATCGCCAAGTCGCTTGTCTTTTACTTGTTACTCATACTGTTTCTCATAATCATATCAAAGCACTCACTCAAATCTCAAACTTTGTCATATAGTTCCGTTATTTCTTATCCTTTGGTGTTAGTGTTAGCAAGAATCAAGGTAACGCTGTGGATTGGCCTCTCGTCCTTGGACTACCTCAGGGAAACATGTTAGAGTCTAGGCTTGTGAAGAACAAGTCTGCAAAGAGTGATGCTAAACGGCTTCTTATTGCAACAAAAAGAATCACAAAGAGAATTTTCTTCTTCTCTGAAATCTTTGTTTCATGTCTGAATAGAGATTATTCATCCAAATAAAAGACTGTTAAACATTTGTTAAAATTCTAACCCAACTGATTATGTATAATCTAAGTTGAAGATAACCAAGAATTGTAGAAACTGTCAGAACTGATCAGACAGTAAACTACTCAAGCCTAAAGTTTAAACTTACTCTCTACTGGTTTCACATCCTTTTGTTGTAATTCTGCTTTGTAGTTAGTAAGGTTGGGTATACTTTTATCGGTCACATCATGCGCAATTTCTTCTGATACAGTATTCGGTAACTTCTTAACAGTTTCTTGCGTTTTAACATGTTCAACAAGAAAGATTCTATCTAAAAGTTTATCATCATGTTCAGTTGACAGCCATGCTTCACAATTAAATGTATAATTCACTAAAGTGTGCATTTCATTAGCCCCCATTTGTGAGTTGTGTAGGCTCTTAGATTTCGTAACATTGAAAACTTCGATTCGTGATAAATACCATGAAGGATTAACACCAGAGTTATCGTGACGGATACGAGCCTTGTTTATTTTTCCCAGATCCACTATGTCCAAATGAAACACATCTGTCTATTTTAAAAAAATTAAATTCAAAGAAATAAAATCTCGCAAGATTAGATTTTAAAAAAGAGAATGGTTTAATAGATAATTAAGAACAAGATATATAAGCAAACAATATTGTTTTCAATTAGATCTTCTTCTGGCTTTACTCTAATTTACATAGATTTATATATAAAAATTTTAACCAATGACAGTGAGTTTGTGGATCAAATAATAATAGTAATAATAATGTGGTAAATGTTTTGAACGTCATTAATAACGATGATTATATTGATAACAAAATATTGATAATAAGGTTTATGCAGGTGGTGATAAGAATAACGAGGGCAGTGAGTGATATGTGTATATGTAGACAATTCAATAAATAAATAAAAGTTACGTAATACTAAAGATGAAGTGGACAGATAATCAGAGTTTTAAAAAATATCATAAAAGTTCAAAGGAAATGGAAAATAAGGAAGGGTGGGAGAACGCTGACAATAATAAAAATGTTAATAAAATTTAATGATGCACAACCTTCGCTTATCTTCACTTGTGAAGCATAACATGATGGTAGCCTACACTTCCTTGATGTCTAATTGAACACAAGAGAGGATGCTTCCCTCAAGGGAGATGTCTTTAGAAACCCTACATCTGTAGGACAATATACACATTTCCTTAGTTTTGTATCAATCCGATACAGAATCAATTTGGTGAGATGCCTCACGAATAGAGCAAGACGGATCTGTATAGATGACTCTCTAGAAAATTTGTGAGGATACATCCAAAATATGTTGGTCCAAATGGGTTATCCTGGTAGATTTGTAAGGAGACACAAGAACACCAGGTATAATAATGGGAAACTGACAATAGTTAAAAAGAAACAGCTGTTCCTAAAATTGCAATTTAATGGGGACGTGGCTAGTGAAGTCTTACATCTAAGATTATCAAGAGCAATAAAACCGACTTATACTGCCTGCATCCTTTCTTTGTCATTTTTCGGCAGACCAATTATGTTTGACTCAAACGGAAGACAAGGTACCTAGCTGTGCCACTTCTATGTGTATCTAAAAATTTAACTGCTCCTATGGAGAGAGCTATATATGGTGAACAACTAGACAGCTTAACAAACGCATTAATGAGCCTGTTCCTTCATGATTCGGAAAAGGCCAAATAAAATCCAAAAGAAGTTCTATTTTGGATCGTTTGATTGATAGCGGTCATCAAGTGGACAGAAGAAGTGCCTTCAAAGTTATCTATCGCATTCCATCGAGCCTTTCGAACGGAATTCGAACCCGCCTTTTACACATAGCCGAAGCTATGGGAATTCGAGAGAACAATCCTAGTCTTTGCATACAAAAGACGTTTGTTCTACCTTTGTCTCTCTATCGGCTTACGTAAATTCTAATCAAAACCCTCCCACCCTTTCTTATTTTCCACCTCCTTTGTACTTTTATAATATTTATTTAAACTCTGATTATCTGTCCACTTCAGCTTCAGTATTACGTAGCTTTTAAGATTTGACCTAATTTATTTATTGAATTGTCTATATATACACATATCACTCACTGCCTTCGTTATTCTTATCGCCACGTGCATAAACTTCATTATCAATATTTTGTTATCATTATAATCATCGTTATTACTGACGTTCAAAACATTTACCACATTATTATTATTATTTGATCCACAAAATCACCGTCATTGGTTAAAATTTTATATATAAATCTATGTAAATTAGAGTAAAGCCTGAAGATCTAATTGAAAACAATATTGTTCGCTTATATGTCTTGTTCTGACATTAATAATGGAAATAAAGATAATCAAGAAAACAGTATTCAGAAAAGATATCCTTTTCAATGAATTTAATAACAAGTTATACAATAGTACCTATTAACATGTGCGGTTTTTTCAAGAAACTATATGTTGGGAGGAAATTTTTATGAGTGCAACTGGCAAGAAAGAAAGGAAGGGTGTGAGGAGGTCTAATCTAAATCACTTGATTGGCTCTTTTCACTCAAACAACCTCGACATCGTCTCTAAGACCACCTGTCGAGTACATGTTCTCTTTTTCTTAAGTTTTCAAATACAGTGGAGGGCAGGAAATTGAGCAAGATCTTTGTGTACAAAAGATATATGTGCAGTCCTTATTTCTACTGTGACTTTATAATATAAAACAGGGATAAAAAACGACCATATATACATATTCTTTGTCTTGTTTAATTAATCTACTTCCCTTTCTGTTATGATTGAGATTGCTATTTTCACTACACATAATTTCTGGTATTATTTCACTTGCGTCCGTTTATTAGGTTAATTGAATATTTTTTTGCAATGTTAAACTCTATAGTTTTTATGGAAATTTCACCTTACTTAACAAGCAATAAACATTAACGAAGAACAAGCTACTTTTCATATTCTTAAATGGTAAGACCGATGGAAAACAGAACTAGAATGTGCTGATGATAACGTCGTATAATCACCAATCGTTCATTGTCTCCATGCTGAGAATAATAAACAAGATACATTTATCTTCACCCATCCATTGTCCGACAGCTACCTCCTTTATACCTGGGCAAGTCACGAGACTTACTAAAACGGAAGTACATCCATGTGATGAATTCTAAATCAAACGAAACTTGATTTTTATGCCATTTTAACTATAAAATTTGACATATATAATACAGGATTAATCACGAGCTGACGTCAGTTAAAGAACTATTGGAAAACCTGGGAGTACTGGACAGCCGTTTCGTCCTAGCTTGGGGCTCTTTAGAGGTACGTACCTACCGGGGTCTGAACCCAGGACCCCACCTTTTATGGGACGAGCTTGTAAACCGTCAAGTCACCATGGCGCGATCCAATATTCCATGAATCCCAACTTCAGCCAATTCGGGATATATTTAGCGCAGCCATCGGCCCGTGTCCCAGGCGAGTAACTTTCCTCGCGCCTGACTTTATGGAGTCCGTTAGCTATGAAATCTCAATAGAACCTCAGGTAACTTCTTGTACAGCGCCAGTTTCTAGTGAGCACCAGATTAATTATCAAGTGTTGGTTTATAGGGATTTGTCTGGTTACGTGATTGATCGCGAGCCGACATCAGATTATTTTGTGATCATTATATAAGGTTAGTAAAAGTTAATGGAAAACATATTGATACCTACTTGTCCACGTTCAAATTTATTTCGATGTGTAAGTGATTTCACCAATTTACGTTCACCACTATCACCATTCTCACCATATAATGTAAGGTAAACAGAAGCATCAGTCCCTGCAAATGCCTTGTCTCCAGTGATAATTCTAACTTCATAAGTATTAATGGACCATTTTGGTATAATCTCTTTTTCCACTTGTACTATACCGTTTTGATCTAGTCTCATTTGGCTTGGTAGAAGTTCACGTTCTAATGCTCCATTGTCCATATTACGTGAAAGCCATTGATTGCATGGAAATATGTAGGTAACAAAACTCTGAAACAAATAAAGTGATTATTTATTCTACACATTTTATGTATATAAAAGTTAGAATAAGCAGCCACAAGGTTCGAACTCTCATACTGTATGCACAGTTTAAATATGTGCGTCGGTGGCACAGTGGTTAGGACTCTCGCCGACCATGCACATGGTCTGGGGTTCGATCATCTGCTGACGCACACCTGATATCTATGGTCGGCCTGCAAATTGGACTACCGATATCACATGCATAAGATAATACGTTTCAGCTGTAATCAAATATTAAAAAAATATGATGGAGAAGATTTGTAGCTCAGGTGGATGATTTTGATGTGGTTGTGTTCGCTGAGCTGGATAGTTAATTTACGAAGCTTTCATCACCCTACTAGGAAACATCTTCAGCGCATACTTCAATTTGAAGTGAGCTTTCAGATTTCTCCACGAATTTATTAATCATCTCCCCCGGTGACCTTGGACGTGATTGGTTGTTTTTGTGTGTTTTCACACCTTTTAGGCTACTTGTATTGGAACAGATTGTTTCCTTGACTTGAACTTTGACTCTTTGTGTGTGAGATTTCTTTCTTATCGATTGGTAAATTTTGTCTATGTCGATGTGTCTATTGATTGATGATTCACTGGAATACCAGGCTTCTAAAAATTCCCTAGCATTCTTGGTGTTTCCTCTGTCTAATATTTGAACGCTGTCCCAGTCGAATTGATGTCCGTGGTTGCCTTTATGCAGTGAGGCGATATGAGGGAGTGGATGTCATGTCTTTTAACGGCTAGTTTATGGTCATGGATACGAAGATGAAGGGGACGTCCACTTTGGTCAATGTAGTGTTTATTGCAGTCGCTGTAACTTATTTTGTAGATGGTGTTGGTTTCATCTTCTTTCGCTGTTGAGTCTTTTTGTTGACACAGACGCAGCTGAGTGGCGTGATTTTGTTGGTTTGTGTGCGACGTCAATTCCTAAAGGTTTGACGAGTCCAAGGTCACCGGGAGAGATGATTAATAAACTCGTGGAGAAATCTAAAAGCTCACTGGAAATTGATGTATGCACAGTTATTCTACAGCCCATAAAATGTTATTTAAAGCAGTTTTCTCCCTGTTTTATTTGTCATCAGACATCATTACCTTTGATATTTATACAATTCAGTGGGTACAAGTTTCCTATAGTTTTGTTTCTGTGCTAGACGTCATCGAAAATCATGAAACATCTTTAACATTCTGCAGATCTTAAATACCTTACCGTTACTTTATTGTAATCGTAGAACCTTGGCACTGTGGTAGGATATAACTCCATATTAGATATGCTTATTTGATTTAAAACTCGGTGATATACTATTGACAACTGGATGACGTTGAGAACACAATTTACTGTGACTCATAATTATATCAATGCATTCACACGGTTTCATAGTTTACTTCATATTTGTTTCTCCCCCACCCCTTTGTTATTCATTGTAGTTTTACATATATCCGACATAGGCACTGGATCACTTCGACTGCACTTGTTTTCTGTTGATTTGATGAACAAAGCTTCGATGACCGACCTCTTTCTCCATCTAACTATATTACTTTTAATACTCTAACGCGATCATACCACATCATGTTATTCCTTTCAATTAAGTGTATTCCACTCACTGGAATTTTCCCCATATTACTTCGTTTATTAAGGTCAGTAATGTTTCGATAATCTAACTGACCCCTGTCTATTGGTATGACCTTTATAACTGACCTCACAGTCATTACATGGTACTTAGTAAGTTATAGTACCTTTTTAAACTGGATCTATCGGTCCCTTAAGCCGACAAAGTCTCTCTCTGAGTGAACTGGTTAGTTTGAATAACATCCTAATTCTAGCGTCATACAGAACCTTAAGTGGGTCTTCCGATGTTCCTTCTCCACACAATAGTAATGTCAAGGCTCAGAATTCCTTATCATTCACACTGTTACTTTTATTTTTCTTCTGAGTTTTCATATAATTTTGAACAAAATCTGGTGGATAGTTATTCACTATTAATGTTTTCTTTATTTGTTTGATTTCCTTATTTAAATCTCCTGACTTACTAGTTAGGTTCCTTGCTCGAACAACCTATACAACTTTCCTAACAATTGAATCGATTCTGAATCTTGAAAGAATATGCCTTGTAAATATACCTCTTTGATGATGGGCGATAAGCGGGATAAGTAAATCTACCGAGGATATTTGTCTGTTGTCAGCTGACATGTAGTCTGAAACATGAAGCAAATGAATATATCACTTGGGTCGATGATCATATTGCACAATTGATAAATATTTTCCTGTGCTCACTACATATTGCAAAAACATTGGTTATCATCTAATGATCGACTGGAGCAGTTAATTTTTATGGAATAATGGACACGCATTCACTGAGTAATTGATATTCTACAAAACATAAAGTTTTTTACAGCATGTGACCTAGAAGTCTCCAATTTCACCTTTCGACACTCAGTTATACTACTGTGGTGATAGCTGTCTGCTAGCCAAAATTGGTAGACAGCAATTTATGTCAATGTTTACGTCCCGAATCTTGGTCATGAGAAAAACAAGAACAAAGACTATGCGTGGGCGGGCACAATTAGCAGATATATGGTCTGACCTTCAAAGAAACGGCCACACAGAGATGACAGATTAACTTCTAGCGTGAAAACAACCAATCAGAAGACGCTGTTTCTCTACTAACAATAACCTGTAATAATGTACATAGAAATCTATAAATATCTGTTGATTTTCTCAATAAACGATCTGTCGCCTGACTCTTGTCTTCTGTCGTTATACTTCGAATTTAAAAACAAACAGACAAACACGGATTTAAACAGAAAGAAAATGTGCAAATGAAAATTATTAGAAAGTCCAGGTAGTGATTAAAATATAAAAGAATAAAAATTTGGAAAACAAACGATAAGAGGAAATTTTTTTTCTTACTTACATACTGACGTGTTCTCACTTTTCTTATCTCAACTTTATTTAAATGCCAATCTGTTGACACGCCTTTATCATTATGCCATATCCTTAATTTACTATAAGGCTCTTGTAACTCTTCTAATTCCACATAGAATGTATCTATTCTATTCCGTTGAAAACATTGTTCACTGTCATCATCCGGCTGTAAACGTCTTATTGTACTCGGGGAACCATCATTTCCGTACAATTGGATATAGACATTGGATGTTGTTTCTGCTCCAGAAATGTCACTTGTAAACGTTTTAATTTGATAGTTGGTCACTTAAAAATGTTTTAAATATTTACATTAATTGATTAATTTGAATTCTTTTTACTATTATAAACAAAATGGTCTATGTTGAAATCATTTCTAAATGGAATAGAAATGCTATTAAGGGATGCCTACTAGGAGAAAATTACTTCATCCCGATAACTACTCATATACAGGAGAAGTGAATTAATCAGTAAATTCCTACTTCCAAAAAACTTCAAACTTTCATCAGTAGCAGCCGCCTTCGTTCCACAATGAAGATCACATAGCCGGAAAGAAAAAGCAACAAGGAACTCTAGCTGGCAGAAAAATATGCTGAAGGAAGTGGGGCGACGTACAACAATAGCGTCCCAGGAGTGTGAACGCTCCAATGACCTTGAACGCATGCTAGTCGTTGGGTAACGGCGTCTTTCATTATCATAGCTAAAATATCAATGCTATTCACCAACTTAGCAGCAAATTTCACCCAGATCACGTTTCTAAGTGCTGTTTGGACAACGTTTTAGTAGCTCGTTAGGGTTAGGATTAGGTTTAAGGTAAGTATTGTGGTTAGGATTAGGATCAGGGTTATGATTAGTGTTAGGACTACAGTTAGTGTTAGGGTCAGGATTGAGCTTATGGTTACGATTAGGGATAGATTTATAGTTGGTGTCATTTATTTTAGTTTGTTTTATTATCCACGTTTTCCTGCTAAGCAGTCGTCTATCCTCTTGCTGGAAACCATAATAATTCAAACGAGGGCTGTTTTAGAAGACTGCAAGCAGGATGAGAGAGATAAACGATTCACAAAAACAGTTTATCTGTAGCCATCTCAGTGAATGCATATACAGGAACTAGTTTAACTTATCAACTGATACTCCTCGATATAACTAGGACGTATTTTTAAGCCATGTCAGAGAAAGATAACCTGTTTAATGCCTTTTCAAGAATTTTCTTGTCAATATACATCATTTTTTGAGCAAACATTCCTCATTTTTATGATTGGTCGGCTGAAGGTCACTTGTGCGTTCGCACTCCTGGGACGCTATTGTTGAACTTTGCCGGAAGTGGAAATGGACTGGAGGTATGCTGACAGGGCTGAGTGGAACAACAAGTTAGGCATCCGGGAGCGGTATGGAGGAGATCGTGTGAGGAGGAGATGAAGGCTTGTGGGAGATCCTGGAACCAATTAAAAAAGATGTGCCACTGGAGCTACATATGCCACTCGTAACCAAAGGGAACAATAATAGCAATACTCATACTATTCATTTTATTTACATCTCTACTTTTATTGCCATTTCAGAGTATTATTCAGGCTGATTGGAAAGCCAAACAGAAACCTTTCACTGAATAGCCAATAGTTTTAACCCATTTTCTTAGTCGACAATCGAGCATAAAAGTTACAACTACTCAGTTTAAAAACCAACTGAATATTTCTAGAACCAACTTCAAGGAGATTTGACTTTCATTAAGATCGGAGTGGTTTGAAAGTGATATACATTAATAAATATAATACTCAGATGATGTTTTCGCAAAATTAAAGCAAGACCAGTCTTTGTATTTAAACTTTATGGACAGATTAGAAGATATGAATATAGTTCCAAAAGTATTTTAAGTGTGATCTTTAGGCAAAGAGAGAAATATTAAAATTAAAAAATATAATATGATCTAAGGTGACAATAGCAGTTTAAAGGAAGAGATTTTGTAGGAAATGGTGATTAGATAAGTCATATCTGGACATAATCAAGTAGCAAGATGAAATGTTTCCATAAGCATCGCTAAAGTGGTTAACTACACACACACACACACACACTTTTCACGGTATTCAGAGACAATATGTAATTTTAGTCTAATTTAATGTATGGTTCATTCTCTTGACAAGAATAGATGAAATACTGCAATTGAAAGCATCTGTCCTATCTTTCAAGGTGTCAAGACTGTAAATGTTAGGGGTTATTTGACTCTATGAAATAAGCAGATTTGTTTTCAAGCTTGAATTTAATTCACTATGGAAGTTCTATGTCTGTCGATTTGTTGTGGATTTGCTGTACTTAAATAGTGATGGGTTTTGTCAGTTGTGCTTGCCTAAGAGTGTTATGAATGAGATCCATTTTCGAAATTAAATTTAAAAGTTGAGTGACCATTGTTGAAAATATGTCAACCGTGTTAATTATTTGTTGCGTTTGGGACAGCGTCACTAGTGTGTCTCTTTAAAAAAACCTGAAATTATTCTCCCCCAAAATATGTTGTTAAGCTTCACTGCGAACTGATCACGCTATGTCATGAATTGGCAGAAGTTAGAATTCATGGGTTGGCCATTGGATAAGACGGGTTCCAGTGGCTCGATGGTCTGCGAGCTCACTGGCCTTATAACCAGAAGGTCCTGGGTTCGACCCCCTGTGGGGGTGCGTACTACTGAAGAGTCCCAAACTCGTCTGACGAAACAGCTGGCTGTCCAGTACTCGCAGCTGGTTTTCCAATGATGAAATCTTCCAAGCAATCAAACAAAATTCCCTACAAATCCAATACATGAAAAAGACCTCTTTACCTCAAATGGAACATTTCATTGATGAATGTATGCAAACAATTTCGATTCCACAATGAAACATTCTTGAGTTATATTCATAAACAAACTCACTCGGTTTGACAAATGATGTATATTTTGGTTCAAGGAACAATTCCACTTGTGACTGTTGTGGACTAATCCACTGGTTACACTCGAATTTCCATAACAGTCCTAATTTTTTAGCTTCAACTTCAACACGCTGAAGATACCAGTTTGATGATACACCAGTAAAATCTCTTCCAATTCTAAAAGGAAAAAAGAATTTAGAGAAAGGTAACTTTCCAGAAAAGCCTTACCTGATTTTTTTAATATTGCCAATATTTATCGCTTTGACGATATAGCTTGCTACCTCACCAGCTTCGAACTTATTGACTATTGTTTCTTCTATTTCACTGAATGCTTTATGCAGTGTAATGTTTCCAGAAAAATCTTTGTCTCCAAACAGTCTTATTTGTACATTTGCATCGGAGGCACCTTTAGACTGAGATCCAGTATAGGTACGAATGTGATAAATTGTAATTTGATCTAAAGAATATAAAACATCAGAAAAAGTATTTATGATTCAAGCAACAATAAAATGCGTTGACATAAAATGAGGATTGTTCAATAAATGAATGAGAAATAGATGAAGACTTCAAGAGAACTAGTATGATAACAAAGAACCTGATACGAAACTGTACTGGCTTAGGTCCTTACTCATTCTAATAGAACACAAATAAGACAAGTAAATGTTAAAAGGACACTCGGAATGATGATAATATTACAAATGTTTTGTAATATTTGTTCTAAATAATGACAACCATAGGCAAACATTTTGACTAAGAATCATGTTTGTTAGACATCTTCAAGGAAATAATCAAAATAAATAAAGACCTCTTTAATTGGTTGGAGGATTTCATCATGAGCTGACATCAGCTAGAGAACCATTGGAAAACCAGCTGGGAGTACTGGACAGACAGCTGTTTCGTCGAACTAGTTTGCGACTCTCCAGCAGTACGCACCCACAACAGGAGTTCGAACTGTATTTACCAATTTGAATGTAATTGTGGACACACATACATAGGGAGGGCTTCAAAGCATACTCCTAAATGGCTCCAGAAGCAAATTGAATCTTCAAAACCCATTAAAGATGAGAACAGGAGACCTAGCTCTTCTATTGCGAAACATATTATAAAGACAGGACTTGAAACTGACGTTAACACATCTTTTAAACCTATATATAAGACGTGTTTGGGGCGTAACCTAAAGTCTGTGGAAGCCCTAGCAACTAGAAAGTTTAAACCACCTTTATGCGTTCAAAGTAACGATTCGTCATCACACTAAACCTTCCTTGGTAAACTTTGTTTTGACACCATAGCAGATGTACTATTACCTCTGTTATTTGGTTTAGTGATCTTTATTGTTATTTTGACCTTCAGTATGTCCTTTTAACTTGACCTAAGTCTATTTTCTCACCTCTAAACTCTTTATTAATTTCGTATATATATTCCTATGACAAATCGGTATGTGATCAGATTGTTCGAAATATGTTGCGCAAATGCATTACACGATTCAAACAAATTACGTCTGCTTATTGCTTTATCTAAATTCATAAAGGGAACCAATTGTTTTAGATGATTACAATGATAACAAAATATTGATACTGAGTTTTGTGCAGGGGGCGATAAGAATAACGAAGGTGAGTGTGTATGTAGACCATTCAATAAATAAATTAGGTCAAATCTCAAAAGTTACGTAATACTTAAGGTGAAGTGGACAGATAGACAGAGTTTAAATAAATATCATTAATGTACGAAGGAAATGGAAAATAAGAAAGGGTGGGTGGAGGGTTTTATTAGAATTTACCTAGGCCAAGGGGAAGACAATTTGCGTCGGTGGCATAGCGGTTAGGACGCCCGCCGACCATGCACATGGTCCGGGGTTCGATCCCCGGCTGGAGCACTCCTTTACAAAGAGGAATTTCAGGTCAAGGAGACAATCATTTCCAATGCAAGTAGCCTAGAAGGTGTGAAAAAACACAAAAACAACCAATCACGTTCAAGGTCACCCACCAGGAGAGATGACTGATAAACTCATGGAGAAATCTAAAAGCTCAATTTAAATTTAAGTATGAGGTGAAGATGTTTCCTAGTAAGGCAATAAAGGTTTGTAAATTAACCATCCAGCTCAGCGAACACAACTACATCAAAATGTAGTAAAAAAATCGCCATTTGGACATTTAAAAAGCAAAAGGACTGAGGGAAGAAATATTTACTTTTCAATTAAACCGGACTACTTCGACCTCCTCCCCCTAAACCTTTTAAAACTTATAATTGTGCACATTATTTTATTATTTCTTTTGACTACTTCACCTCAAATTACATGTCATCATTGTCCAAATAGTTTTATTTTCCTTTAGTTATCTGTTACGTAATCAACGTGAGTACTCGCTTATTCCTTAATTACTCTTCATTTTTCCTAAATTAAACATTTTGCAATCCACTTGTTGTAACCATTTGTAACCTTTAATTGTGTGTATTAACTTTCTTCGTTAAGTATCACCTGTCGCCTTGACATGTTGACACTGACCAATTATTGTTAACACAAATATCACCACTTGATAGGTAAAATGTTGTGCTTTGTATTAGAAATGTCATATATGTATGTATATATATGTATATATATATATATATATATAAGTAGAGCGAGAGATAGGATCTAACTGAAAAGTAAATATTTTTTCGCTGAATCCTTCCGTTTCATTTAGACAGACTTATCATGGGAAGGAAACAAATACACTGCGTACAAATCATATTACTCTCTGTTACTCAAACTTTGTCTCTTTTTTCCCTTTATTCCGGTGAATCTTGTTTCAATCAAGACAATGTTTTTACCTGCCGACAAAGAAAGGGGAAATATTCGCTCTAATCAATCTGAGATTCCTACTAGATTTTCCTAAAATCTGATCATACTGACGATATTGTAGAAGTTTACCTGTGGTGAGAGCTGTCTGCTAGCCTAAATTGGCAGACAGCAATTTACGTCAATGTTCACGTCCCAAATGTTGGTCATGAGAAAAAAACAAGAACGAAGACTAACCGTGAGGAACTCAACAACCAATCATAGCAGACTTAGCGTGGGCGGATACGATTAGCAGATGCACGGCCTAACTTTCTAAGAAACGGCAACATAGAGATGACAGAATAACCTTCCGCTAATAATAATGTACTTAAAAATCTATAAATATCTGTTGATTATCTTAATAAACGATCTGTTGCCTGGTCCTTGTCTTCTGTCGTTACATACCTAATTCCTGTAGTTGTAAAGTTAATAAACCTCCACCACAGACTTTGAACTAATCAACAGAGCACACCTAAATAATGTCAGTGTTTAGTGGTAGGTATTAACTAAAATTCAAATAAGCATGTTTAATATTCCGCTGCCCACATGGTAGATTTCATGTTTTAAATTACACTACTACTGCCATCCAAGCGGATCAGAATAAATTATACTATTACTAACGTACGGCTATTTTACGCTTATATATATGCAAATAGTTCTTATAGTACCAGACGTATCTCCCTACTCAGATATTTTCGCGGTTTAATGCTGAAAGTATCCATTGAGAACAATTGCTTTTTTACCACTTCGTACACATTTAAACAGTAATTAATATTGTCCTATAACCTAAACAAGATTACAACCTCTCATCCATACTGTTATAACTGCAATAATGTCATGAAAACAAGGATACAAACATGTGGGTTTATATATTCGAAAATTATAAGTAAAAATCATACCTTCTAGAATAAGTCTAGAATCATCGATAATATCATGACCAGACTTCCATCTTTCAAGAATGCTTGAAGATGCAACGCATAGTTCACGACTAACTAGACCATCTGAAACACTAGCCGACAACCATTGGTAACAAGGAAACAGATATTCTGCAGTTTTCTGTTGCACAGTTTCACGTATTAGAATGTAATCCAAAAACCAACCAGCAGCAATACCTTTATTTGTATGCCTGATTCGAATTTTCATAAGAGGACCTAAACCTAAAGCAGTTAACTGAAACAGTTAAATAGATAAAAAAAATCAATAATTGTATGTAACGTATACCTTGACTTATACAAACATTTACTTAAATAACAGACTTAAGTTATATCTCTTTTAACAAGTGTTTATAATCATCGAAATATATTTTTTTCCGAGGATTATTATCGATTGACTACTACTGAAAACATCATATCAAATACTTTACTGTGGTTACCTACTGTGAAGAATTCGTGTAGTTGAGCCTTAGAACCACCGAATCCCTGTAGTGTTTCAATCACCAAGACCTGCTGTCATAAAATCCCCGTTTACTTATACTTTGACCTCTTATTCTTCTATTCATAATATTTAAATTTCTTAACTCATAGTAGGATGACAACTAGAGATGAAAGTGAAACCTCAGTCGTAAAAGAGTTTAGATGAGCGAACTAAAAGCTACCACTGTGATGTTACGTTGACTGAATTTAGATAATTAAATCCTATTAAAGACCGATACAGTCTAGGTAAAAGACGGATAAACTTATGTATGGATATTATGGAGAGCGGTACTCTCTCAAGTGCTATAAAAAGAGCTTAATCTCTACAAAAGATACCTGGATGACATGTTCATTATATGAGATGAGAACTGCAACTTGAATGGCATCCCGAAAGTATTTAATGACAGTCATCCTGCTCTCCAGTTCACCTTGGAAAAAGAAACTGAAGGAAAAGTATCTTTCTTTGATGTGATACTCACAAGGAGAGCTGACGCGTCTTTGAAAAGATCGATTTACAGAAAATCGACGTGAACAGGACAAATGACCGGTTTTTACAGTTTTGTCCCCAGACACAAAAAAAGGAATCTAATCCAATCTCTTTCAACACGGGTTCGGAGAATTTGTAGTGAAGATAGTGTTGATGATGAACTCAAACAACTAAAAGATACCTTCATAGAGAACGGGTATCCACCACGCTTCGTAGAGACCAATAGCAAATTACGTAGAAGAAATACAGAGATTGACAAGATAGCCAAAAAAGTGTTGCACCTAAACTTAGAATATAGGGGTGACACTGTGAGTGAGATACTTAAAAATCGTCTGACGAGATCATTGTGAAAAAGGTTCTTTTCTGCCACTTTACGAATAACCTACTCTAGCCGTCCATTGGTGCACCTTAATGTCAAGGAAATGTTACGTCGATTGTCTAATTTCATGTGTATTTATATGTTCACCTGCTCTTGCGAAGCTAGGTACTACGGAGGTTCATCGAGAAACATATTCCGTCGAGCTGAAGACCACTACCCAGTTTGGCTGAGCAAAGGAGAACGTAGAGGTATTAATTCATCGATATTGCAACATATTGTAGATGCTGACCATGCAGCATCTGACGCATCGTTTAATATAGCCTACAAAGTCCGACAAAGTTTGCCGAAAAGGGCACGAGTGTATTTGCTTTGTATAACAGAGGCTTTGGCAATGCATAACATAAAGCCAGAACTTTGTGTACAAAACACAATTTGTACGATCTCTTTCATTACCATGGTCTTGATTTTACTATGTCATTCACATAAAATGTTTGTCATCCTTCTTTATTCCATGTTCCATTTTTGTTTTATTTTATTTCACTTTATGTTATCGTATTCTAATATTTTATCTACTCTACTACTTTGACAACATTTCACTCATCCTATGTTTCCATGATATTATATTCACATTTCCGAATGTACTTTATTTTCCGATCATGTATTTCACACTTGTCTATTGAACTTTAGGCTGACCTCTATTTATTTAGTTATTCATTCATATATCTCATCAATTGTGACTCATAATCCTATACACGAATATTATAGTACTTTAGTATTCCCACTCACTATCAAACTTTAACACAAACACATAAGAAAACTGATTGTTATTGTCAACTGTAATTCACATACATTTACGACTGTACAGCTATGAAAATGAAATCGTCGAAAAGATAATTTTCATCGCTGAATTCTTTGTTTTTATGTCTCAGTAGAGATAATTAATCTAATAATAAATTTGGAAAGTATTACGTAAACCTGGAGTAATGCACACTATTAGAAAGAAAATGAAATTGCAAAAATGTCTCATTGAATCAAGGTGGGAAAAAAACCCAGAATGGAATAAGGATTTAAAGTATTAATTATTAATGGTTATGGAGGATTTATTGACCTTATAGTAGGTCAAAGTAAACAAAGTCTTCCAACGTACTTTTTCTGGATACTACCGGACTACTTTTCAAGAATGATAAATATCTCCTGATCAATGGAAAAAAATGTACTTTTGAAATGTCAGAAATCTTGTGGGATTCATATGTCAAACTGTAACCGTGTCAACATGTCCACAGAACACATCGATAGTACGGCTGATTTTAAGCGTCCGAATACTAATAATAAATAAAACAATACTCTTCATTACTTATAAAGCCTTCAAATGATTACCAAATAAATTATCTTAAAAATGTTAACCCCTTTCATCTGTAAAACGTCGCCTTCCTCGACGGGCAATGTTAGCTGATATAGGGTAAGGCTGGAAAAGAGCTAGCGGCGGTCAAACCAAAACATGGCACCAATCAATGAAACCTATAACAGTTAGTCTAGGCCATGTAGGAAGGTGTAAACTTCCTGACTGGTTGGGGTCCTCGGGACGGTAAAAACCAATGGTTGGAAACAATTGGTGACATGGCTCAAAATCGTTCTCAATGGCGCAGATGCATCCACTCCTTTCGACTCATGATTTCCAACGAAACTGTTTTGTTCTTCGTTATTACTATTCCTTTGTCTCACACCTCTGTTTACTGTCTATATTATGCATTTCTTCTACTTTCTTCTGTTCCTTTGTGTGCTACATGGAGTGTGGTGACTTGAACTGCCGCACATATGTGCCAAGTTCTATGTCGAAAACAGACACACAGACAACAAAATTATCATACACTTCACAAATGAAAAGTGACTTACACTAAATATGTCTTCATGATTTTGTTCAAATTTATTGGTATGTGTTTTTGAGCTTGATAAATGATATTCTTTTGATTCTCCATTTATCCCAAACATTGTTAAATAAACACCAGAATCTGTACCTGCGTACTTACGATCACCAGTTTTCACTACAACTTCGTAAGCAGATTCTGTTATTGGTAAGAGAAAAATAGAAGTTAAAAAAGTCAATTATAAACATGTTTATATATAGAACATTCTAGAATAGTAGTCATTAACAATATTGGTGCTTTTAAATACTACCGATTTGTTACGTAAGATCAATGGAATTACAGTTCATTAAAGATGCGTCGGTGGCACAGTGGTAGGATGCTCGCCAACAACGCATGTGGTTCGGGTTTCGATACCCGGCTGACGCACTCCTTTACCTCGTCGAGCCAGTATTAAGACTGGTAAAGAGGGATGGTTGGGCATGAGGGTAGCAACCCCATCCCGTAAAAATAGACACCACTGCTACCGAAACTTCAAGTCTGTGGTTTGAAGCCCTATGTTCCACTGAGAACGCAAAGGAATAAAAAAGATGCATAAATTATAATAAGCATAAAAATGTAATAGCAAATAGAATATCAAACAAATTTCCACAACAAATTGGAGATCATTAAAACCTTGATGGCCAAGGTAAGGATAACGTCTGAACTAGCTTCTTTTGGACGCACAAACTGGGCTTCTTGATATGGATCCCAATGGTCTCAGCAATATTTAGTAATCGAAAACTTAAGGTGAAATTGAGATTTGTTGGTATACGGTAAGTGACTCTGAAAGCCTGGTTAACATCAATCTTGTATTCTGTATCCACAAGATGAGACAGAATAGCACTACAAATAGATTTTGTTTGTCCTTCACTTAACCAGGCAGGATGGTGTTCAGAAATTCGACGAGAAACACGCCTAATTGCACGGCCTATGTAAATGGCTCCATAGGAGCAATTTAATTGGTAGATACACATGGAAGAGGTGAAATTAAGCAGTTTGTCTTTTACTCCCGAAAGCAAAATATGGGTAATTTTGAAGATACAGTGTAATTCGGAAACACTGAATGCTCCTTTTACCGCATTCCTAAGGCGTTCTGTTAATATCTCACTGATGTTTTCCCCGAGGAACTGAAGTTGTAAGAATAAGGCCTTTTTGAAACTGCTGGTACTTTGGCCTGTCTTGTCTTTCGCTTTGTATTCTTATCGATGAATTTTTCTGGATAACCGTTCTCACTCAGCAACTGTTTAATAATGTCAAGCTCTTCATTAAGACATTCTTCAGAGCAGATTGCTCTTGCTCTGTGCTCTTTGTATTCCTTTGTATTTCAAAGGAATGAAGCTGAAAAAATGAGTGTACTGAGCAGCTGATGTAGGTTTTCTGTATACACTTCTTCTTATTCTGCCGCCCTCATTTCTAGTCATAAGTATGTCTAAAAATGAAATACTAGAGTCTCTTTCTTTCCCGGTGGTAAAATTTATTGAAGGATGAACATCGTTAAATTTGTCCAGGACGTATTTTGCTTCATCTTCATTTTTCATATTTCATATTTCCAACAGTAAAATTCTAGTACATCTTTCAAAGGCCCATTCTCTAGTTTTGCAAGGAAATTATCGGCTAGAATGGGTCCTAGTGGTGACTACAATGCCATTTCTAAATGTCTGAATGAATGTTTTAGCTATATACAGATAAATTATATGCACAGACTTCTTGGTATAAAGTATATATATACTCAAGTGCTGTCAATTATTTTCACTATTGATACCGGACAGTAAAAGCTCTCCACATCAACAGCCAGTCTTCTCTTCTTGTCTCCTTGCGCCACGTTTTCCGTGACATCGTGCCGTGTTATTGTTGTCGTTGTTGTTGCTAATATTAGTCAGAACAATAGGCTCACGAATCCACTAGATAGAAAATTCGTTGGCGCAACTACCAAGTGTATTAACGGTCATACCAAAATTGGTGATGGGTCATATAAAAATACAAGCACATCCAGATGACGAGTCCCAAACAGAATGAAATGCTCTTCGTGCACTCCACCGCTAGTCAGCATCAATAAAAATTAGCTCCATATTCAGTGATGCAATAAATATGTCTGAAATACGTCCGAGATAACTGTCATTTAAAATATACATATTCACTTGTAACTATCATCTTCCATGTGATGAAAATGGATGCATTTCATACAGAGGTGAAATATGGCTTTTTATTAGGTTTCTTCAACCTACCCATTAGTTTTTGTAGATGTGTTCCATTTTCAGTAGATGAGACTGCTTCACAGCTCATTTGTTTGTCACCCTGTTGTTTTGATAACCATGTATTGAAATGAAACCAGTAGTTTTCACAGCCTTCTGCATCTTTAATGCCTTCGGGAATAACTGCTACAGTAGGCGAATTATGCTGTTGTCTGTTAACTGATGTAACATTTGTCGGGTTGAATTCTTTCTGCGGTGATATTTGACCTGTGGAAAAACGTTTATATAAGATAAAAGTACTATTACATCATTTAATTAAAGGGATAAATTAAATTTACCTACAAGTTAAAGAAATGTTTCCTATCAGTTACTTCCGAGTTGTGTTTCAGTATGTTAGCCAATGTAATGACTATTATTAATGTTGAGTCATGAAGAAAATAAAAGACAAATTCAGCGAAGAAAATTTTCTTTGGTTATAGGATTTCATCATGAGTTGAAATTGTTTAGAGAACCACTGGAAAACCTGAAAGTACTGAACAGCTGTTTCGTCCTAGTTCGGGGCTCTTCATCGTAATGCACCCACCACAGGGGTTCGACCCCACGACCTTCTGGTTACAAGGCCAGCGAGCTCGTAGACCATTAAGCCACTAACATCCTATCCAATGGCCGAGGAATTCTAACTTTTGCCAATTCAGGATATAGCGCAACCGCTAGCCAATGTCTTCGGCGAGTATTTGTCCTCACACCCGACCTGCTGCACCCACCTTGTAACCAGAAGGTCCTGTGTTCGAACCCCTGTGGTGGGTGCGTGCTGCCGAAGAGTCCCAAACTAGGACGAAGTAGCTGTCCAGTACTCCCAGGTTTTCCAATGGCTCTCTAACCAATGTCAGCTCATGATGAAATCCTGTAACCAATCAACCAAATCCCTACAAACCAATACTTGAAAATTTTCTTTATCGACGAAATCATCTTCGGAGACTGTACAGTCGTATTTATATTCACCAAAAATTTATAGTAGTCTATTGTTGAGTAATAGGGGGTGAGATAATTGATATAATTACTCAGAAGTGGCTTTAGAAGTAAAAAATAAAAGTTGTAAATTACACTTGTTAAATTGACACTCAACTACCTTTATTCTCACTCAATAGCAATTTTAACCTTATCAAATTTCTAACCATTTCTTCCTTTGTGCCGTTGAGTACTGTACAGCCTCTGAAGATGATTTCGTCGATGAAGAAAATTTTCTTCTCTGAATTTGTCTTCTATTATTAGTGTGATTATTTCCTTAGATTCCTAGCGGAAAATAGGGCTTCAACAACACATCTCTACTTCATTCTGTTCTCGACAGTATTTCTTAGCTAGGCTCCATAATTGCCCTTTTACTTTCATTCTCTTCTCACATGATCTTCACCATATCACCCTCAGACCTACAACTAACTCATCACTCGCTTCCCATTCGGGTCACATCCGAGGGCCTGATGTGTGATTTCACTCAAGAGTCTACTCAGTATATGTCAAATCCATCCTCACTTTCTTTTAATATTTTTTTTGATTATAGCCTGATTCCACACCGTATTTTCAGTACAAGTATGAAATTTTCAGCATGTGATATCGGTAGCCCAAATTTTGCAGGCTGAACATTGATATCAGGTGTGCGTCGGCTAGGGATCGAACCCCGGACCATGTGCATGGTCACTGAGAGTCTTAACCTCTGTGATAGATTCCTGATTGGTTTATTGTCAGAGTTTCATGTTGCTTATCCTTTCGGGTCTGTCATCTGACCTTCAGTATAAAGCAAAGGTATTTTATGGTCAAATAAGCTGTTGTTAACTTTTCTAACGGAATGAATTTATAATGTCTATGTACATCAGTCAGTATTAAATAGATAATATGAAAACCAACAATTAAAATATTCGTAGAATGTTCCTGTTATAAGGCAGTAGTGCTCATGAATGTTTGTTAAATATTGTTTCGTATAACATTCCTCTTAAATAACCTGGTCGTTAATGGTCATCCTATCTCTATAGCCACCGCCTTCAAAGTCATCTACAAGGCAAAGAGTAATTTACCCAAATCCCTACGTACCCGATTCATCTGTATTGCCGAAGCTTTGGCTATCGAAACAGAAAAGCCAGATCTCTGTGTACAGAAAAAGTTCGTTCAACCCCTCCAACTCTCTTGGTCTTAATCCCTCCTCTACGCTAAAGTATGGTAATCCCCAATCATATTTTAGCTCCACCAATTTTTCATTTTTCATTTTTGTCTATTCATTTTGTATACTCTTCCTTATTAAGTCAATTGTTACTATTACTACTCTCACTTTGAACTGTCCCCGGTATTATTTCACTTGTTCCACTTGTCATTCTAAATCAATTCCTTTATGCAACATTAAATTCTATGCTATCAAATTTCACACAATATTACGTAACGTTTTTATTTTATTCGATTTGTCTACTAATCTTATAATTGCACATCCTTTTTTCAAGTTCTACCCATCCTATGAATTATTCTATGTATGACATTAATTTGCTTCGCCACTGGACATTTAACTACGATTATAATCACAAACATTTTAGTTTTGATTGCATTTCATATTATTATTATTTTATGCATTCACACCTATGTTTCAATTTCCCTCACCGGATATAACTTCTTATAAAAAACCATATATATACGGTTGTACAGCTTGATGATAAATTCGTTGAAAAGAGTCTCTTCGCTGAATCATTTGTTTTGATTTTCTATATTATTAAAGACACATTGCACTGATAAGCTTTATGATATAGAATAGACAGCCCGTTTGTAAACATCTACTTAAACTGTTAGTATATTGAAGTCTGCACTGATGATGCATAGGAGGATAACGGAAGCCTCGCGATTGAACTACCCAGATCAGAGGATGTAACCGCATCAAAATCATACACCAGAGCTACAAATATTCCCTTTATTATATTATGGTTTAAGATGACGGACTATATGCATATATATATGTGGTAGACTTATTGCAATCTGATAAATCGTTTAGAAAATCGAGTGTAATAAATTTCAATTAGGCGACTAAAAGGATCCATCACTTATTCTTCTTTCATCTGGTTTTGTGTTGTCCGTGATAACCGCATTTAACAAGCTGATGTGAAAAGTATTCGTTCATTGAGTAATAAAGTTCGGACTGAATGGCTCACAGCAATCTTTACCTTATTTCAGTTAGGTTTTGGAAAAGGAATTTAAAAAAATAATTTTTTAAATTTAAAAAAATAAAATAAAAATACCTCCAATCACTTGGCCTGTTGGTGTTCTGGTGGGGCTCTTAGCAGGAGAACTATTCGTTGATTCAAAGTAATTAGATGGCTTTCTAATAAGAATTTTCTCTAAGAACCATCCATCAGATATACCTGTTCCATCACGTTCTACTAATTGTTTTTGTAATGGACCGATATCAGGCGCGAATATCTGTTTAGAATAAGAATAAAACAGAGCGAATTGCCGTTATAATTCATGGGTAATTCGATAAAAGCAATTTGTATGCATTCAAAAATTTCGTTCCGTATCTCTCTTGCCCTTCATCTTCATTCGTAGTTCAAATAGCGTGAGTACTATCTTTATTCTTATCATTAACTCAGTAATGCATCTTAATAAAAAAACAGTTTATTATTTAGTTGCTAAAAGGTGATTTTGGTTTTACCCCTCTATCTCTATACATACAATCTACTTAGCCTGATTTAGTTGATTGTAACCAGAAGTAGAATCCAGGATGCTCGTTCCGTCCCATTTGCGATTCCCCAGCTAACACACCTGAGTCTTAGCCCCGATAACTGTTTTTTGATTTAGTAGCATAGTGGATAACATTCTACAAATTGAAACAGTGAATTCTTAGTTCGAGTTTCACTGTGGATATCACCATTTTATGCAACATATGGACCTCCGACCGATGAGTCTTAAATGACACAAGATATACGTTCTGGCTTCCCCTGCCAGCCCTTAACAATCAGATAACATCAAGTTACCCTCAAGTCATTATTACAATGTCTATAAAGAAGAAATATGGCAACTACGACTGGTAACCTTGGTAAGTTGAAGTAAAAGAACGGGAAATTCAAAAGTTGTAATAAATTCTATCTAAATGATTCATTACTGAGATTGTATAAGCACTTGTATTGGTTTGTTATTTATATTGTCACCTTGGCCACTACCCACTTTATATTGTTGCACTGACGTGTTTCACAATGTGATTTCGAAGCTTGTCGGTATCATAATATGAATACTTAAATAATTTCTCTCAGAATTATGCTACTACAAGAAGTGTATTTGTCCTATAAATAGTCAAGGGATATTCGGCTTTCGTAGAAAATTAAAAGCGAACTTTGCCTGCATGTAATACTGTACACCTTTGTCAAAAGCTAATTTATATAATATGCTACTTGTCTTCCAGAAACTAATTTCTAATGCACTACCAAGACGAAATAATCAGTTTTGCTCTAGGAAGCTAGTTTCTCATGCTTGGCAACACCTTCCAGTGTGGCTACACACAGCTGCAGTTAAAACCATCAAAATATTCGATATCATACCACCTGGTCCAAACAGCTAACACTGGAGAATCTTTTACATTATTCACGGGATACCAGATAAACTGCTAAAAGCCTTCAGGTACTCAATGTTCTAAGCAGCAGACGCTATTGTAATTCGCTAGAGGCAATGGCAGTTATGTTTACAAGAGGAATAAGTTCAGCCATTATTGTTACTGTAGCCTTTCATGAAACCTATAAACTAATTAATTCTGTACTATTTTTTCTTAATTTATTTAATATTCACTTTTGTGTTCCTTTTTATTATTTTGTTTCCCTACGTTCCCAGTGAAATATAGGGCTTCAAGCTAGAGCTTAGAAGTTTCAATAGCACCAAGTTTGTTTTATTTTTACAGGGTAGGGTTGCTAGCCTAACGCCCAGGCTTCTTCTTCAAAGGCCTTGCCGGCTTAGCGAGGTCTAGGAGTGCGTCAGCCTGTGATCAAATCCCGGATCACATGCGTGGTTGGCAAGCGTTCTACCACGGAACCATCGACGCACACTTTGGTGTTATATTGATGTATATATTGTCACTTACGAATCCTCCTGAAGTGCTATTCACTAATATTTCTGATTCTATATATTTTAAGCATTAGTGTTACTTTTAATAATTCTTTAATTATTATGGACATATAACTGTAGAACCTAATGAAGAAGTTATCTAGAAGAATATTCTTCTCCAACTCCAACTGTATATACAAATTTACATGTATCTGTGGGAGCAGTTACATTGGAAGAACAGAAAGAAGGGCATATCTACGATTTTCCGAACATGTACCAAAAAGCCCATGTCTAAAGGGAGCAGATGCTTTAAACAGTGCCATCGCCAGGCATCTCCTTGACACAGGTCATGAGGTAGACGTCGCGAAATCGTTCATAATTATCAATAGGCAACAGAGCTCAATTCTCCTCAAGTTTGCTGAAGCAATCTCCATCAAGCGCCTAAAACCTGATTTGTGCGCTCAGAAAGAAACAGTTATCAGTCTTCCTTTGTCCTGGTAACTGGATATTTTCATCTCTCTTTCATCTGAATACGTAATGCCGAAAGTTTCCATTGTGTATGATCACCATAGTTCCGAATAGTGTTTAATATGACATATATATATATTATTACTGTATGCATATATTGACTGATTGATTTTTGTTTAAAATGAACTCTGTGCAAGTATGTTAAAATTGTTTCTGTAGATATACTTAATAATGACTGTGGCCTGTAAGCAGCTGATGAGAAGGCAACGAAATAAATGATGGTACCACTTTATTCTCGGAAAACTGTTGTTCTTGCTTTATTCAAAGAATATTCTTCGTTCACTACTTAGTCTTTTGAAAAGCTGCTTACATTTACAAAGTGCTTTTTGTATTTTTCAGATGATGGAGTCATTTGAAACACAATTATTCGTTAAATTTTCATTATTTATGCTAACCAAATGACTGTGGCTAACATACTTCCTTAGTCAGTTATCCTTCTTGTAACATTTCAAAATTTCCTAATATCCGTCTGAAGACTTTACACATAAAGTACAAAAATCAGCAAAAATACATCCAAAAGAGAGCAGATTTTTACTTACTCTAAATGCTTCTGGTTGACCAAATTTGAAACAGTGTGGTTTATGCGACAGTTTAATAATTTCAGTTTTTCTCTGCATAGGTGTACCAAACAGTTGAATACTGACATTGCATTTTGCTTCACTGCCACTTTTATCACCGGTGAATATCACAACGTCATACGGCATCACTGTTATATGTGTTTCAATAAAATAACAGTAACTGTTAGTAATGCGGTAGTTCTTAACCTTTTAATTACTAAATATGATTATGATTAGCTTGTTTTATTGAGAAAAAGTTGGTAAATGAAACAAATGTGTAGAATTTTCTTTTGTGTAAAATGCTAGTTTATATTGTGGAAAGCACTTAAGGCTATGATAAAACAGTCCTGAATGAATTTAATACATTTCTATAGTTTCTAAAAATTAGATATAGAAGAGATATTGGCAACTTTACCTAGTATATGCAATTTATGTTACCTTTCTTGTTATAATGCTCTAAATCTTTAAATGTCTGTATTACATGTGCATTTTTGATAACTTATATTACAATAAGGAATCAGTGGTAGAGGATACTGACCACTTCACTTATTTGGGGGAAGTTGCATCAGCCCCAACCGGTTGATCGCTGATGAAATCTTAGCACAGATACAGAAGGCTCGTTTGGTACTTGCCTGACAACTTACGCCATTTCTGGGTTAGTGCACGTGGTATCCGGCTGTCAATAAAAGCACATGTGTACTGCTCAGCAGTTCCCTTTGTCCTCCTTTATAGCTAGATGTGAGGTATGGAAAGTGGAAGACATGAAAAGGTCAGCTGTCTTCGACCATTGGTGTCTGCGTTCTATCACCCGGGATGGTAAAAACCAATAACTGGAGTCAATTGGTGATATAAGTATAAAACTTGATGATATGTCTAAAAATCACTCTCAACAGCTGAGATGCATTCACTCTTTGTGATTTATAATATCCAATAAAATTCTCTTGTTCTTCCATACTGCTTTTTTTTGCCTCATATTTATGTTTATTATCTCTCGCCGACGATGCACATGGTCCGGGGTTCGATCCCGGCCGACGCACTCCTTTACCTGCTTGAGCCGGAAATAATGCTGGTAAAGAGGAAAGGTTAGGCATGAGACTAGCAACCCCATCCTGTAAATAAACACTGCTACAGAAACTTCAAGCCGCTAGCTTGGAGCCCTATGTTCCACTGGGAACGTGAAGGAAAAGAGAGATCTCTCTTTTGAATGCCTCTTTAATGTATTCTCTTGCTTTGTGTGTTACATGGAGGGAGTGTGGCAACTCAAACTGCTGCACATCTGTGCAAAGTTCTATGTTGAAACCAGTCAGTCAGCCAGATCGCCAACTACGTATATGTTCTAGAGTTCGACACCTTACTAAGCTTCGTTTAATTGCCTTCCGATAATAAGCACGGAAAGCAAGGGATGTTGGGTGTGAGGCCAACGACATCACCAGTAATGAAACTTCAAAGCTCCAAGTTTGAAACCCTGTTTTCCACTGGGAACTCAAGGAATGAGAAGGAAAGATGAATATTATTATAAGCAGAAGCTTAACAATTTTTTGATAATTGTGCTGTATCTCTCGTACTCCTTTAGAATGATTAGTGACCAGCTTAAAAAGCAGTGATGACTTATAATGTCTCACAAGAAAATAAAACGCTTAGAAATAGAAACTTCGACTTCAAAGTCAACTTATTCTGAATTTCAGAGTGTACCAATCTGAAAAATATTTAAGAATGCATCAGCGGTCACAATATATCTTATTCTTCTGTCCACATCATATGATGCAGAGAAAGTTCTATCAGAAATAGAATAAACATTCGTACAGAATAATATGGATCCATCTTATTTCGTCCGTTCTTGTCAACTGTGTACAACACATAACATTTAATAAAACAAGTTATGATACAATCTCGAAATACACTCTGTTTATTATAGATCAGTCCTCTAGTAAGGATTATCGTAAGAAATTCATAGTCAAACAAAACATAAGGATAGTAGGATTATCTCAAATTATTACTCTAAATATATATATATATGTCAGTGATAATTGCGTAAACAGCGATAGTACAGCGGTTAGAAGTCATAAGATTGGAAGATCAAAATCTGATGTGTATGAAGTCGAATGAAAAGATGATGGTGTAATACAGTGACTAGAATTCAAAGGATCAGAAATCAATTCTAATGTGAGAGTAAAGTAAAAAAAATGTAGAAAAAACAAAGCTATGAGGTCAGGAAACAAAGATTTACTAAAGAAAGAGTTACTAAGGTAACTGAAGTCCCACGGTGGATTCCTTTTGAACACATAGGTTAAGTTTCAACCGTTTTATTGGGACAGCCTCAGCAAATCGAAAAAGATTAGGGCTGTTATGTCTGTTGCAATGCGTCTACTCTGTGTCCTGTGTCCATCAGGTATCTGTTAACTCACAAATTCAAACTACTCGGTTCCTTTGATAGAAGAATTTGTAGTACATGTTCAAAGAATCTGAAAAAGGATCTTCTTTCTGTTCTCGCAATGTAACTGCTCCCGCAGTTGCAAGTCATTCAATAAACACAACTGGATGTAACATATGAAGGGTGCTTGTCCATTTTTCACTGTGTCAACGACCAGGATATTCGGTAGAGAGGGACTAGTTTCTCTGCAGTATACTTCCTGGTTGATTCTATACTTAAACACTTATTCATTATTCCCATCATAGCATCACCTTTGAAGTCAGGCTCAATCAAAATCCATTTCTTGCTGACTATAATTATATCTGAATCTTTACATTCTTTCGTGCCGTGTTACCTGACCAAACCTTTTGGGTAACAACTTTCTCAAGTAACATAAGTTCACTGTCTTGTTTATCTGCTGAATATATTCGTTCCATTCTACTGGACAGCATCTTCACCAGTGTTCTGTTGAAACTGACTTGAGAGAATCTGTTGAAATTTAAGTATAGTTCATTCCATGTGTCCGTGTGAAAAAATCGATCTCCAAATCTATGTTAAAAATGTATTAAATCTTGTTTTACTAAATGTTATAGGTTGTGCGCAGTTGACGAGAATCAGCGGAGTAAAATGGATCCATATTATTCTCCATAAATGTCTATTCTATCTCTTTACTAATGTACCATTGATTAAGACTGTTGATATTCTTTGTGACTATATATCTTCTAGTTGTTTTTTATTCCCTTTTCCTTTAACTTATTTGAAAGATTTATTACTATTGGATACTCACAACGTCCATTTCACGTTTGAAGGTGAACATTTTCGACAAGTGGATGGCGTTGCTATGAGGAGTCCATTAGGACCTTTGTTAGCGGACGTAAACATGTCTTATGTTGAGAACTTGTCCCTTGATTTAATTTCTAAATTACCCTTTTATTGGAGATGTGTAGATGATATCATTGATATGCGACAATCATGAAGATGTGAGTCGTCTATTAGAGAGACTTAACTCTGTACAGAATCATATTAGTCTTACATGCGAGGAAGAAAGTCGCAACCAGCTTGCATTTTTAGACATACTTCTGAGTCGAAGAGATGATGGTTCAATAAGAAGATCAATCTACAGAAAGCCCACTTAGACAGGGCAGTACCTTAATTTTCACAGTTTCTGTCCATTACAGTATAAGAGAGGCTTGGTGAAATGTCTATTTAAGAGGATTCAACGTATTTGCACGGCTGATGTTATAGACAAAGAAAATGAAATATTGATGGATACTCTTGTTGAAAACGGATATTCTTTAAAATTTTTAAACAGGTGTATAAGTAAATTAGTCTTTACACCTACAATCTATACCTCTCCTAAGAAAAATGTTTTCATCAAATTACCATATAACGGAGAAATAAACAGTAGGATTTTGAGACAAAGGTTGAATTCGGTCATCCGTAGAACCTATTATGCAGCCCAGGTTGTAATTGTCGAAAAAGCTAAAAATTGCTCCACTGCAAACCTCAAAAGTGCACAAGTGATTATGTCACACCCCACACAATCTTCGTGTGTGTGGACACATACATATGGAGAAGTAATCGTGAGGGTGGGAGAGCATATCCCAAAATGGTTAGAAAAGCAAATGAATTGTGGAAAACCAATAGACGCAGGTGCCAGACTGCCAACTTCGTCTATAGCTAGACATCTAATCGAGATGAACCATAAGATTGATGTTAAGTCAGCCTTTAAGGTCATCTATAAAAACGGTCAAGGGCGCTTATTGAAATACGCTGAGGCTATAGCTATTCATAAACTTAAGCCCCCCCCCCCTGTGTTTTCAAAAACAGTTTATTATTACTCTTAACCTACTTTGGTAATCCTTATTTGATTGGATTACCAAACGTTGTGTTAATCATTCTTAAATCTTTTTTTGTCACTTTGTGTAATTTAATTGCCCTTAATTTTTTCATATATATCGACTTGACAAGTAAATGTGTGATCAGACTGTTCGAAATGTATAGCGCAAATACATCACATAACTTTTCAGATAATCTCCGTCTTTTAATAACGCTATCAAAATTTATAAAAGGGACTAATTGTTTTAAATATTCTATCTCTGTTCAAATTTATAAAGACGAACTCGTGTTTGAAAATTTTATCAAATATGATTTTCGGTTTATTAAATCTAGTCTGAAAACTTGTTTTCATAAATGCATCTACTCAGATATCATATTCAACCTAAATTGTCTGTATTATTTAATGTCTAAGTATGAACTCCAATAGAAAATTCATGAAAAAACAACTCAGAAAACAAAAATTACAAATGCCTACTTCTCTCTGTATTGATAATACTGGTAGGTTGTAAGTCTAATGATAACAATCCATCTGCTTCATTTTTAGCTAACCATCGGTGTACACGAAATGCATATCGACGTCCAAGATAGTAATCAGTGACAATCACTTCGTCTAAAAACCAACCTGAATCTGGTCCAATACCATCGTGCCATATTTTGACTTTTTTAATCTAAAATTTATGAAAATTTATCTGATGAACACAGTATGAAAAACATAGTTGAAAAAACAAAATTAGCTCCATTTATAAACACACCAATTTCTCAAACTGTAACATGTATTTATTTTTTATTTTCGATTTATTTTCGATAACAGCTTGATGCCACACCGTATTCTCAGTACAAGTATGACATCTTCAGCATGGATATCGGTAGCCCGAATTCTGCAGGCCGACCATAGATATCGGGTGTGCGTAGGCAGGGGATCGAACCCCGGACCATGTGCATGGTCGGCGAGAGTCCTAACCACTGTGCCACCGACGTAAAAAGTCATTTAGATTTTGCGAAAACACAAAATTATTCCTTTTAGTGAGCCTAAGTGATCGAATAATTGTAATAAGCCACTCAATGTGTTAAGAGGTCATTAAGGTGTTTATGGCGTTGTAATGGGCTCATACAAATCTTGTCACCCTATTGATAATTTCAGTCTTGAAACCATGGCTAATTCATTATCATACTTCTAAAACGAAGGAATAACAAATATCGTCTGCTTCAAATTCTCCACAAACGTAATGAAATCAAAATTACAGGATTTCATCATGAGCTGACATCGGTTAGAGAACCATTTGAAAACCTGGGAGTACTAGACAACCAGCTGTTTCGTCCTAGTTTGGGACTCTTCAGTAGTACTCACCCACCAGGGTTTGAACCCAGGACCTGCGAGTTACAAGGCGTGTTCGTAGACCATTCATGGGACCCAATTGAAGCCCTATTCTGGTAGATCCTAGTGAGAAGTCGTGACCAATTGGGTACAGAAGGTCGGGTGTTGACAGGTTGGGCCGTTGACATTCGCTAGTGGTCGCGTCATATCGTGGATTGGCAGAAGTTGGAATTCACGGAATGGCCATTGGATCGAGTCCTACCGGCCTAATGGTCTACAAGCTAGCTCGCCTTGTAACCAGAAGGCCGTGGGTTCGAACCCCTGTGGTGTATGCGCACAACTGAATAGTCACAAACTAGTCTAATGAGACAGCTGGCTGTCCAGTACTCCCAGGTTTTCCAATGGCTCTCTAGCCTATATCAGCTCATGATGAAATCCTGTAAAAATGAATCACTTGAAAATTCGTTGAAGTGAAGCACTTAGATGAACGTATGTAGACACTTGTAGACAAAACAAAAAAAGTAAGGTCACTTGTTTCTGGAGTCCTGATTAAACTATTGGGCCAGCTTAATTTTTTTCCAGCACAGTGCACATACTTTCCTCCGTTTCCGATTATTTTAATCTTCCAGTTATATCCATGGATTGTCACAGGGACTCGACCGACATACTTTCAGTGAATATTTCGTTTAAGATGCTATATGCGAAGTAAATATTTTGCAACAAACTACGTGGGGAATTCTGTACTGCATCTAAACATGACTTCTAGAATAAAGCTAGTAGTATTATTAAAAGTAAAACTTATTGGTGAAATGGAAGTCATATGGATAGTTACTTTTCCGGCGAATTTCACCGATAAGTATGAGGACGTTTCACTGTATACCTGCTAAGCGGCAAACATGTCAGTGTCTAATAAGTTTTTTATATATTTTTTTATATATTTTTGATTACAGCTTGATGCCACACCGTATTCTCAGTACAAGTATGGAATTTTCAGCATGGATATCGGTAGCCCAAATTTTGCAGATATCGGGTGTGCGTCGGCAGGGGATCGAACCCCAGACCATATGCATGGTCGGCGAGAGTCCCAACTACTGTGCCACTGACGCACAGAGATGGGAAAAATACTTGATCATACACCAAATACGCTTTCTCATGAAGCAGCACTAAGGGTGTGCTTATGACTAATAAATAAAACCCGATTCATTATTTACCCGAAGTCGATCAGCAAAACATGTATCATGCCATACCATGTAATACAACAACTCACACAACACAAAGTAATTGGGAGTAATTAGCCATGAAACACATCTCACAGAAAATTTACCTCACCAAGTTTCCCACAAGTTAGTAAAAATTCCTCAGATTTTCCTGCTTCAAATTTAGTAATCTCAATGCCTTTGTGCTTAAGTGGCATATCTTTGCTATCACCTTGCGTTCCGTATAGGTGAACGTACACATTTGAAGTAGTGCCTGCATTTTTACACATACCGGTTAACACTGTCACATTGTATGCGACAGCTATCAATAAAACAGAAAAAAGATAAGAGAGATTATGTTTATTACAATCACGTAAACACTTAATCACGAAAACAGGTTAGTTTAGTTTATATAACATACACTTGACTTTCAAGCAACCAATCCATTATTACCTAATCGCAATAATCTAAAACAGTCTGGAAAGTCCGTATGGCTAATGCTGACTTTGGAATTTATTTATTATTATTGTTCCCTTGGGTTCCTAGTGGAACTTAGGTCTTCAACTACACGTCTCCACTTGCTTCTGTCTTCTGCTGTATTTTTCACCTTCGTCCATGTTAATCCATACTGTTTCAACTCCTCTTCACACGATCTCCTCCATGTCACTCTTGGACGTCCCACTCGCCTCTTCCCTTTCGGGTTCCACTCGAGCGTTGGCCTGACGCGCGATATCACCCAGTGGCCTCCTCAGCGAGTGTCCAATCCATCTCCATTTTCTCCTGCATATTTGTTGGGTGGTCACCAACAAGAGACTTTGGAATTTAGGGCCGGGAAATAAATTATAGGTACACAAATCTTCGAACCTATACTGATGCAACCTGTTCACTGCCGGCGATACCAAATGGCATTATCAACACACTAAACGTATTGTCTTGATGCTAGCAAAATCAAAACTTCAGTAAAAATTGGTAACGAAGAACTATGACGACTCACAGATTTCGCAACCCCATTAATTTAAATCCCCTCAAAGTCAGTGTTTTCTACAGATAGGTGACTAAGTCACTAGGAGAATTCTAAGGAGCTTTTTACCTTATTGAGCTAGTTATGAAAACATTTAGAAAATGTTCACGATTTGTGGCGAAGTAAACGGTGGATGCACCTGATTATGTAACATCCCCCAAGATATATCAAGTATAACGTCACTGTCACCTGAGTTTTCTATCCCAGCTCAGAAGTTTAAAGATTTCTTAAATGAACCAAAATTACGGACAATTCAGTCAAATTTAGACTGACATGCTAACTATTTCTGTGCTCTAAATCGAAAGTTGTATTAACGCACAACATAAAATGCTCTCATCCATAACCAAAAACATTGATCCTGAATGGCACTGAATCTGTTAATAGTGCGTTAAAATGATTTATTTTCGTCCTGTCGGAATAACGCAAATCAGAAGCTACGTAGAGATAAGTTAACTAGCTTAGGCGGCAAAGGTAAAGTGGCACGTCCTATAGAATGCGAACGAACGAGTGATCTTGAGTCTACCAATCAGGGAATACAGTGGTTTCCGCATAAAACTGACGTTTATTCATAAAAGATATATAGAGCATAATGACAAAGCACACTAAACAAGATGTTTTTTCCGACATGACTTAAAAATAGCCACCAGTTTTAATGAGGAGTATCAGTTTTAAAGTTAGACCAGTTTCCGTACAAGTATTCCCTGAGGTGACTGACGATGAACTATTTTCGTTATCCGTTTATATCTCTTATTCTGTTTTGCAGTCTTCCTGGAAAGCCCTAGATTAAATTACTATGATTTCCAGTGAGAGGATCGACGACTATCTACCAAGAAAATGTGGATGATAAAACGCTAATCGTAACCCTGATCCTAACCCTAACGAGCTATTAACATATTGTCCGAACAGTACTTAAAAACGTGATCGGGGTGAAATTTACGCCTTAATTTGTGAATGGCATTCATATTGGCGCTATAATAATGGTAAGTCCCGTCATCCAACGACTAGTATGAGCCTTCACACTCCTGGGCTGATATACTTTAACTTGGCCACTTAATTATTATTATTACGGAATATAGATTAACTCTTGTTATCGTAAAAGGTTTTAGTGAAGTGAAGTAAATTTCAAAACAAACAGTTATCTGAATTAGTTTATTGTGAAAGGACTAAGAACATGTTGACCATTATATTTATTTTGATCAATTCGAACAACATAATACATTTGTCATCTTATAGATTAAGTTGGAGAAGGTAAGGTGAGGAAATTAACTGTATTTTTTAACCGTACTCCGACTGTTGAACAGTACAGAAGGCTAGCCAAAAAGGCGTCGGATTTTGTGTTGGATATGAAAACCTCTAAATACAACCAGTGGATGGTCAGCAGAAAATGTAGGCAATCAGGTAAACACTTAGTGACTTTGAAATGTTTCTTAAATTATGTTAGTCGGCGGTGAATTGCACATTTAGCATAATCACTCGACTCAACACATAGTGACAGCATTATTAATTAGATGACTATTCAAGTACAAAGTACTTATTAAATCTAAAGCTTATCCCTTCGTTCGTCCATCTATGAATGTTCTTAGACGTTAGTGAAGTCGTTGCTATGATCACATACTGATCTCCATAAAAGTGAGTGGCATTATTTGACATATACTAATGTTATACTGATGTGGCTCATTGGCTTGAGAACTTTACTGTCAGTCAGTGAGCTTGATACTGGAATCTCGGTCCACCAATTTCAATTTGGGCAACTAGGTAGTACTCTCTGCCCTTTTAGCCTGCTTGGTACATGGAAAATCTGTTCCGAAAAACTGAATTCTAACCAACAGTTATTTTTCATCTGTTAATCATACAAATTATGTTTATCAGTGGTTTTGAAGCCGATTTCACTTTAATTGAATGCATCTAATTAAAGAATATTAATTGTAAAGGTGAAAACATGCATTACCGTATAGTGAACTATGTGGAGTTAATTCCCTGATGATCTGTCCATCATCTTCTCCAGTGTCAAACCATCTGAAAGTACATGACAAAAAATAATCACGGATTAAAAAGACACCCATAAGCTTTAAGTTAATATGTAACGACAGAAGACAAGGGCCAGGCAACAGATCGTTTATTGAGGAAATCAAGAGATATTTATATATTTTTATGTACATTATTATTCGTTATTATTAGCAGAGAAACAGAGTCTTCTGACTGGTTGTTTTATCGCTAAGAGTTAATCTGTCATCCCTTTATGACCGTTTCCTTGTAGGTCAGACCATATATCTGCTAATCGTACTTGCACACGTTAAGTCTGCTGTGATTCGCTGTTGAGTTAGTCTTTGCTTTTGTTTTTATCTCATGACTAAGATTTGGGACTTAACCATTGACGTAAATTGCTGTCCACCAATTTTGGCTAGCAGACAGCTCTCACCACAAATACACCCACTTTTCCATGTGACTTTTCCGAAGAACATGAAAATCCACTTGACTAACTTATTTTCCATATTAGAATATAATATGCATACAAATATATAGTAATAACGATAGATTAGCATGAGTAGCTGCTAGGCTGATCAGGGGATCTAAGCATTATTTATTGTATCAAGTATGTCACAAATTGTGACTGGAATGATTTTGTTTCCAAAGAAAACTACGGTTGAATTTTACCACTAGAACTGTGTAAATTGCGAATGTGATTTATGGCATGACCAACTTGACCAAGTAGATAGTCCGAAATCACCCAATTTCAACGGTTTTGGCTCTCTGAAATAACGAAAATATTCATTCACACATCTATAAAACACAAAATAATTGAGCAAAGAATATCCTTTTCGGTCATTTTCTCTTCTGGCTCTACAATTATAGATATGTTGATATACATAGAATATTCTAGATTAGTAGTCAGTACCAATATCAGTGTGTCTTAAATAATATCGATTTGTGAAGTAAGATCAATGGAATTAGAGTTCATTGAAGATGATTAAATTACAATAATAAAGGTATAATAGCAAATAGAATATCAACTAAAATTAGGGAAATTTCCACAAAAATTGAGGATCAATTGAACCTAGATGGCCAAGGTAAGGATAATGTGTGAACTAACTTCTTTTGGACGCATAAATTAGGCTTCTTAATGTGGATCCCAACAGCCTCAGAAATATTTAGTAATCGAACTCTTAAGGTGAAATTGAGATTTGTTGGAATACGGTAAATGACTATGAAAGCCCAGTTAACATCAATCTTGTTTTCTGTATCCACAAGATGAGATAGAATAGAGCTATGAATAGATTTTGTTTGTCCTTTGCTTAACCACGCAGGATGGTGTTCGGAAATTCGGTGAGAAACACACCTAATTGTACGGCCTATGTAACTGGCTCCATAAGAGCAGTTAAATCGGTAGACACACATGGAAGAGGCGAAATTAGGCAGTTTAACTCTCGAACGCAAAGTAAGGGTGGTTTTGAAGACACAGTGTAATTCAGCAGCAGGGAATGCTCTTTTACCGCATTTCTAAGGCGTTGTGTTAATATCTCGCTGATGTCATCCTCGAGGAACTGAATTTGTAAAAATAAGGCCTTTTTAGGAACTGCTGTTACGTTGGGCTGCTTTGATTTTAGATTCATATTCTTATCTTTGATGAACTGTAATTCCATTGATCTTACTTCACAAATCGATATTATTTAAGACACACTGATATTGGTACTGACTACTAATCTAGAATATTCTATGTATATCAACATATCTATAATTGTAGAGCCAGAAGAGAAAATGACCGAAAAGGATATTCTTTGCTCAATTATTTTGTGTTTTATAGATCTCTGAAAAAAGTCAAACTGAGCACACTGCTGATGAACTCGGTCCAAAACGAGCGAAACGGCTGTCCCGGTGTTTAGATAATCTAGACCTGACTGGCTAGCAAGCACTGCTGGTTGATGTGATTGGTATGCATCTAATCGTCCCAGCCAATCAGTAGTATATACTTTTATGCCAATTTGCTTGCTCTCCCAATTATCATTTAAGGCACCAAACAGACCACACATTGTGATAAGAATAACTTGGTTTCCAAAGGAAACTATGGTGAAATTTCACCACTCGAACTGTGCAGACTGAAAACTGCTAACCAATTTGCGAATTATGAATTTGGTTTAGAATAGATTAATCTTTTTTGCTACCATGAATTCTATGACAGGTTGTACAGATAATCAGTGTCAGACAGTGTTGCAATGAATCAACAGTCTCCCTTTTTCAAAACTGCTCAATTTATCAAATATTATTTAACCTTTCAGATACATTAGACAAACTATTGTATTAGTTTATTTAAGAAAACACTTTCAAGAGTTGATTTGTAGGGATCTGATTTGTTTATCGAGTTGGACCACAGATTGATATCAGTAACAAATATTGAAACCAGGAAGTTTGGGACTTATCGGCAGTACTCACCCACTGCGTTTCGACGTACAGAATTTCCTGGAGTTCTAGTGAGAAGTCGCGACCAGTGAGGTTGAGTGTGAGGATGGAGTTCCCACCTAAGACAGTGGTTGGTAGTTGCGCTAAAATAACGAATCGGTAGAAGTTAGAATTCATGGGCTGGTCACTGGATCGGGTTTCAGTGGCTGAATGGTATCCGAGCTTACCTTTTCACCGGACGGTCCTGGGTTTGAAACCCAGTGGGTGCGTACTGCTGATAAGGAAATACTACCTTTTGAATTTGCTTAGACAATTGTTTGAAGATTACGTAATAGACTAATATGACAGTGTGAACTCATTTTGTTTACAATCAATTTTTCCTTATCTGAATTTGTAGAGTCAGTTAGTTAAAGTAGATCAGTCTTAAGATATTTATATCAGAACATTAACCCTGACTACAGAATCAATCACTGTTAGTGGGAATTTCGTGAAGAAACGGGAACCTTTAGTCGGATGCAGTTAAAATATTCAGAAAATTGACAGCACTAGTGAGGACACATCCAGTTAATAATATTGATTTGAATAAATCAAAATGATTAACTCCTAGGACAATAATAATAATTTTTATTACTAACGATTTTCTTAACCCTGTTGGCACTTATATGCTGATAATCCCGATATTAATCTTAGCACATTTTTGAAGTGCTGTACAAGGAATAGATTTGGGAATATTTATAACAAAAGAATTACGGAACTCTTCCAGGCCCTAATTTTAATTTGCACAAGGAGGAAACTTCAACTGACAATGATGCCGTCAAATACGGATCACTGTGCTTACCATTAGGTAGGCTATAAATTTGTTGAAACGCTTATTTATTTATTTATTTTTTGACACCGTGATACCATTGCGATTAACACTGCTAATTCATTTATAAAAACTATTAGTGTTAAGACATTAAAACGTCAAGCTCTCATCAGAAATCCGTCTCCTCTGCAACTCACATCTCAACAAAGATCCATTCGATCTTGAGATAAAAATGAATTAGTTTATCTAATCCCATGCAGCACATTGTGAAAAGTATTCAGTTATTGTTTAGATCAAATAGCTCAGAAATTGAGAGATTAGCCCTTCTCCTTCAAGAGTATTGAGAAAATACTGAAACTGAATTCTGTCTAAAGTACACAGGTAATGAAGTACTTTGTAGCTTCATATAATATTTACTAACAATGAAATATTTCTTAAAGCATAATTTTTAAATACAGTGTAATATGTGTTTCTCTTGCAAGCCTTTAATTTATTAATAAATACGGAGGTATTTTAGTCCTTCAGGACGAAAACTATCTACACTTCATGTGGTTATAGGCAAGGTTTTATAGTATTTTCTCCTGTGTATTCAAAGAAAATTAAGTAAAACTTCTAAGGATAACTAGGCGACACTGTCATAAGTTTGTTTACAATCATATAACACTAAATAATCTAACAATACTTGAATACCGATGAGATGCTCACTGGTGACTGGCCCTATTCAGGTAGGTAGTTACCTGGATTCTAGTGGGAAGTCGTGACCAGTAGGGTGCAGCAGGTCGAGTGTGAGGACAAATACTCGCCGAAGGCATTGGCTAGGGCTCGTACTATGTCATGAATTGGCAGAAGTTAGAATTCATGGTTTAGCCATTGGACAAGGCGGGTCCCAGTGGCTTAATGGTATACGAGCTCGCCTTGTAACCAGAAGGTCCTGGGTTCGAATCCCGGTGGGGTGCGTACTGATGAAGAGTCCCAAACTAGGACTAAACAGCTGTCCAGTACTCCCAGGTTTTCCAATGGTTCTCTAACTAATGTCAGCTCATGATGAAAATCCTGTAACCAATCAAATCCCTACAAACCAACACTTGAAAATCTGACAACGTTTATGATAACATTCATTCAAGCGGTAACTAGCTGTCTTGAGGTCCTCTACCAATGTACTTGTAGTATACCGAACAACTTTTAGAGTTAGTGGCTATACTGAATTACTCTATCAGTTAATCGATTAAGGTTAATGATAATAATCATAACAGCTTTATTCCAGACAAAATGTTTACACAATGTACTGAATTCTCAGCGTAATTTACTGCATAATGTTTTCTCTTTGTCCACGATCTTCAAATAACGCAGCGCTATTCGATCTGAAGCATAGACTAATCCCTTATAATATTTTTCTTCTCTGATAGCTTGAAAGCCAGTTAAAATGTTCGCGAGTACATTTTGTGACTCAAAGATATAATCGGATAGTTAAAACAACAGGAACTGGCGACAATAAGGTGCACTGGGTTGGATGGAAATTCAGGTAGCCCAGTGATTCAAACAGACCGCCGATCTAGGTAACTGATAAAATGTTGTATTCATAAATTTAAAAGAACTGTAAGCTAATTTCTTGGGTTCACCAAACTCAACAGGATATTCTTTATGTTTAGTACGCTGGTATCTTTTTATTTTCAGGATTACGTTTGATAAACAATTCATCAGTTATTCACAAAAATGTTAAGATTGACAATTAAATCTAATATTGCTTTGAAGATTTGTGTCAAGTAACTGTTTGCTAAATTTACAAAATCAGAACATGTTCAATATTAAGTTAAAAGACATCTCATCAAGTGATAATCATATCCAAAAGATATAATACTACCTACTATCTTTGTTGACTTACCGATAACATTCAAATGTCAGTCTATATTTAGGATTCTCTTTGATGGTCAGTACAACTTTCGCTAAATACCAACCATTCCCAGGTGATCTTTCTTCATGGCCAATACAAATTTTTCTAATTGCACCGAGTCGAACGGCTTCTATGACAAATTCATCCATCTTATTGAAATGAATAAAGCATTAGGAGGTAAAAAGTACCAAATACAGGTGAATAGAACATTCATCCCATTCAATTCGTGATCAAAACTGTAACCAATGAAATCCCTGCAGTGAACACTTGATAATTAATCCTATCCTAACTAGCAACTGGCTCTATGCTGAGAATTACCCGATTATGGAAGACTTAACCAGCAGGGACCATCAAGTCAGGTAAGAGAATAGTTGCGCTCGCCAATAACATCGGCTGGCGGTTGGGCTAAATATTGCGAATTGGCAGAAGTTGGAATTCATGAGCTATTGGATCGGGTCCCAGTGGATGAATGGTCTACCAGCTGGAAGATGCTAGCTTTAAACATCGGTGGGTGCATAGTGCTGAAGGGTCCCAAACAAGGACGAAACAACTTTCCAGTACTCCCTAGTTTCCAATTGTTCTCTAACTGATGTCAGCCCGTGACCAAACCTGTAAACAATCAAATCCCTGCAACCACCACTTCCATCAAACTACTTTATAGCAAAATATATATATTAAATTCACAGTTTTTCAGTAATTTCATTTAAGCGACCCCTAAAATTACTTACGTAACGATAACTTTTTCTAAGTGACCAAACTCAGAGAAATTAGTAAGTCTAACTGCAGTTTACTATTTTTGATTGTTGTGTCCATTCCACCTAATGACGCAAAGATGTTCAAATTACTTCCAGACTTCGTCAAAAAAACACATCTACAGAGCTGCTAATTATATTATCTGTAGTCGTATTGAAACTACTTTAATATGTAGTTGCGTGTATTGGGTGTAATTCTGATTGTCCCATTGCTAAAATTAAAACAAGACACACCAGCAAACAATATTGTTCTCAGTTAGACCTTCTTCAGGCTTTATTCTAATGTAGGCTGTTTTATAATATAAAATTTTATAATTGATGACAGTGAGATTGTGGATTAAATAATAATAAATGATGATTAAAAATAATAAGTGATGTCCACCAAATAAATTCTAATTACTTGCCCAGACATCGTCGAAGCATCTGCAAAAGAAGCCGACATGTCAACCTGAGACCGAGCACTTCAGTCCAATCAATCGACTGGAAAATCTAAAATTCAATTAAATAATTAATATGACCCGTTGCACAAGAGGTGGCCCTCGTGGCTCAAGTGGTCTAGTGGATAACGCTTTGGAGTTTGAAACTATGGGCACTGGGTTCGAGCCTCGGTGGGAACATCATCACTCACTGAGGAATGCAGGTATATCCAGCTGACGACTCCCAAATAGGAGGAAACGCGCGTTATGCTGGATTCTACTGCTAGTCCACACCAATTAACTTATAAGTGTTAAACGTTGTAAATATATTAGTAATAATAACGATTATAATAACAGTAATAAGAATAATAATAATGATAATAAGGTCAATGATAACAAAAGTACAAGCAGGTGACGCAGGTGTTGATAAGAACACTGAAGATAATACGACAATGTAAATAAATCAGTAATTGAATGAGGTCATAAACTTATTATATCTTATAAATTTAATGAACAAAGAGTCAGGAATCAATCTGTATTTTGAACACGACTGTGCTTTAAGATTATCATCCTATCTCAGTCTGTGGTACATGTAAGTGTATCGCTAGCAATTGATCAACTTTGTGAAACTGGTCTTGTGTCTGATTCAATTCATATGCCCTAACACTTATTTGAGACCTATTAGCTCAATAGAATAAATGAGGCATCAAAAACGGATTACATCGCATAATACTGATGTGTTGCTTCCCATAAATAAACTATACCCTACTACTATAACCAGTTTCCTGCATAAATTACCATATATTTCACTTTAGCTATCACAGGTAGATTACTTTTTGTTTATTCAGTTAGCTGTTTACATTATCATTTCAGCGCAGTCATTACAGGTTAAACTTACTTGTCACGTCATAGGTTCCTTCTCTGTATGGAAGTACTACCAATGATTTAAGTTCCTTACTGTTGGTGTTGTCATCATTCTTTGCATGCTTGTTATGCATTTCACTATTATTACTATCATTGTTATTATTAATTTTTACATTTTCCTGAATACATATTAATGGTAGCAGTAGTGATAATAATAATTATAATGGCATAAATAGCAAACATGCACGAAATAATGATAACACCAACAGTAAGGAACTTAAATCATTAGTAGTACTTCCATACAGAGAAGGAACCTCGGAAACCTTATGCAGAATTCTTTACAATGCAAGGATAAAAGTGGCTGGCATTCAAACCCACAAACTCAGGATCTAGCTTTGTCGCTGAAAGTACCCTACCGGTGAAGCCAGTTTAACAAAGCAATTAATTTTATCTAATACCCTGCAATGATTGTTACGTCAAATACATAGGTCGAAGTAGTAGAACAGGGGCAGTCAGACCAGTGAAGCATGAAAACCTAGCAAAATCTAGATTAGTTGACCCGAATAAGATAAGAAATCTGGAGAATAGTTCAACTACACCACTGACTACATGCAATTACACACAACCATACAATAGGATAAGATGACAGTTTTAAAATCTAATGTGACAGAGTGGTGGGAGAGCTTGTTAACCGAAGCTTTGTTTATCGAATCAACTGCAAATACATGTACTAGGAATGATTCAGTATCTGTCCCAGATATCCGGAAAATTCTACTAGCCCTACGACAAATAGGAGAGAACAAAGGAAACTATAAAACTCAAGTTTCGAAGTCGTGTGATTATAACTGATATGATTATAAACAATAAATTGTGTTCGAAACTGTGTCACCCAGTAAATAATACTGTTTCATTGTGTGATATACCTGATAATAAAATTATTACGGAATTCGATACTTTGAATTTGTGACGTATTTTCTTCCTATCTACCGCCGCATTGTTCATAGTTGTCTTTACACTTGGAGACTTTCCTACATTGATACGAGGCTTCTATAGGCTTCCATCATCTTATGCTGATCACAGAGAATATGAGATAATCAGTTATCTGTTAAGAGTCAATTCTTTTCTTACTGTATGACTGTAAATCTTGGATAATCGATATAGAAGTGCCAAGGAGGGTTTATGTCTTTCATTCTGGTTACATAAACAGTATCAATGAGTGTGAAGGCATAAGACATAGCGTCCTTAATCTTAAAAATCTTTCTGTGAGTTTAATTGTTAGTTAGTCGGCAAATTTAGATCATAGTGTGACATGCAGATCTATTTTACTGTTTCGAATTGCCAATAATAAATACCTACCTGATTCTGTTGGAATAACTTTGCATTCTGGTTTACTGAACGCTTTAACCATCTTTCACCGCAATCACCATTATCCCCAAAGATATTGATGAAAATATTTGCATTGGTACCAGAGTTTGGTTTATTTCCAGTATGTATTTGAATAATATAATGAAAAACTGAATAAAAACAATCAAAGTATAAGAACCAAAGTAACACGTTGAACGTGACAGACACAATCTGAAGGATAATATCAGATACTTGTCAGATACGTCTCCTTTTAGGAGATGAAACTCTGATGTCAGTTAAGTTTCACACAGAAAATGATAAAGGCTTTGTACTTTTTTATTACTTGAACACACATGCATACAGATTATCCATGCATATTTGGGCCGTGGAGACACTTTCGACTTTAGCTCTGAAACACTGCTGTCAAACTAAGAATTTTATTATAAGAATAAACTTCGTCCAACAAACTTATTTGTGAATACCCCCAATACATTATTGAAGAAATAACTGTCTAGAAATCAAGAGTGTCCCGTATCTTAGTTTACAAATCCGGCTAAACGGAAATATCATAATGACTGCTGAGTAATTTGCATTCAAAGAAGATTGTTAGCGGGAAATATAATTTGTTTTAATAAAGCATACAGGGGAGAAACAGTTATCTTACGTTTTTTAAGTTAGGGAATGACCAAAAGCATACTTCAAGGTTTTTTTAAATTTCCTGAAGTCATTCAAATCAGAAAGAGAGTAAAAGTCAACATATGAAACTACAAGAACAATACTCCAATTTTCCGACTAAGTTAGACCACACTTAGATATGCTGAGTGTTTCTAACAAACCTACAAAATAAGGTGTATTACGTTCGGCGTTGGTTTTTTCAAAGATATTTGGACAGCATTGGGCCATCCTTTCACAGTTTTCCTTCAATTTCTCCATTATATTATTATCCTTTTAGGCTCTAAGTGGAATGTAAAACTTCAACAACACGTCTCCGTCTCATCCTGTTCTCTTCAGTCCTTTCCAGCTGCCCCCACGATTTTCCCTAAGCTTTCATTTCCTCCTCACACGACATCCTCCTTATCACCCTCAGAAATCCAGAAATCATCACTTCTCATTAGGGTTCCACTCGGGGTCCTAGCACATTACGTCACTGAAACGTTTGCTTAGCGCACTTCCAATCCATCTCTATTTCCTTCCGAGGATTTTTTGGGCGAAAGGTTCTTGTTTGCTTAATTGCCAGAGTTCCTTGCTGCTGACCATCTGACCTTCAGTATAGAAGTCAGGCAGGGATGAAAGTTTGCAGTAATCTGTTAAAAATGTTTCTGGTGACGAGCTAAGTCACTGAACCGACGCGAACCACATATAAGTACTGATTTTATATTAGTGGTAAGTCAGTGCTCATTTCATTTATCTCGAGTAAATATTAGTAACCTCTGTGTACTGCTTCTTTATGTCTTACTGGAAAATTTGATGGAAAGAATGCAATCAGAACAAGGAATTCGGTATCACAGTATTCATTAAGCTTCAGTGCATAATTAACTATCATAGTTCGGAAATATATAAACAGAACAATACTCAACATCACTGTTTTTGATACAGCCTCAGGAAATTTCTTGATTAATTACCATCAAATGTATGCATTTTGTTAATTACCTAACAAATACGTGATAAAATATTTCCCATCAATAGTTTCTTTTTAAAAATTTTAGCTTGTGAAACTTACCTGGTGGTGGATCAGTTATCCCAGGACCTTTCGCAGGAATTTCTCTACAAATGGCGCCATCGTCCTCCCGAATACTCAACCAACGATTGCAGTAAAATTCATATGTTTCATGTGTGCTAATATTAGTTAGTGTGATCTATACAAGTGTAAAATAACACAAATAACTTGAATTTTATACAGTTAGAAAATAACGAAGTTGGAAGAGAAATACATATCTCTTATAAATTGGTACCACATCAACAGCTTTTTTAAAATAATCCATCAAAATTATACCAGTCAAGTAGTCTTATGTTAGGCGATAAGAAGTTCGGATTCCAAGTTATAGAAGGGTAGAAATAATTCCCGAAATCAGCATAGTATTTAAAAGATACAACTACACAGCTAATTTGTAGATGCTATGTAGGTGTAATAGGTGGTTACATAACAGAGGATTCATAAGATAAGGATAGCTAAGAAGAATGGGTGAATGGGATTGTTAACAATAACGTAGGGAAAATTACATATGAAGTGATCAAGCAAATTAGCTAAAATATTATTATGGACACAGAGTCAATAGGATAAGGGCAAAGGTCATTTGTAAAATTCTGCACCGATCATTTAAACGGCCTTGGCAAAGAAAAGGGCTGTAGGAATTCCCTCTGATGAATTCAAAAGCTGTACAACATGGGAAGTGAAATGCGTCAGATAACCATAAAACATTTTTAGTGTCCACACTGATGTCCCGTATCAACAGGCTGAGCTAATATATAACTATTTCTCTCTGTTAAATCTCTTGTCCAACTAAAACGGATGATCTTCAGAAATCTGACAATGAACTGGCTTAATTGTATGCCCAATTTCAATAGATTCATAGGAGCAGTTAAACTGATGGACGCATATGAAGAAGGTAGAATTAGGTAATTTGGTATCATTTCATCAAGTGGGTATTGGTTGGCTAGGAAACGGACAGAATAATCTAGTTGTATGGAGGGTCATCCTGATAGCTTTTTCCAAACAGTATGCAATGTCATCCACGAATTTCAGTTTCAATAACCCTATCTTTTTACTGAATTGCAAGCAGCCTGGTCTTAATACTTGGTAAATTCACATGCTTTTTCAGGAATATCCATTTCTGCCGAGTAGATGACGAGTATTACTTAATTCCTTTTTGAGCGTATCTTTAGAATAAATACCCTTGGTTCAGAGAACTTGGAACAATACTAAGAAAACGAGTGTAAGGTCCAGTTGCTATAGGATTTGGGTGCTTATTTCTACTTCTTCTTCCCCATCTACTTGTTTTGTCACTAGATAGAGTCATTCTATTCTTCTTTTTCACTACAGATTACAGCTGGATGAGTTTTTTTAAATTTCTCCATTGTGCACTTCACTACACTACAAGTCACTTATTAGGTCTCTCAACATGTTCTTCTCTAGTTTGCAAGGAAAGAATTAGCTAAGATTAAACTCATTGGTGATCCTATAGCAACATCATTCGACTGCTCATATGACAAATTGTCGACAGGGAAGCATGCATTTGAAGATGAACCCCTTTAATAGAGATATAAGGATACCATTCTATATACCTTCATTTTTCAGATCATTGTATATGTAATCTACTGTTTTCATCAGACGCAGATAGGATAGTTAAGATGACACATCCAAGGATACCATATCTGAAACATTCTCCATCACCTCAGTATTACGTGGTTTCGGGAAATCAGTGTGACTGAGTGTGTAATGTAACGATTTTATTTCACAATTATTATCTATTATTTACGTTAAAGTTTTGAAAGTAATCTTTTTGAAAACAACCAGATACGAGGTTGTAACGGTAAGTTCTATCAGAAAAACTCCTCCCACATTTCATTTTGCAGTCCGCTTATTACTATTATCCATTCCCTGCTCTCCAAGTATAGCTTTCAACTAGCAATAACCGCGCCTCAGATAAACTTCATTGGCTACGGCACCGCCACTGCGCAAAGTCAGCGGCACATCTTCAGTGTACACGGTACTCTGCCATCACTTCCGACTTGGCTCCACGATTAGCCATAAGCTTTTATTTCTACTCCACGTGACTATCACTAATCACCCTCGGGCCTAAAACCCATCAATGGCTTCCCAGTTGTGTTACACTCCTGGGTCTGGCATGCGATATTACTAATACTTTATCCTACCCATGTCAATCCTATTACAAAATGTAATCACTTGATAAAACTGATATGAAATACCAAATTAATGGGAAGATCAGTCTATAAATGCCTTCTGGTTAAATCAGTAGACAGTTTTCATCTTCAGAATTAGTTATTCTTCTTATATGTACCAGTGCATACTCCTAACAGACTCACCTAACTAAAAATATGTGATCAAATAATGGCAGGACATAACATGAATAATAACATTAATAACAGAAATAAAAAGTCATCCATCAAAGCACTTTTATTACCATTTGAAGATGCCAATTTGGATTTGATCCTTTGTTATCATGTGCAACTCTCAACTTATATGGCAAGCCAATTTCTTTGATATAAGTACGAAATTTCGATTCCACATTTGGTTTAAACATATCTACTATTTCATTTTTAGACATTTTAGTCCATTCAGAAGAGTCTTCTAATAGTGAACGATCCAATTGGATTTTCATTGTTTTGTCTTTACTGCCAAACAGGATAATACTGACGTTGGCGGTAAGGTAACTATTTGATATTGGACTGGTTTTCACTACAATCTCCCATGGTATTTCTAATCATGAGAATGTAAAGTGAAATATTACTATGGTTTGGAAAGAAATAATTCCAGAGTAGTTTAATAGGAGGAACAATTTTAGCAGTTATAATAGAGATATTTATGTTGACCAAACTTATCTGTAAATAAGAACTATTCCACGCAAATGTGTGCTCTTCAATCCTCTGTCTAAGACAACTCCCTTAGAAGATCAATACTAATTCTTATCTACCTGCATATTTAGGGCAATGCATAAAAGCCTAAAATATAGGAACTTAGGTAATTCTTGGTAATATTTTACTAAAATCTTATGATCCTGATTAGAAATCTTCTCCAACATTTTTTCCAGAAGCTTAAATTGTCTAAATAGTGCTGTTTCACAGATGATTGTTATACTTTGAAGGAATTCAACCAAGCGGATAATACATGTAGAATATGTTCGTACTGGGTGACATATATTCTTGGCTGAAATGCATACCCCATGTCCATTGTTTAATTGAATGTTTTTAGGGTATCCAACTTTATTCTATTTTTGGTAGATAATCATGCTCTGTCCTAGCGTTAACTTATCACAAACAGCACTAGGGCTGCTTAATTCACAACAAATTACACCAACAGACAATCATCAAGTATTAGTTTGTAGGGATTGTGTTTGATTGGTTGGAGGATTTCATCATGAGCTGACATCAGTTAGAGAACCACTGGAAAACCAGCTGGGAGTACTGTACAGCACTTTCTTCCCTAGTTTGGGACTCTTCATCAGTACTCACTCACCACAGGGGTTCGAACCCACGACCTTCTGGTTACAACGCCAGCGAGCTCCTAGACCATTGAGCCACTGGGACCCGCCCTATCCATTGGCCAGCCCATGAATTCCAACATTTACCAATTCATGACCTGGCGCGACCACTTCGCAATGTCTTCTTTCATGAGTTACTGCCTCACCTTCAACCTGTAGCACCCTACTGGTCACGGCTTCCCACTAGAACCCCAGGTTAACTGACTGAATAGGGCCAGTCGCTAGTGAGCATCAGATTAATTTTCAAGTGTCATGAATCGGTGGAAGTTAGAATTCATGAGCTGGCTATTGAATAAGACGGATCCCAGTGGCTTAATGGTCTACGAGCTCGCTGGCCTTGTAACCAAAAGGTCTTGGGTTCGAACCCCTCTGGTGGGTGTGTACTGCTGAAGAGTCACAAAATATTCTGATTAGACAGCAGGCTGTCAGTACTCCCGGCTGGTTTTCCAATGGTTCTCTAACCAATGTCAGCTCACGATGAATCCCTGCAACTAATCATGACTAGACTTCAAAGGAAACAAATAATTCAACTGAAAAGTAAAGGAAGAAGAGTCTTTATCAAGGTCTGTATTCATTCAAAAGCAGGCAGAATGGATTTAAATACCTTCTAATCAGAGTGTGACAGTGCCATCAAAGAATGTGGAACAAGATTCAAGAATGTGGAAAATACGATATGCGAAGCAAAAGTTTAACTAACTGCGTAGTTGTTAAATTATTCAAAAGATATTAAATACAAAATTTAATCTATCAGACAGTACCAGTGAATATTAAGAAACTAAAATCATTCATAATATTTTCTGGTTGATGGCAACTAGCACTGGAATCTAAGGTAAGCATTTCGCTCTGTTTGAAACTTACCAGCTGGATATACCTGCATCTTTAATGAATCGTGATTTTGCTGCTGAGACTTGAACCCAGAAACCATCCTTTTAAACACCAAAGCGTCTTCGTCTAGTTCACTGGACCAAGAAAGCCATCTCTTGTTCAGTGCCTATCACTTTATTCAGAACTATTGTTTCCATTGAATCCCGGTTCTGTTTCCCTATAGCTGTGACACTTTGTGTCATTCGGAGTGGTGGATATTTAATTCCAATGTCAACTTTACTGAATTCACAATCAGGGGAGTAGTCCCAAATAGGATAAAACACCGTCGCTTAGTATACTCAAATTTCTTTAACATGTCTTATAAGAGCATAAGCTACTGCATGTCATTTAATGCCGCTTTGTAAGGAAAATCAAAGACCTCACTAACCTGATATAATTGCTGTTGCAATCCAAAATGTATTCACACTTACTTTTATCTGTATATTTTCTGAGGGATTTATCTTCAGACAGTATTTGTTCAACTTTAACATCTGCTTTAGTACTAGACAACCATTTACGACATCCAAAAGTTTGTTCAATCCCATTCAGTGGACAGTAGATTTGAACCTGTTCAAAAAAGTACAGACGGTTCATTGAAATCTACCCGAAAATAAGGTGTATTTGGAAGCCTAATGTAGAACAACAAATACTAGTTTTCTGTTGATTTCACTCTAGAGGTTAATAAATAAATGCCATATATTTCAGTAAAAGAACACAACTGGGGGTTTAAGCAGTTAAACATTTCACGCAAATACCAAATTCCAGCATAACTCTCCAAGCTTTACAAATGCCATCCTACTTTTACATATGTTGCTATTTGTAAGTATAGAAGTTTTGAAATCACTAATATAACTTAAGACACCAATTTTTTAATCAGTTGATTGCGTAAAGCGAGAAGAATGATACATTTCGTTTCAGATAAACACAAGTAGTAGCTAACGCTCTTAACATAGTAAGAAGTTGAAATAATAGAGAAGATTTGTAACTCAGGTGGATGATTTGCAATTAATAGTGTTCTCTGACCTGGTTGGTTTGGTTGCGGAGCTTTCGTCGTCCTTCTGGACAACATCCCCCTTCAGTGCAATATTTAGCATATAGTGAAATGACTTAAATTTCTTCATGAGTGATATAACTGCGTCTCCCGGTAACCATCTTTACATATGTATGACCATTTTCTATTGACTAGGAATTTAAACTTTCTGGTCACCTGATTTACTTTATATTAGTTGGTATATTTCGTCTATATTAACGTGTTTGTTAATTGCATTTCGTTTGAGTACCAACCAGGCTTCTAGGAATTCCCTGGCACTTTTGGTGTTTCCTCTGTCTAAGATTTTGACATTATCCCAATCAAATTGATGACCATAATTATCTATATGCACTGATACTAAAGAATACATATCGTGTTTTTTCACGGCTGATTTGTGTTCTTGGATTCTAATTCGAAGGGGACGCTCAGAAAGTGACCAGAAAGTTTAAAATCTAAGTCAATAGAAAATGGTCAATACATATGTAAAGATGGTTACCGGGAGACGCAGTTATATCACTCATGAAGAAATTTAAGTCATTTCACTATATGCTAAATATTGCACTGAAGGGGGATGTTGTCCAGAAGGACGACGAAAGCTCCGCAACTAAACCAACCAGCTCAGAGAACATTATTAATTGCAAATAGTAGGAAGTTCGTAACCATTTTTTGCCTTCCTGTGGAACAAAGGGTTTTAAGCTTTTAAATATCAGTAGAGATAGTGTTGCCCCATACTCAACCTCTCGAAACAACTGGCTAGTAGTCCAGGAAATGCTTAACAGTACATAGGTGGTAAATCGAACGGGGAACTCCTGAATGTCTGGTGAGCGTCCTGCCATTAAATCTTGGTCATTTGAAGTTTTGAATATTCAGATAATACTCACGCAATGATTTTAAGAAGAGAAACAAAATAATCCAAGACTTAGACAATGCTTGGTCCAATGGCTTTCCAATAAAAACGTTGTGCAACACTAGTTTAAATTCCCTTCTGTAGTAATTGGGATACACTCAGCTTTTAAAATTAGGTGTGTGTATATCTTGAAAGGTTCAGTAAATTATGTTGTTAACCAAACAGAAATCAGTTAGTTTTCTGATTGTGATATCTCCACTTCTTGAGAAAAAACAAGTGTCTGAAATTTCAAGTCAAATTTTGAATTGAAGATTGGTTACTAACTCTATTAAGCACTGAGCAGCCGTTTCATCCTAGTTTGGGACTCTTCATCAGTACGCACCCACGACTCCACCAGTGGTCAAGCCCAGGGACTTTCAGGTTACAAGGAGAGCTCGTGTACCATTCAGTCACTGGGACGGAGTCCAATGACTCGTCAATTCTGACTTCTACCGACTCAGAATATATCGTGCGACCACTGACCAGTGTTATCGGCAAGTATTAGTCCTCACATCCAACTTGATGGACCCCGATGGTCACAGCTTCCCACTAGAACTTCAAGCAACTTCATCCTGCAGTCAGCCACTAGTGAGAAATAGGTCAATTTTCAATGTTGAAATCGGTCAAATACCTGCAAAACCAAAACTTGGAAGTCTTTGAATTATTTGGTCATTTATTTACTCTATCATATTTCAATGTTATATAATAGTAAAATAATGTAAAGTTTGCGAGTTATTTCAAGTTCGTGGGTTTTTCTCACGTGAAATGATCACACACATAATAAGCAATGCTAGATAGAAAACAAGTCTGTCCAACTTTCTTTATTTGCAATGGGAAATACTCTGGCTGTTCCCGGTTAAATCGGATGACATAGACTTGATTCATTAGTGAAGTGTTACTTTGACGTAATGTTCTGCTAAATAATTTCAAAGCATAATTTAATTTATTGACTGCTTCATCTAATAAGTCATCAGCTTTTTAAAGACCTTAGAGAGCGTTGACTGCGGAGTATTTTAGCATCCGCTTCAACACTATGGAGTGCAGTACCTTAGTCAACTGCAGCATTGTGATGCTGCATACCAGATAATTCAAAACGGAAAGTATACTGAAGTCTCAAAAGTGAAGACAGGAGTAAAATAAGGCTGCTTACTGTAACCGATGACTTTTCTCATTGTGGTGGATTGATCAAGCAGCAGAATGCATACAAAATAATGAACTGTGGCAGACAGCGAACCAGCCAACAACCTATTGTCCAATAGATATACAAAATGACGTGGTAATGGGTACGACGTTTGCTGAGGAGGTCTCGGAGTGAAATCACACTCCAGGTTATTTAGTGGAACCCGAGTGGGAAGCAAGTAGTAAGTTGGACATCCAAGACTGGCATAAAAGAGACCACGTGAAGAGGAAATGGAAGTTTGTGGCCATCTCTGAGCTATTGTAAAGTGATCAGAGACAACTATAGTGAAATACAGTGAACATAGGCTTCTGGAGCCTTATGTTCTACCAAAAATTCAAGGAATAATAATAATAGTAATCCATCCAACAACATTGTATTTGATACCTAAAGACTGGTACAAATTTAGTGATAAAATTATCAGCCTGTGTAGTTTAAATCACTCCACTTATTTGCAAATTAGGAGACGAACTTCTTAAGGAAATCAAAGTTAGTGCAGTTCTGAAACAAAATAAACTAGAGTGATCACACTTGAAAGTTGTTTTTTAGTTGCTAAAAATCATTTTAAAAAATTGTCTTTCTGCACACACCATCTTACCTTATCAAGGAACCATGCTGGAGAACTGCCGGAATTATCGTGTCCTATCATCAACTGTGATATAGGACAAATCTGCTTGGGTACTGGTAAATCGATAGAAAACAATGCAACTTTATTCCTTTCATAAGCACCATCTTCTAACCATATACGTGGAGTAGTATACAGATTATCTTTGTTCACTTCAGAATCCCCTTGCTGATCTGATGTTAAGTCGAATCTTGCCTGTGGAACGTTACGCGTTAACTGATTATTCGACAAAGGAGCTTTGGGTACAGACATTTGTTCAGGGCCAGTTAATCGAAGGTAAACTCGAGCAGTTGTTCCTGCATTAGGTAAGTCACCAGTATACAATCGGATTTCCAATGGGATTTCTGTTATAATAAGATGAAGAAGAAAGTAAAATTATAAAGCAAAGACAAATCGTCTCCGTGTATGCCTTTTTGTTAGAATTACTTTCAAGTAGCTTCCACTTAAATTCCCGATAAAATAATTGATTGAAAACAAAACAAAATGAGCTCTAAGAAATGTATGCCAGCACAATGAAGAAACTACAAACTTACGAATTTAGGTTTCACTGCGTCATCTAGTAGTCATGAAGCAATTTCGCTGTTTTATCTGACTAACTTTGACTGACGTCCATAAACTAATGAGTTATTCCCTGTCATTAACACGTAGAGTTTCTAGTGTTATTCAAAATTACCAGACTTATTTCTGAATAACTATAATTTTTAGGTTTATGAAGGTTTCACTCAGCTAATAACCGAGTAAGCTCAGAGGTGTGAGTGACTTGATATGATTATGAGCAATAGTTTGTGCTCGAAACGTCATCAGTTAATATTACTGTACAACACTGTGTGATTTATCAAAATAAAGTTTTATCCTTAATGGAGTTATACTCTACTACAGTGCCCAAGTTTTATACTTATATTAAATTAACACAATTGTAGCTCTGATTTAGAAATGACTCTGCAACAGATTAAACGTGGCACCCTAAGGTTCGAAAGTCAGTGTAAAACCCTTCAGCCACTAAGTCACAACCAGCTAATAAAAAGCAAATCACATGGCAAGAAAGTTCGAATTCCAAGTCAATAAAAACATGATCAATAGAAAGTAAATTAACATCCAGTCACGACAGTGGTTACCAGGAGATACAATTACATCATTCATGAAGAATTTGATAATCATTTTATACTAAAACCTACGCTGGAGAGGGATGTTGTCTAGAAAGACAACGAAAGCTTGGCAATTCAAATCAACCAGCTCAGAGAACACAATTAATTCACTATCATCCATCTGAGCTACAAATCTCCATTATTTCAAGTCATGGCATATTAAGCAACACTTGGATAAAGGATATTATAAGGCTGTTTTCATCAGATTACTGATTAACACTGACAGATAACAGCTGTCTGCACTATCATAGGGAAATTTTCATAATCATGTGCTTTGCCTTCTTGAAACAAATTTTCTGGTTCAATTCGTGATTTGCAATTTATACAGTTAGAGGTGAAATTCTACGATAGTTTTCTTTGCAAACCGGAATTATTTCGATTGATTGCTATTTATAATATAAAACAGATCTGAACCTTTTCAGATTCCAAAAGGAAGTGTGGTGAAATCATACCTCTAACTGTGTGAATTGTAAATTGAAACTTTGACTTCGCGTATTACTAGTTCACCCAAGTAGCTAGCCAGAAATCGACCAGTATGAACTGATTCAGCTGTCTGACCTGAGTCAAACTGGGTACATTGCTGATTAGCTCAACTCCAAACGAGAAAAATGGCAGTCCGGCGTTTATGTTCCCTATCATTATGTTCTGGCTGTTTTGCAAGCACTGCTGGTTGATTTGAGTGGTATCCAACTACTGACTCCAACCAATCAGTAGTATATGTAGTATTTCGACGACAAAAGTTGAAATAATGTTCTCCATATGGCTTTCATATATACACTGCAGCAGGCTAGGAAGACTAATTCATGATTCTGAAGAGGAATCTGTCTGATACAACACTAGACATAGTACCACGTAGTACCGAAATTCCTACATTAACTTTTATGCTTAACGACTGTCTACACGCTGTAATGTTGAATAATACCAATAAAAATGTGAGATAAAATGTGATCTAAAATGTACGATTGAAAAAAATTAAATGCATTTCAGTAATTCATTCATTCATTCTTTGAAACAAGTTAAAAACTCACTCTGCCAAACAACTTCCTTTTCTTCCTTTTTAATCGACTTTTCACAAGCCAGTATCACCTCACTTGGCTCAGCAATCCATTTATTGCAAGGGAATTCAAATACACGATTCATTTTTAAATCGTCTACAATTACCTGCATAAAAAGAATGCATATACAACTTGAAATCACTTAAAAGGAAGAAAACTGATTGATGATAGGTTTCTGCATTCAGGTGCTAAGATGTTTAGAATGAATCCAGGTTCAGTGTCTGTTGATTGTTATCTGCATCTGGAAGAGAATGTTTATTGGTTACAGGATTTCATCATAAGCTGACATTGGTTGGATCCAAACCCCAATGGCTACGTAGTGCTGAAGAGTCCCAAACTAGTCTGACGAAACAGCTGTCCAGTACTACCAGGTTTTCCAATGGTTCTCTAACCAGTGTCAGCTTATGATGAAATCCTGTAACCAACTAACCAAATCCCTACAAACCAATACTTGAATAAGAATGTTTATCCTTCTGAAGACTGAGATCTGTGTAAGTTAGTAGTTTAAATAAGCTCTATACATAACCAGACTAGATACATTTCTATGGAGGTCATTTAGAAGCAAAACATTCTTCTTTTCATTAAACCGAATCTGTGTTCTAAATCATTGAGAAGGGTGACTGTAAATGCTCTAGAAGATTCAAATAATAACAATTCCGTCAAAGTATATTTGTCAGTCAACTTAAAAGCTACTGTTGCTTAGGTCTAAATATAGAATTATTAAGCTTAATTATAATATTACTGTACAACATTGTGTGTTTTATCAAAATAAAATCTTATCCACAATGGAGTTATACTCTACCACAGTGCCCAAGTTTTATACTTATATTAAATTGATACAATTGTACTGTGCGTCGGTGGCACAGCGGTTAGGACTCTCGCCGACCATGCGCATGGTCCAGGGTTCGATCCCCTATCGATGCACACCTGATATCAATGGTCGGTCTGCTTAATTTGGGCTACCGATATCACATGCTGAAAATTCCACAGTTGTACCAAAAATACTGTGTGGTTTCAAGCTATAATAAAAAAAAAAATAATTAATTTTGAACGTGCACTATTCACACATATATCTAACAAGAGAATTCTTTGAAGTGCTAAAGTATACGAATAAAATTATGCAGGTGCTTATGTAATGCCTATGGACGCTAAGAATCGTTCAAACCTTCCAGCTTATTAACAAGCAAATAGCCAACAATGGCAGACCAGTGAATAAACTTCCGTGTATAAATTATATTTTAATAGCTAATCGTTCAAAAGTATTATACCTTGCTGAGAAACCATGATGGTGAAGAACCAGCCTTATTATGTCCAACTTTAAGCTTAGTTATTTCACCTAGTTGTGGACATGAAGGTAGGTGAACTACAACAGTAGAACCTCGACTAAAATGATAATACTGTGGTTGTGTTTTATCCACTTGATGAATTGAATTCAACCAGATTTCTCGACTTGAATCTGTTTCACCGTATAGTTTCACATACACCTCAGCTGTTGTACCTGAATCCATTTTGTCAGGTGTATAAAATGTTAATTTGTATTGTGTTTCTGAAATGAAGTAAAAATTTGAATTAAATAAAAGTCTTACTCTCGTACATTTTCACTTCTGTAAATGATAAGAATACATCAAATACATATGAAAATTCTAGATTGGATTTCGACAATAGTTTCAAAATAGGTACACGAGGAAAATGCCACTGTACAACAAAAATTAATCAGAACAAAAATAGAGGGAACAATTGTTTACAATACAAAACCATGGCCAGTAAAAGCAAATTAGAATCATATCATGATGAAAACCTGAAACCAGTCAAATCCCTGCAAACCAATACTTGCATATCAGAACTGTATTGTGGAGCAAGTAGAAGACGGGATGGAACAATAGTTAGTTAATTTTTTGAATATGCATGGTCAATGAGAACATGGGATGAAACAATTTGAAGATATATATATATATATATATGAACTATGATCAAGATTTGACCGGATAGTTGCCGAGTGAGAAGTAGACATTTGTAAAAATTATATTTGTAAAATCTCAGCGAAATTGAAATGATTAATTCCAACGTTTCGTAATTTCCCTGAAGAAGTTCGGACCAGATTGCCGAACGAAACGTTGGAATTAATCATTTCAATTTCGCTGAGATTTTACATATATATATATATATATAGTCAACAAAAGTGCAGGTTTCGAGGGTGAGTGTAATCAGTGGTGTGTGAGACAATATGAATACTACAGAAAATAAATCAGACGTTAGCATGTTCAGCCGCTATGTTTACCTTGGCCTACAATAAGGCCAACGAATCCTCGATAAACATTAGCACTATAATCCTATCGCAATTTTTTTTCTTTCCTTCTTCTTTTCCTTTGACGAGTCCCAAATAGGACGAAATGCGCATCCTGGATTCCACTGCTAATCACCATCCACCAATTAAATTCACTAACAAACGTTCATTTCTGACCTTTTACGACTTCATGACCTTTCTTATGATTTCTATTACCTTAGGTTTAAGTAATGCTTTTCTAACTTTTTATCATATTTACAAAATCCTGTTCACTTCACTTCACTAAATTCATTATTACTTTATTATTATTATTATCACTACTATTATTGTTTAATAATCATTCACCAATAGTACTTTTAAGTTTACACCACATCATCGTTGTTATTTCACAATCAACACTGACATTAAGTATGGTCGAAAACGTGGACCTCAACAGTCGTCATTCCATATAGAGCAGAGACATCAGACGATATCAGAAGAGTACTCAATCCGTTCGACATTAGAGTTTTCTTCAAAACATCGGACACACTGCGAAACAACCTTGTCCATATAAAAGACCAAATCCCTAAAGATTGTCTATCTAATTGTGTCTATAAAATAAAATGCTTGGAATGTGATGCGATATACATCGGACAAACATCTCGAGAAATCAAAATCAGAAGAAATGAACACCGTAGAGCCGCATCTCTTCGACCACCGAGAAATCTGGTTCAACTAGAAAAGCTTGAAAAATCATCAGCCATAGGTCTACGCGCTATAGAATCAGGCCACAAAACTGATTTTAACAATATTGAAATAATCCAGAAAAACTTAAGAAATCACAAGGAACGTCTAATATCAGAAGCACTTCATATCAAGTTGAATCCAAATTGTCTGAATAGGAATGATAGACTAAAACAGAATCTGACCTGGTTACAACACCCCCCTCCCCCATGAAGTGACAAAATCAACACGAATGTGAAAAGCAATATCATTATATAAACACACGCTGTTTTATAATTTTACACACTTATCAAATCCAACAATCTACACTTGATTTTGTTATCTTTACCAACTGGCCAACTTGACAACGAAAAATGACCCCATACTGACGAACGATAATCAAGTTAGTAAACCTTGTTTTGATACCATAATAGATGTACTATTACCTTTGTTATTTAGTTTAGTGGTCTTCATTGTTATTTTGACTTTCAATGTGTCCTTTTAACTTGACCTAAGTCTATTTTCTCGCCCCTTAACTCTTCGATATATATATGCTGAGATTTTGTAAATTCTGGTTTAATAATACTTTGATAAAGCTCTTAGCATTAAATAGCAAAACGTCAGTAAAAACAATATCGTTTTGTTTTTCATTCATTGGGAAATACAAAAACCTTTATTATAATGAAGATCATTATTATTGTCGTTACTTTTATATTAGACTTACGTATGGTTTATTTTCTGTAATATTCATATTTTTTGACACACCACTGATTACACTCACCCTCGAAACCTGCACTTTTGTTGACTATATTTATATGCATATAAGCACACATCATTAAATGATTTCACCTCATTTTATCTCATGTCCTCATTGACCATACATATTCAAAAACTAACTGACTATTGTTCCATCCCATCTTCTACTTGTTCCACAATACACTTTCTGATATGATTCGAATTTGCCTTTACCGACTGGCTATTGTATGCTCAAATTAGTGAATTTATAGAACTATAAAACTCAAGCTTCGAAGTCGTCTGATTATAATTAATATGATATGAAACGTCATCCAGTAAATAATACTGTTTCCCTATGTAATATATCCAACAAACACATTAATATGGAATTATAATTGTAGAGCCTGAAGAAGAATTTATTGAAAACAGTTGTTCACTCTAACTATTTTTGTTCTGAATAAATTATTGGAATATTCAAGTTACCAAAAATTAATCAGTTGGATTAAAGAGACGATGCTCATGCAGATCAACAGCGGATATTGTATTTGTGCACGAAAATCAAAACACACATCGCTATAAGATCACAAAAGCAGTCATCTTTAGTTAGATTCTCTTCTGGTTTACTAAAAGAATAACTTATATGAAGTTATTCAGACGGAAAATCGGTTTACTCTGGGTTTTTTTCAGTGGCTTCTCAGTTATATTTAACTGTCGATGGGTTCAAAGAATCCGATTTCGCAAACAGGCTCATTAATTTTAGGATTATACTGTGAGATAACCAGAAATATTTTTTTTTTAAACATCTATTTTCCAGCAAAATGCTCCATTTACTGAAATCATCAATCCCATTGATGAAAGAATGCATGCATGTATGCAAGTATGTTTGCATGTATGTGTGTGATTCGTATCATTGTATAACAGATTATAAAGTAAAGTATATAGAATAAAGTGCTGAAGAGCTCTACTGAGAATTACCTCTTGAAGTAAACATCTGTTATTTCAGGTACACAGAAAGTAGATAAAATTATAAAAAAGTGTCCTAAAGCATTCACCGGTAGTTTTTCTTCATCCAGTTAACAAGGCCCTAAGACAACCTTTTCTGAAAGTTGGGTCAGGACCATAGAATCCTTACAAATTACACTGTATAACCTACTTCTAAGTTGGTGAAGATCAATGACTTGAAGAACAGTTTTCATAGCGTCTATAAACGGTTTAGTCAGTAGTAGATTCATAATGCGGAAATTCATATAACCCAAAGTCTAGTCTATAGTCTTGCAGATAAGAAAACCATTGTTTTATTGTCATTTACTCAGAAGATTCATAAATTGTATTACATCAACATATTGGCCAGCTAAACATTTGTTCAACATTGAATTTCAACCAAATATAGCATGACTAGTAGTTCTTAAACTCACCAAACACAGGTGTAATTTTCAAGTATTGGTTTTTAAGGATTTGATTAATTGGTTACAGGATTTCATCATGAACTGACATCAGTTAGAGAACCACTGGTAAACCAGTTGGGAGTACTGGACATTCAACTGTTTCGTCAGACTTGTTTGGGACTCTCCAGCAGTATGCACTCGCAACAGGGCTCGAACTCAGTGCCTCTTGGTTACAAGGTGAGCTCGTAGACCATTAAGCCACTGGGACCCGATCCAATGGCCCATGAATTCTGCAACTTCTGCCAATTCACGAAATAGTGCGACCACTAGCCAATGTCTTCAGCAAGTATTTGTCCTCACACCCAACCTGCTGTACCCCCAGAAGGTCCTGGGTTCGAACTCCGGTGGGTGCGTACTGATGAAGAGTCCCAAACTAGTCTGACGAAACAGCTGGCTGTCCAGTACTCCCAGGTTTTCCAATGGTTATCTAACCGAACTCAGCTCATGATGATGTTCTGTAACAGGTGTAATTTATTCTCTAAATGTCCATTTTATTGTGTGTGTGAATGCTTAATAAAATCACTTCACACTTGAGGTCAACTTTAAGAGTAACCAGTTAGTCACACAGTATATCAGGAGAAAGATGTTATTTCTCCTACAATGTACTCAAAAGAACATCGAAATCCCCCTTTTGACGCTGCTGTCTGAATTCTTTTTCACGTGACACTGTAAAAAACAAGACTTTACAGTAAGTGTGACACTCAACACCTTGATAACATAGAATTATATCTAACCACCCTAAAGGAGACTAATTTCCAATAATTTAATGAACTACTGATGAATTAGGACACGTTTAATTAGTAATCACCTAAAATACCACCAAGTTTCTAGCCAATATTTTTAATCTGTTTTCATTTGTTCGGTTGGAGAACACAACGCCTTAAGAATAACTTATTCAGTTTTTGTAATCTTCCATGTCCAGTAAACCTCATTTTTTTCCGTTACTATTCTTTCTCCCACACATTTCTGCTCAATATCTTTCTTTTGAATTTCTTTTTTCTCCCTTTCCTCTACCTCTGTGTGCTATATGAAGTGTGATAACTTAAATTGCTGCACTCTTGTGTGAAGTTCTATGTTGAAACTCAGTCAGTCAGGGATAATCTGGGTTGCAATTTAGTGAACTGATATAGTATATATAAATATAAAGTACGCCAAACATATTTTTATTTCCTTCATTTGACGTATCAAGTATCTTAGCAGTCTGTCATTGCTTAGATCTAAATTCAAACTTACTAAAAAACCTACTGTAATGGAGTTTTATAATTACACACAAGTCATATTAATATATGTGTAAAACTTGGGCAATGTGATTGTACGTTATTCCATATTAGCTTGTTTATTAGATGTATCACACAATGAAACAGTATTATTTACTCAATGACACATTTTCGAACAAAATTTATTGTTCATAATCATATCAACTATAATCACACGACTTCGAAACTTGAGGTTTATAGTTTTCTTTGTTCTCTCCTATTTAACGTCGTTGGGGTAGTAAAATTTTCCAGATATCTGGGAAAGGTGTTGAATCATCCCTATTGCACGTGTTTGCAGTTGATTCGATAAACAAAGCTTCCGTTACCACTCTCTCCCACCACTCTGCTACATTAGATTTTAAAACTGTCATCTTATCTCATTCTATTGTATGGTTGTGTGTAATTGCATGTGGTATAGCGCTATAGCTGAACTATTCTCCAGATTTCTTATCTTATTCGGGTCAACTAATCTGGATTTTACTAGGTTTTTATGCTCGGCTAGTCTGACTGCCCCTGTTCTACTACTTCGACCTATGTATTTGACGTGACAATCATTGCAGGGTATTAGATAAACTAAATTGTTTTGTTTAATTGGTTCCACCGGCAGGGTACTTTAACTGACAAAGCTTGTTTCTAATTGAGTCTGTGGGTTTGAATGCCAGCCACTTTTATTCTTGCATTGTTAAGAATTCTGCGTAAGGTTTCCAAGGTTCCTTCCTTGTATGAATTACTATTGATGATTTAGATTCCTTATTGTTGGTGTTGTCATTATCTTGCTCATGTTTGACATGCATGTCGTCATTAATATTGCTATTATTATTATCACTATCACTACTATCATTATTTATTTTAATTTTACATTTCCCTACATACTTTCTGACTAATTTATCAGGGTAATTATTTAGTTTTAAAGCTTCTCTTAGATGCCTCACTTCCTGTCTTAGATTTTCCTTGGTACTACTTAGTTTTGTGCTCTATTATTTAAAAATTTAACTAATCCTTTTTTCACTGACATAGGATGGTATGATCGGAAATCCAAATATCTGTTTGAATGTGTTGGTTTCCTGTAAACACCAGTATCTAACTTATCATCTTCTTTCCTTTTTACGCTACAGTTTAACACTGGAAGTTCCCCTTCCTGACTTTCAAATTCTTAAGTGAATTGAATTACCTCCACCTTTGAGTTAATGTGTTCGAAAAATCTATCTACATCCTATATTCTAAGTTCAGTGAATGTATCATCTACATACCTTCACCATACTTTTGGGGCGGGGCTGAACGTTTCAATCGCTATGTTTTTCCACCTACCCATGAATATATCTGCCGCAACCGGGGATATTGGTGACCCCATGGCAACTCCCTCAGTTTGTATATTTCTCCCCTGTCCCAGATATCTGGAAAATTGTACTACCCTTACAACAAATAGAAGAGAACAAAGAAAACTATAAAACTCAAGTTTCGAAGTCGTGTGATTATAATTGATGAAATGATTATGAACAATAAATTGTGTTCGAAACTGTATTATCCAGTAAATAATACTGTTTCACTGTGTGATACATCTAATAAACAAACTAATATGGAAATACACACAGGTCAGTTCTATACTATACCATTAGCTTCGTTCATTAATCTCTCGTTTTTTGTGTGATAAGAAGTATGAATAATATAAGTGTATGCAAATAATTAAGTTGGTGAAACTTATGATTGTATCGTTGACTTGCCACACCTTTGATTACTGATTATGAATAAAAGTGATAATCATTAATTGATTTACTTTTCGATTTCTTGATGTCAAACAACTATATGTGGTTCAGTTTCTGACGAGTAATCATCGTTCAGCCTTCAAATAAATAACTAACTGTCCCAAATAGCCGAGAGATCTCTCCAATTTAATTAATACTGTAAGACAGGTCATTTCTCGTAACAGTTTACGCAAAAATATGTGGTCTGAAAACTTTTGAAGCTTTACTCCCGGTTCTTACATCATAGCATAACAGTTCATACAGAACCCAAGAGTATTATCGATTGCTCATAGAATTCGGAAGTCGTATTAGAATTTACTTGTAAACAAATTAATAGTTCTGGACCTTGAAATTCAGCTTCAGATCCAAAAATGTAAATTACTTCACTGGTTTTGGAAGAACACTGGTAATTCGCTAGGGATTTGGATTTTTCTTACCTCATAATATGTCACAATATCAAAACAGTGTATTATTAATAAATACTTAAATTCATTTCTGTGAAATTGGCGTCGAATACATATCAACCAGCTTACCTGTACCTGTTCCTGTAGGTTCACGATAACCTCGAATAAGTCTACATAATTTTTTATCTCCATATTTACTAGATAACCAACATGAACAATGGAAGTAATATGTCCACTGAGGATATGACAAATCTGTGACTACAACACGTTCCAAAAACCAATCTGGTTCATTTCCTAATCCATCTTGCTTGATACGAATGTTGGTTATTGCACCGACGTTAGGCGCTTTAACAATAAATTTTGAACTTGTACCACGTCCAAAAGGTGCACACAGAATATCCTTTCCAGAACTTTTATTTTCTTGGCTTAATTCAATTCTTGGTGTGATACCAGTTCTTCCATAAATTGTTATATACACTTTACTATTTGTTCCAGCTCCTTCTTGATCACCTGTTACAGTAACTATGGAATATTCTGAAATTTCAAAATTATTGTCGAGTGTAAGGTAAGTTAATGGTTTATATCACAGTTTACTTGTTTTTGCACTCCTGATTCCAAATAGTTCACGTGCAATTAATCCATCTTCTTTGTATAATGAAAACCAATGGTTACAGATAAACATGTAACGCTTTTTTGTCAAAGGATGTAGAACTTGTACACTCTCCAAAAGCCAGCTATCACTTTTCCGTAAACTATCATGCTTATTATACAAAGAGAAAACAGAATAATGATAAGTAATTAGATTATTTTCTGTGAACTTGTTATAAGTTGAACGTACTTTTTAAGGTGTGTGAATAAGTCTAATACTATGTATTTATGTTTGGACCATATTGCTAATACATATATATAGATAATACCCCTAGATTAGAAATAGGAAGTGAAGTGGTAGAGCAAGTTGACCGCTTCACTTACTTGGGAAGTACCATCAGCCCCAACGGGTTGATCTCCGACGAAATCTCAGCACGAATACAGAGGGCTAGTTTCGCATATGCCAGTTTACGCCGTCTCTGGCGTAGACGTGATATCCGACTATCGATCAAAGGGCGTGTGTACTGCTCAACAGTCCACGCCGTCCTCCTTAATGGCTGTGAGACCTGGCCATTGAGAGCAGAAGACATGAAAAGATTAGCTGTCTTAGATCATAGGTGTCTGCGTTCTATCTCCCGTGTGAAGTGGTATAATAAGGTTAGGAGGTTAGGCGTCGAGTGCTAGGTAAGGCCGGGAAATCAGTCGACGAGACTGTGAAATTGCATCGACTGAGATGGTTAGGACATGTGCTACGTATGCCTAGTCATCGCCTTTCTCGACAATGGGCAATGTAAGCTGACATAGGGTCAGGCTGGAAAAGAGCTAGCGGCGGTCAAACGAAAACATAGCACCAGTCAATGAAATCCACAGCAGTTAGTCTAAGCCACGTAGGAAGGTGTAGACTTCCTGGTTGGGGTCCTCGGGACGGTAAGAACCAATGGTTGGAAACAATTGGTGACATGGCTCAAAATCGTTCTCCATGGCTAGCGCAGATGCATCCACTCCTTGTCACTCATGATTTCCAATGAACCTGTTTTGTTCTTCGTTATTACTACTCATTTGTCTCACACCTCTTTTTACTGTCTATATTATGCATTTCTCCTACTTTCTTCTCCTGCTACATGGAGTGTGGCGACTTGATCTGCCGCACATATGTGCAAAGTTCTATGTCGAAAAATGACCGACCGACCGACCGAATACATATAGCCTTCAAAACTACTAGTAGAACAGTTTGTCAGAAAACATTGTAGGGTGTGATATTTCGGCTGGTACTGGGACTCCAAAGAATTAGTTTATAAATCGAACTAAGACCTTGTAAAGTAAACATGACATTATAAGAATGGGCTATGAATTTAAATACAAAGTAATCAAACTAAACTGAGTGCATCAGTTTACAATTCGTCTTTCTCAAGGCTCGCTGTTGTCTATACGGATATTAAGTCAGTCAATGGCAACTCACTACGAATAAAAACCTGTACCAACATTTTTGTATATCTCTTTGTGCTATAACTACAAGTTACTCATATTTGAGTGATATGTATGCCGAATTTGAACATGTTGTCACTAAGTTAAAATTTGATCTACTTTATATTAGCAAATAATGACTGACGCACACATTACCGCAACCAATAAACGTACTAAGTTCAGTACATCTGGTTAAAGTGCGAAAAATAATTTCCCCAGAGAATTACCAATAGCTTTTATACGATGTTGTAACACTTAAAAATCATTTGCCTCTTCAAAATCAAAATATCTGTCATCTTGAACAAGCCTCCTATGATAAAATGTGCACTAGAATTAACTTTTATGGTCCAAAGGTCTGAACTGTAAATAGTTTTAGATTATTTCTTTTATCATATGCCTGGCAATTGCTATTTGCTGGGAATATTTCTGTTTGCAACTTGGTGCTCATGCTCACACCATTCATAACTCTACAACCTTAAAATTGGGTTTCCGTGGCTTTTGTTCTACTGCTATGTTTATTGTAAAAGAAGTATAACTGTCTGGGTCTCCAGGAGAAGTCTTATGTCATTACAGTCACACTGATTGTCCACTGATTCGTCCAACAATAAAATGTATTGAAAACCAAATTCTGTAAGTGATAATTTTCCGTTATGTAACACATCTAATAAACGGATTCATACGGAATCAGAATGTACCAAACTTTATACACGAATTAAAATGTAAGCGCTCTGTGACCAAGGCAGTCCTCTGGATTGCTAGGAAACTTAGCTAGTGGGTTTTGTATTTCTGCTTGTATCAATGCGCTTCTTTTGTGGAAACTCGCAAAGTAAATTGAAGATTAAGGTCTATAGATAAAATGCCATAATTTTCAAGTTCCACTGTTTAAAGCAGATATAAACAAGATCTCTAGCCTAATATGCCAGATGAGTTACAAATAATCGAAGATAACTTAAACAAGGCTACTGAGAAAATTCATACAGCCAACCAAGTTGATTCCTGACCACAGTCTTTTCTAATTACCAAAAGTATTAATAAGTACTTCGGATATAATCTATGGTCCTCAAAGACATACGGCTATAAAGTTTACATGAAAAATGAAGATATCATTTCACTCATCCCTATTTAATTTTTTCATAAAGGTTTAGACAAAACAGCAGGCGAGTTAGCCCTTGGGAATGGAAAAACATTTCATTTAGAATAAAAAGGTAGCTAAAAAGCTAAAGTGTAGTACAACACAAAGTGTACCTTTTAGGTAATTGCACTTCGAATAGAAAACTATAAAGAAACAAAATGGGGTAACTAAATCACGGACAAACCATGATACAGTACTCAGTGAAGAAATAAAAGCCAGGGAAAATATTCAGAATTTCAGAGCTGATAAAAAATAAATTAATCTTTGCCAATGTTGACGATTCTCTGATTTATTACCAAAAATCCAACGGCTGCTTCCTAGCATCTTATGAGCTCCGTCTAGACATGGCTGTTACCCACAGTAAAAGAATTTTCGGACTAGTATCATTTTCAGTCTGGTCAAATCCAAACATGTAATGGCCTAGCTGTAATTATTCTGTGACCACTCATAAAAAGACAAGCTGCTTAACTATTCAACGCATTAATATGTCCCTGGGTATTAGATTAAAAATTGTTAGGGTGCAAATACCAACCAATAATTTTCGCATCAGATTTTTTCTTCATAAAGCCACTTGAAACTTTTACACTGTGCTTTTGGTCTCTTTGTCAGGAATTAGTGACTAAACCTAAGTGTCACAAATGTTATATTACAGGTTCTTCAGCAAACCCAAAAGCTTCAAAAGTTCACTGGTTCTGTTTTCTCTAAATCCTTAAGTACACTCATTTCAAGACTAACACTTCGTTATAGCCTGTGGTTTCCATTGCGTGTGTTGACGAATAACCGTTAAATACTGGTGTTAACGGACTGTATTCAGAGCTAATCACTACTTTCTACTTAGTCAACTCAAACACGTTAAGGAAAAAATAAACTATCAAAACACCTTATGAAGCACATCCGGATAAATTGTCAAGTAATAAAACATCTCAGATTGTTGGACTCAAGATTTTACTGCGAATTCCAAATTTTCGGCCCAAACTTTTAATTATCTGAAAATACATCAGTCGACTTGATAGCTGAATAGTCAATTAAAGTCTATAAAAATCGATGTGAATCTACATACTTTTCGTAAAATTAGGCTGATGTTATAAAAATAAATCTAAAACGTTTCAAACTACAGTCCTAAAGTATTAGCTTGGAAGATGAAATTAAATTCCACTATCGTGTAACAAATTACCTCTATAAATACAGATTGCAATGCACCAAGATCAGGAGAAACCACAGAGAACGTGTGTGTTGACCCGGGGAATAAATGCAAGCGTGATTCTTTCGAAATAGTTTTGCTTTTTCTAAGCTTCTGACGCGTTGACGAACCCCATTCACCTTTAAGTGTGATGTAGATCTCCCAGAGTTATTTAACAAACCGATTTTACCTGAGCAGATGTACCAGCTCCATGAATGTCTGCAGTTGTAACGATCACTTTATATAAGGTGTAAGGCCTTGGAGTAAAGGGTTTAACGTTGCTAATAAGGTTGTAACGGTCTAAGTGGCACGTTTTATGACCGCAACACTCAACTTTAGATTGAATTTCCTCGCCTGAATCACGGAATGAAAATCGACTTCTTCCATTTTCGGAGGTACATGAATTATCAGCTTGTTCGTTAGAATCCATTCAAAAGGTTTTTAATGATGAAATAAGTATTAATGTCTTTTTATAACATATTAAGGTATTTGTAAAAGAGCTGATATTTTGTCATGAATACAGGTTAACTTGAACAGTTTAAACAAAGTTCATCTTAGCTGTTCAACTAACACTCAGTCAGTTACTCACCTTTGGTTTTCCAAGGTAAATATTCTGTTATACATCACTGAGTTTTTGTTAAAGGATAAAGTTTTAGCTTCATTTAGGATACAAGAAAATAATACTTGTTGCGGTGTATGATTTTATATTCATGGCCTCAAAAAACTGAGAAGCATTAAATTCATTGAAACCCAGTTGATCCATCCAGAATCTTGAAATAACTTGAGCTCGTAGAACACATTAATTTCTATACTGTCTCAAAAAGATAGGACACTGCATTTTGAGACGAAGGATACCTTTATTACTTTTTATTTTTGATTACAGCTTGGTGCCACACCGTATTTTCAGTACACGTATGGCATTTTCAGCATGGATATCGGTAGCCCAAATTTCGCAGGCCAACCATAGATATCGGGTGTGCGTTGGCAGGGGATCGAACCCCGGACCATGTTCATGGTCGGCGAGAGTCCTGACCACTGTGCCACCATAGCTACCCCTACATTTATTATATCTCCAGACCAATACGCCACAACTTGTAAGTCTGTTAGTTTTGCCAGCACTGCAGCTTAAATCCTGGTATGAATAATTATGGAAGGTTTTGTGGTGTACATGAAAAAAGTAATAACTTGTCCACTAAAAACCACTGTTTCTCAGAAAATCTATCCTTCCTGACAAAATTTTAACCACAGTGTGTCTATGGATAACAAAAATAGTTTTCATCTAGCCTCTCTAGTATGTCATTCGATGAAGTTCCACACACGACGTCGCTGTTAAAATTAGGAAGGTGCAGAACCTCTGGCAACCTATTTCCCTGGATCAAAGAATTCTTTGCTGGTTGGAAAAATTTATAGGGATGAACAGCGGTGGTGAATAAAGAGATGTCACCAGGCGGATGACACAGGCTTTTCAAGTACGCCGTGGTTCTCTGGGCAAATAATCTAGCAGCCGACAGATAGCTTAAGGAAGAATTAGATGTGCATCCCCTAAAAACAGATTTTAATTATCTGCTCCACCAGCCAAGGAAGTAGATGCTATCTAACAGAGGACCCAGGCGCCCAGACACAAGCACTGAGCATAGATGTTTCAGTGCGACACCTTGCATTCTATTCTCAAATAAAAACTGATTCGATTCTAATTCCATCGTAGGTAACGAAACTATCTAAAATATTTACTTATGAGGCACATCCAAACAAGGGCACGTATCTCATCTGCTTTCACCTTACTTGACTGGTACTGTTTCTGTGGGTAAATCATTGGCTGATATACATGTTTATATTAATCGCAGGAGATTAAGCCACTTCTGACACTTAACAAATTAGTAAACACCATCGGATGAACGGCATATGTATCATTATTCAGAGGGATTTTATTCACAAGATTTGGTAAAACTAAATTTAACTTGTTCTTAACCATGTGTTTCTTCTTTTGGGATATATCGTTCATTTTCGCGGCTGTAACACTGCCCGTGACAGAGAATAAGTAGATACCTCCTCCCTTCTAAAGTCGTGATCACATGCCGATAAACTCGCAGGTTGTGAAATCACTCCGAAAGTTTTAGAGCAGACGAGCAACATGTGATAATTCAGACTAAGCAAAATAGCATTCAAATGCTTACTTGGTGGTCCTTAGACGCCAGATTAATAATCGTGATGGCAGTTAAGTCATTGCTGTGTAAAAAACGTAGGAAAGATTCTGTGTTCCCTACAAATCGTAACCACCTACGGACTTATTGTCGGAAAGTGAAATGAAAGAACAAGAATGATGCCTATTGCTGTATGTCTTCGGTTGATATTTTCATTCTCGAACCATCCCAAGTAAAATTGTGTACGAAACCAATTAGTTAGGCTGTCTGCACAGATTCGAGATCGCTTCCATTTGAATTCAACTAGAAATAATGCTGAAGACTGTTGTGTGGTTATCAATCCTGCTAGACCTCAGCTCTAGCCGCACTACCTGTTAACACTTTAGCCTGACCCAACTGCCCTTAAATCCACCCTAACTAACACTTACGGTTAATGAAAGATGTATTTGTTGTTGGTGATTTGGATAGTATGCAGCTAGATAATCACATCAAAACGAAGCTGCCAAACTTCTGTGCCTCGAAAATTATATATTCATCAGCGTTTGTTTCAATCTGCATGGATAAACAAATTGATCGTTGACAGTGAAACCACTGGGGTTCAAGTGTGTTGACGAACTTCTTTGACCCTTCTTAGCTGCTAATTTAGTAACCAACTCATCTGTCTAAATAATCACCATAACTGCAAAACAGTGGCACGTGTTTAAGAAGTAGAAAGCAGTTAGTATCAAAAGTGCACTTCGTAAGGCGATGAAGTGGGAAACCTAGTAAAACACACAGAGGGGCATTTATCATTCAGCATCACTCAACAGAGAAACAGAACCAAATAAATCGTTAAAAAGACACGGATCCTACTTCTATACTCATCTCATCCTTCTGCTGAGTGCCCCAGCGTTCACAGTACATCCTGAGCCATGTAGAGACCTCACATTCCTACATGGTTTCCAGTCCACGGGCTGTATAATTATCTAAGTAACTTTAATCTCCCGTGTTGTGCAGATCCTACATTACTCTAGTACGTATATCAGGTCTCAATACTAAGTTGACTCAGTGAATTAAACAAACAAGACAGAATGCTCCGTGCAAGACAAGTGGATAAACAGTGTGTCAACCGAAAGCGAACACAAGCCTTTAGTAGGTAATTATTTCTATGTCGGTAATTCGCGAGTGATGCCGTGATGCATGCAAACTGAGTGGCAGAAATAATAAGGTATTTACCTCATCAACTATGCTGTCTTCACACTTTTAAAAGGAGGTTTAATATTTTTATCGCCTAGAAAGTTTCACGTCCCGAACTTACCTGCTGAGATTTATCACCAGTGTCAGAGTATTCTGTAGCAGAAAAACACCTCAGAATTTATATGGAAACAGTCCGTGTGTAATCGGTACCAATAACCCATCGCCTCTTCAATGTGGCAGAGTAGCAGTGATGTTTCTTTCCTCTTGGTATTCTGGAGATAACCTGATTCATAGTGTTTACTCTCCAAAAGTGTCGGCCAATACATTTCACTGACTATGAAAACTTTGGCAAACATAAACCATGTCACCCCAAGCTAGCGAGCTCACCCATAAAAGTTCAAGAAGCAAATGTTTTCAAAAGTTACTTCCGGGGGAAAAGTGCATTCGTGAGGGTTCGTAAATGTTGAACAAAACACCGTTCTTTAACACATCGCAGGTCCCACTCTGTTATAGAAAAGAGGTGGTTAAATCAGAATGGCCTCTATATACGAATTCTACCTGAGGACATAAGGACACTGAACCTGCTAATAAAGGTATTAGGAAAATTTGCTGTAACCAGAAGACAATCCTGCGAAACTCAGAATACCATTTTATGAGAGTAGTAACCAACTCGGTTTCAACTCAAGCGGTATTAAAAGACTGACGGTTTCTCGAAAAATAATCGATCAGTCAAGTATAAGCTAATATAGCAAGTTAATTACATGGCAGCCTGATCGTGTGATTCACAGTTGGTTGCTATCATCACGCCACGAGAGGTCTACAAATAACGTCAGTATCAGATACATTAATGCTTCTGATCGCATTGTTCCGGTCTTCCGTCAACGGGCAAATATATAAGCCACGATAAGGATTGTAGCAACGACGACCAGTGTTTCTTACGGCATTTTCCAGACAACCATCTGTTCCTGAAAAGAAAAGTGAAGAAATAAATGGGTGTATTTTCTATCTTGATGACACCCGGCATCTTGCTATTGACAGACAAATATGCCACCTAGATATATATAACTTGAGAGAATCTGATTAGATTCAAACAATGCGTCATTGAGAGGAGCGAATGTAAGATAGTGTTCAGATGTAGAAAACATGCAACTTAAGAGCCGTTATGTGAGTAGCTGTTGGAACGTGATGACTGAATTAGGAAGGAAGCCATGTCAGTATAATACTTATCAATAATAGTAATGGCCGGGAACCGTTAGATCAAACAATAACGTATAGAAGACAAATCAGAATTTCTTATTTGGCAGGATTATTTGTATTGCTTCCAAACAATAAAAACAGAAATGAGCAGTAGTGACAATTTAAGCAATACGGTAATAGAGTAGTTAATCATCACAGTCGCCTAATTCTAGAAGCATTGCGGATTCTGAGGAAACTTGGAATGACATCCATTTCGCTGTAGAAACATTAGTTGAGAACGTTGACAGTGTGTAGGCTAGAGTTGATGAATACAAATGGATTTCTTCAGTCTGGCCAAAGTTGGTTAGTGCAAAGAGTAATTCCAGCAGGCTTTGAAAAAGTGGATGAACAAGTGGTGATTTAGATGACTGAATATTTTCCTAATGACCGTTAACAGTAGTATGCAATACAAAAAATAATGAAAAATCTCTTTTATTATGGCTTGACCCCACACCGTATTTTTGGTACAAGTGTAAGACTTTCAGCATGTGATATCGGTAGCCCAAATTTTGCAGACCAACCATTGATATCAGGTATGAGTCGGCAGGGGAGCGAACCCTGAATCATGTGCATGGCCTGCGAGATTCCTAACTGCTGTGCCACTGACGCACAGTAGACAATACCCGTCATCCATTAAGACGGGTTTTAAAAGGGCTATGGTCAGTGGCACGGCCACGTCTCAAGCTAAAACCACAGTCATACGTCGGAGAGCTATGAGGTTAGGCTAGATACTCTGGAAATATCTAGTGAGACGGTTAGTTGCACTTCTTGGACCGCCCAGACCTTGCTCCTCATTTAGTCTGCTGAATAAAAAACACTCATGATTACTGAGCAGTCATCTGTCCTGTTAAACCCGCGCTGTAAATACACCACTATCTTGCCCTTCAGCCTGGCCACCCCAACCTGGGGGCTAGACTCTTCTTAGCACCAGCCCTTATTATTT